CAGACGAGAGAGTAGTCAAGAGCTGTATCCGTGAGAGGTGGAAGGGATACTCAGAGTTCATGTTCTGGGGCTGTTTCTCGTATGACAAAAAGGGTCCATGCCATATTTATCAGCCAGAGACAAACGTGGAGAGAAAAGACGCTGCTCGGAAGATTGAGCAGCTTAACGCTGAGCTCGAGCCTCTCCAGCGAGAGGAGTGGGAGCTGTCCACATCTATGAGAAGGACAGGACTACGTAATAAGCCTGGCAGGAAGCCTCAATGGAGATGGACAGAGCAGACAGGCAAGCTAGTGCGTTCGTCCAAAGGCGGTATAGACTGGTGGAGATATCAGAGCTGCGTTCTGATCCCAAAGCTGATTCCTTTCGCCAAAGAGTGCCTCCAAGATAGGCCTCAGACCGTAGTTATGGAGGATAAGGCACCTGGGCACGCCCACCAGTATCAGAACGTTGTCTATAGTCTATCCAACGTCGAGAGACTACTTTGGCCTGGCAACTCTCTAGACTGTAACTGTATTGAGCCATGCTGGTTCTACATGAAGAGAGAGACTACAAAGAAAGGAGCTCCACAGTCAAGAACGGAGGCAACTAGAATTTGGCTAAATTGCTGGAGAGATCTCCCACAAGCTAAGATCCAAGCTTGGATTGAGCGTATTCTTATACATATTCTAAAGATAATTGAGCTACAAGGTGGTAATGAGTATATAGAGGGGAGAGATAGGCGTTGTGTAGGAGAGCGGCCAGATTTCGGCTAAATTATTCTTGGCAGGACAAAACTTTTGTGAGGCACCTCCGTACACTTGTCGGAAACAAGTGATGATGGAGACGATCAGGATATAGCTCGTCTGCCTTATTATACGCCTTTTGGGGCCGCTTTGTTCTCCACCGTGCGTCAGATGTCAGAGGAGCGTTACATTGAAGAGAAGGAATATGCCACTCCTAGTGTGCAAAAGCAATGAGAAAAAGCATCGCAGCTGCCACTTCACCATGCAGCCGCCGTTTTGTACGCAAAAATGAGCATCATGTCGAGACCGAGGTGAATGTTGCACTGCCGACGAACGTGTGGGGTAATTGAGTTGAGATGCGAGAGCGAATTTGGTCTAGCCGATTAACCAACGACGTCAATGACTGACTTGGATTTCGCCTGCGACGAAAGCGGCCATACGAGCTGGTGTACTGTAGAATCAGCATAGCAAAGCTACACAGTGCCTGGACATATTTTGCATCACGTAAGTCGCCTCTCCCGTCTTGGTAGTTGGAGCCGGAGGTCCCGCTGTCCGCGTGTCATGTAATGCCGGCAAAGCCGTGTCGTCATTGCAGGCATGTTCCGACCAGCTCCATGACCCGCAGCCTTATGGCCTAGCCTTTCCCCTAGTATTGTGTATGGCTGATATTTTGGTAGCCTTGACTTGTCGGTCATTGCCTGCAAAAAGCCTGGCGCCCGATTATCCATGGCTTCATCATACTATGCCACACCTCAGCCTCCCTCTGAGGAAGGAGAGAAGCCGATAACGGTTCTCGTCACTGGTTTCGGTGTAAGTCACCTTTCTTCCGAGACCAATTTTCGTCCTTGTGTCTTTTCGTCGTGGATGCCCTTGTGCCCGTCCTCACTGAGCTTTCCATCCCACAACTCTCTCACCTGCATTGTCTTATCTGTCCTTCTGATTTACTTACGCCCCAACTGTTCGGCAAATCAGACATGCTAATATCATACAGCCATTTTTATCGAGATTCCCGAGAAACACCTCTTGGGAAATTGCCTCTACACTCCCGAGCATCATTCCCGTCTCTCCAGACAACAAAACACCAATCCACATACACGTACATCATGAACCCATCCGTGTAGCCTACGATACCGTTTTCAAACTTGTACCCAAGCTGCTACCACCTGGCAATTCCATGTACCCCGTTCCAGAAATCATCCTACACATTGGCCTCGCAGCAGCACGAAACTACTTTGCAATTGAACAAGGTGCCAACGGCCGTGGATACGGACGAATTCCCGACGTAGATCGTCAGCGCTTTGACGACTCAACCGCCGAACAGCACTTTCCTTCGTCAAAGTATCCGTATCGGTTATCAACCAGCTTCGACACAGCCGACGTGCTTGCGTGCTGGACGGCGAATCTAGGCCATGAATCCGTTAATGGTGTGGCGGCCGATAAAGCATGCTCTGATGTACGAATCAGTACCGATCCTGGAAATTTTCTATGTGGCTTCATTTACTACAACAGTCTAGCGCACTACTTTGGTATCAAGGAAGACGAGAAGCCAGTCATTTTCCTGCACGTGCCAGATCTGACTAGCAGCGAGGAGAAGATGAAAGAAGGGTGGGAAGTCACTGTTGCTCTGATCAAAGCACTCGTCGAAAGTCGGCGAAAAGCTGGTGGAAAGGTTGTGGATGGCGAGAAGCTGAATGGAGAGCACACGGCCGAAACAGTGGGTATACAAACAGACAACAATTTTGCATAGACATGTAGAAGACGAGAGAATTTTCCGTCACATCATACGATACACCAGGGGGGTCACTTGCCCTTCTCACGCAGACTGCTGTTTATCGCGACGTTGGCGTATCATCGAGAAGTAACCCCTTTTCCAGGCCACCTAGCCATCCATGTTCGTAAGCATGGAGGCGGGACTCTTCTTTGTATCACACTACATCCAATTAAACCTCACTCTGTCACTATTTACCCACCCTAAAGATGCCAATACTATCGCTATACAGTAGAAACAACGTCGTGAGACTCTTATTATATCGGTCCTTTTCCGCCTAACGCTTGCTCAGAATTTTCTTCTAAGTTTGTATATGAGTTTTCTTTTAAGTTTGTATATCTGACTGCTAAAGTTTGTTGCTCTGCAATAGAGATACGACGAGTCAGGATAAACCACAATGACAGCTATCGTAGCCTTTGCCAGGCAGCGGAAGCAACGACTTCAACTGAGCTGAATCAACAAGCTACTGAGATAATAATAGGTATATCACACGTCGGTAATCAAAAGTAAAAGGTACACGCTATATAGAAAACTGTAGTAGATAGTAGAAACAGAGAATGGTTATACACAATTTTCTCAGCACCACACCTACCTGTGCGATTAAAGCTTATTAGTGACGGGTCGGACATTACTACGTTGCAGGTAAAACCGGACTTCTGGTTCTAAGTCATGGCGCAAGTGATACCCTGTATTTAGTGCTGGCTTATCTAATATGTGCCCCAGAGTAACTCACTATAGTGGAGAAATAATCTGCGTAGATTAAATTGAAAACTCTAATTAATCATTAGCTACAAGATAACTCAGCCTTACGGTTTCTGAGTCAAGCGATAGCGAGTCAGAGATATATGACTAAGAATTCATACTATTCATGTATGCTAATAATAGGTGAATAAACAGAAAAGGAAGGTCACGTTACTGAAACTTTGAAATGTACGGATTTTGAGTTTTTTGCAAATGATGTCCAAGCCAATGATAGGCAAGGGAAAATGGAAAGGATAGCTCTGCAGACAGAGCTCACCGTATCAAATAGACTGTCACGATACTCCAATATCAAAACCTACAGGAGGCCGACCCTCGGAGACCCAATGGAGATCCTCAGCCTTGAGGGAGACCACAGGCCCACGAAGAGAGTATATATATCCTTCATCTGAACCATGAGAGAAGCATCAAGGATTCCTCTCAATTCACACTACAATCACACTCGCTCCTGCCTACTCAACACGGCACACAAACTCCTCCATCTTTCTCTCAAATCCATCCATCTACGCGCCTTCTCCGAAAATGAAGTTTTTCAGCACCTTGTCTTTCGCGCTGTGCGCTGCCCTCGCAACAGCCGCTGCGCTCCCTGCCCCAGGTGGTGAAATCCCCTACGGAACCATTAAGCATGACAACCCTCCCTGCGGCGAAAAGCACCCCGCCGCCGTTCCAAACTGCAGGCCCGGTGCGCAAGCCAATCCCCCGAGTCGCGGCTGCGAACCCATTGAGCAGTGCCGCGGTAAATCGAAGTCTAAGGGCGGCCCTGGAAGCGAACAGGATAACGTTATTGGACATGGACACTAGAGTGTTGGTCAGCGCGGGGGAGGTGCAGGCTATGTAAACTTGACATCCTGTGAAAGTATAGCCTCTATGAGGTTAATGTCGGACAAGCTGCACCCTAGGGCTGGATTATGTGCTCTTATATGGATGTAGTATAGAAGTACTTATGATCGCTAGTAGGGCTTACTAGTGATCTGTCTTGTCAAATGATAGTACTGTTACTACTGCTATCTACTCTTGCTATCTTGACTGTGCTATGATACTCTACCTATTCTTAGAGCTAACATCTGTCTGACCTGCGTACTAGTTTGAATCGTCTAATTAGAGGGCTGTTTTCTTTAGATAGCTTACGCGTTACTAACAAATTATCGTAACACTAAGCACGTAATTTAGTGCAGCTAGAAGTGGTAAAGCTAAGGCCTCTAACCTGTATACAATGGCTAAAGAATTGCGCGTAATATTCTATCCGTAATCCCCTTCTTTCGCTGAACGCAGACAAGGTAGATCCACTATTTGCTCCTAAACAATACTATCACATGATAAAGACTTGCAACTTTTACTATCTGCCTCTTTTTTCTACAGTTATCATGAGTGAGCTAATATGTTCGCCGCGTATGCTTCTAATTTCTTCTAGAAAATACAATATCTAGAGTTTAACATTGTTTACTAACACCTAGTATATAGTAGAATAGCAGTAATAACATGGGTAAGCGGTCTAGAAGACTATTTAGATAGCTCTACAAAAGAGCTCGTTTCCAGTGTCCTCACCCATCACGTACCTATTCCTATCATCGTCATTCTCCAGCATAACAACAAGATACCACACCACCAAATGCATGCACCAGTATACCAGTGCATTGAAAGACACCCCGGGAGTTCTGAAAATACAAAAAAAATACTTTCGTCGCGTTGTAGTATTGTTTGGTAGAGCAGTGCAGCGAGATGGGGACATACTTAAAAACGAGCTCCATCTCAGATGTCCCATGCCAAAACCACGAAACGCAACACTTGATTCATATCTGACGAACCGAGTATATCTAATACATACGACCATAGGACATTTTCCAAACCACTCGATCCCGTTCGCTCTCGAGAAGTTAAACGGTGTACCGGCGGGAGAGTAGCCAGGTGGGTGACCACTGGCGAACACCCGCTGTTGTATGTATTTTCTTTTTTGTGTTTTTTTGCTCCAACAGGCATTAGATGGTGGGTAGGCAGACTTGCTGGTTAAACAATATGTTAGTCACCTAGGTGGATTGTGCAAATCAAGACAGACTGGCGAAACTTGTCGGTAGGCGTGACCTGACGTCGAGCCAGACAAGATACATTTAATTGACCAAAATGAAGCCGCTATTGGGCTGTGTATCAAATGAAATTGCAAAAACCTCAAGCCGAGCATCATCACCGCTTTCCCCACAATCCTTGCTGTGTTTCCCTGATTCTTCGCTCTTGCTCCTGAATCATTTCCTCGGTTTGGCCGTGGCCATTTCCTCTGCTGTCGATCTCCATTGAATCATCGGGCTCCTCCGCTGGCTGTGGGATGCGTGCGTGGGGCGCACCTCGCCGCGGTTCGGCTGACCGCTGACCATCCATCATACCTGCAGCGCCACCTGCTCGTAGCTGGTTGATGGCACGAATCGTGTCGATGGCGGCATGCAGTGTGCGCCTAGCGTTGAAGTTCTTCTTGACAGTAGGCAGCAGATCCTCTTCACCGTCCGCGTTGTTCTTGCCGAGCTCGGTGATCCAAGGATGGGAGAGCGCTTCGTGAGCCGTCATGCGCGCCGCGGGATCGACAGTCAAGCATCGACGGATAAACTCGCGCGCCGTGAGGGAGACGCCCCGCCAGTATTCCAGAGGTGTAAACGAGTAGTCGGCAACCAAGATGGCCTGCATCTCTTCGAGGTTCGAGTCGCGGTCAAAGGGAGTATAACCGCAGAGTAGGAAGTAGGTAATGACACCAATGGCCCAAATATCACTAAAATTGGTCAGCGGTGAGCTTGAACAAAACCATGCCTTCCTTACACTGGCTTGCCGTGACCAGTCTTCCTAAAAATCTCAGGTGCCATGTAGCCTGGGGTACCGCATGTTGTCGTGAGGACGTGGAATTGCTCCTCATCCATGATTCGAGAAAGCCCGAAATCGGCGATAAGTAGGTCGGCATTGTCCTCTGGTGTCCGGAACAGGAGATTCTCTGGCTTCAAATCTCGGTGCACAATACCGTGGTCATGAAGATACGCGACTGCCGACAGTGTGGCTCGGATCAGGTCGCCGGCATCGGATTCGTAGTAGTTTCCTTTGCGACAGATACGGTCGAAGAGCTCGCCGCCCAGCGCAAGGTCGGTGACTAGATAGACTATTCCAACGTTAGCATGTGTTGAACTCTACACAAATCGATACGTACGATTGTTCATTGTCTCAAAGTAATCTACAAGCGTGAGAATGTTCCTGTGGCCCATGGATACTCTCTTCAAGACTGCAATCTCGTTTCTGACCTGGCACATGTCAGCAGATGCTTTCTCTGGCCGCTCGATGCTGGACTGACCATGTGTTCTCGGCCAGCCATAAGCCTCTTGTTGATGACCTTTGCAGCATAGTATCGCCCAGTGTCAATGTGCACGCACTCTTTGACTACAGAGTAGCTGCCTGCACCCAGCGTTTTTCCCGTCTTGTACCTGCAAGGCTGCACCTGCGCGGTCTGGGGTGCCGGTGCTCCAGGCCCGTTGGAAGTCCTAGTTGCCATGTTTTCGTCTGTATCAGCGTTTGGGGGTATCGCTGACAAGTCTGCAGCAGAGAGGTGCTATGTTTGGTTACGGCAAGACGGGTCTTGCAAAGGCGCGGTTGGGCGCTGAGGCCTGGGCTGGGTATCGACGGCCGCGGAAGTGGGACTTGACTAAAAGGGCGTAGTGGACAAGCAAAGTTCCTGGCGGCTTCTCCCGAGGTGATTTGTTGCTTTGTAGCGATGATGAAAGGTTGGTGAAGTGGAAGCGTCGGTGTGTCTGATCGCCTTGCTAGTTCATGCACAGTGAACAGCCCTGCGGTACGCGCGATGAGGGGTCGTGAGTCGCAGCCAAAAAAAAAGAATGAATTTGCTACCGTGGCAGGACGCTTTCAACAGTGGCTATGGGCCAGCACAAGTAATGTCAAGCAGAAACTGGGGAGACAGAGAGGAGTGTTGTGATACGGAGTGAGCTGCGAGCTGAAGGGAGGGAGGGGTCCACACGATCCCCCGCCAGTCACTTGACCCTGGTCTTTGCCAAGACAGACTAGCGACCCTGCACCGAGAGTACTGTAGCGTACCAACAGACGATATCGCTATGCAAGCCACGGCTGTAGGACGGCCAAATTTCTATTGTCGTTGATCTAAGTCTTATGTCTTATCATAAGCGTAATCGTCTCAGATGTGTGTACAACTAAACAAGAAGCGAGATGCCATGATCAGGCAGAGAATAAAAGTCATCCTCGATGCCTTAGGCCTTGATGAGCAGGCTGTGGCAGTCCATGTCCTCAGGCTGCTGAAGACCCATGACTGCAAGCACAGTAGGGGCGACGTCGCCTAGCACGCCGTCCTTCTTCTTCAGGCTCCAGCCTTGAGGGGCGTTGGCCATGACAAAGGGAACCTTGTTCGTCGTGTGCGAAGTCTTGGGAGTGCCCTCTTCAGTGAGCATTTCTTCCGCGTTACTACCAACTGTTAGCTTCTGCGTCCTGCTTCTAGCCAACACATTACTCTGGACTTACCCGTGGTCAGCGGTAACAAACAAGACGTATCCGCTCTCTTTGCACTGGTCGTACACCTTCTTGATAGCCTTGTCCGTCTCCGTGCATGCTTCAATGGCCGCGTTGTAGACGCCCGTGTGGCCAACCATGTCTGGTGGTGCAAAGTTGTTCATGAGGAACTCAAACTTGCCTGTTTGGATGCGCTCGCAGAGCTTGTCGGCCACCGCCATGGCGCTCATCTTGGGCTCCAAATCGTAGGTAGCCACCTTGGGCGATGGGACCATCTCGCGCTCCTCATTCTCAAACTGCTTCTCTACACCACCGTTGAAGAAGAAGGTGACGTGAGCGTATTTCTCAGTCTCGGCAACGTGGCACTGCTTCACGCCCTGCTTTCCCAGTGTCTCGGCAAGAACATCAGTCATACGCTGAGGCTCAAAGGCAATGTTGAATGTGTATTTGGGGTTGTATGATGTCATGGTAGTAAGATGGATGTTCTTGGGGTACGGGAAGTCGGGCTTGGGCGAGCGGTCGACATCGCCCAGCAGCTGCGTAATCTCACGCACACGGTCGGAGCGGTAGTTGAAAAAGAAGACGGTGTCGTTGTCTGAACGGACGAATCAGCAAGCAGACATGCGGGTGCTCCATCTAGCCACTTACCTTGTATTCTCCGCTCCTTTCCTCCCACAATGATGGGCTTCAAAAACTCGTCGTTCTCGCCCTTTTCGTATCGCTCCTTGATGGTTGCAACGGGATCGCTGCTGTCTTCGCCCTCTCCGGTCACCAGGCCCTTCATACCCAACTCAACACGGTCCCATCGCTTGTCACGGTCCATGATGTAGTAACGGCCGACCACTGTTCCAATCTCACCGAGACCAATCTCCTTGGTCGCCTTGAGCAGAGTCTCCATGTATCCAACAGCCGACTTGGGGTCCGTGTCTCGGCCATCTCCGAAGAAGTGGATGTATGCCTCTGGAACGCCCTGCTCCTTTGCAACCTTGAGGAGCGCAATCAGATGGTCCATGTGCGAGTGCACACCACCGTCTGAAACAAGACCGCAAAAGTGCAGTCTTCCGTTTCCGTCAATGGCACGCTGGAACGACTTCTTAATGTTCTCCACGTCCTTGAGCTTGTTGTTCTTGATCGTCTGGCCAATACGAACGGAGTCTTGCCATACAACACGCCCCGCGCCAATGTTCAAGTGGCCGACTTCGCTGTTGCCCATGAGGCCTTCGGGAAGACCGACTGCAAGGGACGAAGCCTCCAGTTCGGTGTATCCCTGGGCAGTCGACGAGCCCTCTCGCGCAAACTCGTCCATGGTAGGAGTATCGGCCGCAAGAATGGCATCGCCATCTTTGCGCGACTTTTCAGTCGCAACGCCCCAGCCGTCGATGACGATGAGGACGGCCTTTTGGTCCACCTTGGCCATGATTGCAGATGGATCAACCAATCCGGTAAGTGCAGTGGAAACGAGCGTCGAAACTCGGGGGGGGGGGGGGTTAGATTTTGAAGAATTGGAGTTTGAAAGGGGCGCGAGAGGGAGAAGGTGGTGTGAATTTAGATGTCGGCGGAGGGGCAGGGTTGGTGGGGCTAAGTAAATCGGACAAGGTCGAAAAAGCATGGTCCGACAACGTCACGCCGTCTCTCAGCCATTGATGCACCCACACCCGCACCAGCGCGCAACCCCCCCACAATCCGCGCCCGGAAACTTATCTCGACCTGCGAAGCGCCTCCCCGCGATTCGGCGACTGCGCTGACACCAGAAAACTCACAAAGCCCAGAAAGTTTAATTATCGCGCGAGACAAGCAGCCAACCAGCAGCCTCGACCCCAGCCTTGCCCATCCTGCCGAGGCGGTGGGCGTTACATCGCGTGTATCCGGACTCAACACCGCGCTGGAAACCTCCTTCGTCCGGTGAAGCTGTACCCAGCAAGCATGTCGGCAGCAGCGACGCCATACGCGACTGCTTCGGCACGAGCCTCTGTTCCGCCCCCGGGTTCAACCACACCGGCCCACCCGCCGCCCGCGTCCGCAACTACACCGGTACCCCCTGCACCCTCTGCCTTTGACGTCCTCCCCGACCTCCACAAGCTCCTCAAGCGCATCCTGGAGACGTCTGCGCAGCCCCCCGCCGCGACTCCGACTCCCGCGCAGCCTTCAGCAGACGGCCCGCTCGAGATCCAGCATGTTGCGACTGCCGCAAACGACATCCGTCTGAAGATACAAAAGGCACGGCGCGCCGTCATGTCGCTGCCCGACATTGATCGCTCGCTCCAAGACCAGCAAGACGAGATTGAGGACCTCGAGGCGCGCATCGCACAGCTCAGGGCTTCGTTAAGGGAGCTCGGCCAGTCGGCTGCTCCCGTAGAGGACGGAGACGGAGACCAGAGTATGGCTGGTTGAGATGCCGCCAGGACTACGATTGATCCATTCTAGGACGCATGTCTGTTGACTGCATGGATGTGCGCGATCTAGCACTTGCCCTGGGATCGAGGTGCTATGTGGACATGGGCATACATGACTTGCGTTATAGTGCTTGGACTGACGCGCCACCTAGACAAGGCATTTCGTCTGCCTAACGTCGTTCATGACCTGCATATAATACGACAGTCGGCAGGGCATCGCCGAAGCTGCGTCGAGCATATGCAAGATTAAAGACACTGCATATCATTTCGCGCGAACAGCGAGTAGTCTCACCCAGACTCCACCCAAGTCTTGAATCCTAGCCAGTTTTCTGAAAGGTGGACTGGCAACTAGACGATATATAATACCACATACCATAGAAGTGTTCCTTGGCACATCGTCAAGATATCACCCTGAACATCCACGCATTCTTCACTTGAACCACCTTCTCAACATTGACTTTCTCTCTTCACATGTCCCCTAGTGTCATTGGCAGCACGATCCAAAGAATGAGATTGCGTATTCCATGTGGGTATGTTACGACTGACTGACTGCCTACTTACAAACTACCTTTCCATTATCATGGGCTTTTCCACTTTTTAAAATAAATTTCCCCCTTTCAAGAAAAAAAAACACATGAAAATGGCTTCGAGGAGAAAACTGCACAAACTACTGGGTGCGCGTGGGCAGATATGCACTACCAGCTAGGACGAGGTTCATGCGTGTAAAGTGGACCTTGTACACGGGGCTGTCCTTTGTCGGGAACACACTGATCTGGTCTGCAGACACGCCTGTCTCCTTGGCCGCCTTCTTGCCCGTGACTGTGGTTCCGCTCGCGCCTTTTGTCGTCATTGCGCCATCGGCCTTTGCGGCCACGCCGTCGGCGGCCTTGTCGCTGGTTTCTTGCAGCACGTCCCATACACGCACCGTCTTGTCCGCGCCGGCCGACACAAGCACGCTGGATTCGACGCTCCAGGATAGAGACCAGATGCCTCCCTTGCCGTGGCCACGCATGCGCTTCCGTCGGCGACCCGTCTCGAGCGTCCAGAGGATGATGTTGCCGGCGTCGTCCGCCGATGCCAGTGTCTTGCCGTCGGGAGAACAGGATATAGCTGTGACGTTGCCAGTGTGGCCGGTAAACAGACGCAGGCAATTGCCACCAGCAATGTGCCACATGCGTACTGTGCGGTCGCACGACCCTGTGAAGACGTAGAGGTTGTTGGGGTGGAAAGCAACGCAGTCAACGTCATTATCATGGCCAACATAGATGCGAAGAGGTTCGATATGGTCTGTTGACCACAAACGCGCAGTTCGGTCATTGGAACCAGTGAGGAAGTAGTGCCCGTAAGGTCCCCACTGGACATCCCAAACAGGGTTGTCGTGACCGCGGTAAGCAACGAGACAAGTGAACGTATCTAACGACCACAAGCGGACTGTCCTGTCTTCTGAGCACGAGAGAAGACACTCTGAGTTTGTAGGGGGGCCGGAGGGATATGGGTTGGCTGTAGATGGGGAAAAGGCAACTGCGTAAACAGGACCAGAGTGACCAATCAATCGCCTGGATGATGATGGCTGCGTGTCCGGACTGTCATTCGGTGAGGTGAGGGGGCTACCATCCATGGACCACACGCGGATGTACGACTCGCTCATGCCGGCAGCGACCAGTTTGTTATCACCAGAGAAATCTATACAATTAATGCTGTCGCAGCGTTAGTACTTATCTCGTGTGCTTGAAGCTGACAGACGTACCTATCGTATGTGTTGTGAAAGGTATACATGGTGACGCTGACAGCAGGCCCAACTCCGCCTGTTCTTCCCTCCATCTTGTATCGATCTCGGTGCTCGATAATCTTTTGTACCTCCATGGAGACATCACGGGCAAGCGAGGGTGGCAGAGGAACAAATTCTCGCGAGGGCCCGTCTTCTGTGGGCTCCCGTTTGATACGTTGTTCAAATTCATCCAACAAACTTGGCTGTCCTGGTCTGGACGCAGCTTTGGCGTCTTCTTCTTGTAAAGCAGCGCGAACATCATCCTGCAGTTCTTGCTCCTGTGGATATGCACCCAACTGCAGCCTTATTCGCGCAGCATCTGCTTCGGGGTCGTGACGCGCAGTAAGAGGGTGACCAGGGGCGTGTCCAGGGATGCCTTCGTCTTCTGCGGGAAGCTCATCCTCACCATGTCCACTGGCAAGAATCGCTGCTATGCTTTTCTCGGCAGTTGCTGTCCTGTCGACTGTGACAATGTTCAGATGTTCCCGAATGACGTCTATTATTGTCGACCCGCCGTCAAAATGCTTGGCTTCAAGGAATTGAATGAGATTGAAGAATGGCATCGTCGTCAAAGTTATCCGGTACTTGTTGTCAAGATAAAGCTTTGCTATTCTGCTCTCCTGTAGATGAGTTTGCAATCGCACTTGCCGGAGCGTCTTGACGTCCTCGTCATGATCGCGCTCGAACATGCCTTGGTACGCAGCAAAGAATGTCTCTGCATCTTTGGTATAGTAGTCGCGCACCAAGTCCAAGAACGAATAGACAAAGACTGGCCATAATAGCTTCCGCAGCTCCGGCCGATAGAGATCCAGGTTATCCTCGGTGTATTTGCGCAACAGCTCAAACGCTTTGGTATATTTTGCGCCGCCTGCCTCGGTGCTCTGGGCCGTAAGAGGTTGGCCGTTCGCTTGCGGTTCGGACTCCTTGCGGAGCATCGCTTCGGTACGGACATAGCCCTTCTTGGAAAGATACTCGAGTACCTGGTAGACATTAGCATTCATTCCCTAAATGTATTGCAGCTCCCTGCGCCATGCGGAACAGACAAATCGACGCGAGATAAGTCGATACGTGCCATCCTGTATCCTCATAATATTGTGTATACAAGGTATCGGGAAAGTCCAGCCATTCATGGTTGGTGGTGGTATGCGGGAAAGAGCGCAAGAACAGTACCGAATGATGTGAGAATATTGGGTTATGGTGGTGATGTTGTTCTAATGTGTGCGCTTGGTGCGATATCAAGACTGAGGAAAAGAATCACAGATGGACGTCTACCAGCAACAAGTCAAAGCAGCGACGAGCACCCGCAACAGTAATGCAGAATCGCCAGTCGCGACCACATGCTCCGGTGAGGATGAAATAGAGGCAAGTAGTAAGCAGAGCTAAGGAAGGCTTGACATACGATTTGGTTCAGATTCTGTTGCGATTGCGGCCCCGACGAGCCTGGAGGCGGAGGACCACCTTGCGGTGGCATGGCAGTATGCGGTGGTAGACCTGCACTGGGAGGTCCGTTTCCTACGCTCATTGCCCGTACAGGTCCGGGCCCTGGAGGGGGCCCTGACATGGCTGCGCTGGTCCTTCTCTTCTATGCTGGCGCGCGGCTGCTCCTTCGCTTCGCTTCGCTATGCTCAAGTACCAGTCGCAATAGTTATAAACGGCCGTATATGGATTATGAATATCGCTTTCGGATCGCAGGAGGTCTCGTTTATGTATCGGCGCGTGACGGATATGCGTGGCTGCGGAAATCGCGTTTGGAGGGTGTTGGGTCGTCAACTTGGCTAACCGTGGTTGCGGAGTGAAGGGCGGAGGTGAGGTTCGCATCGCGCGGGCTGCCAAGATGTGGCGGTGCACGGGCGGTGCGTATGCGGAGCTTGAGCTTCCCCGACTTTCACCTCTCTTTGACATCGCAAGCTCACATTCCTTGGTCTGAGTCTCACTGTTTTCTGGTGATTCGCTTTCCTCGCAGATTTTCCAACAGTTCTTCGCGAATTGGCCAACTGTACCCATCTCCGATATCTGCCTCATCTGCTGGAGCTTGCAAACACCCCGCCATGTCCACCGAAGCCGATCAGCAGAGCGCGACCGATGCAGGCCAGCAGCATGAGAATGTCGGTCCTGAAGACAAGGCATCCGAGGAGCCGAAAACCTACCGCCAGATTGCCGCTGAGCACATCGATACTCTGAACGAAATCAACCACCAAATTCCAAAACTGCTCAAATACTTCGCAACCGCGCTATCACAACTCACGAATGACCCAATTCCCTTTCAGCATGATGCCATGCAGTGCGAGCCCGGAACTCTGGAAGCTCGCAAAGAAGCCTTCCGCATCAATGCCCTCTTCTGCGGCACATCGTGCGAGATCATAAGGCAAGAGCTAGTCAAGCAAATCAATGCTCTGGAGAGGTACAAGGTCATACCGAAAAACCATCCCAAGTTTGCAGTTTCGCAGAGACAGGCACAAAAGGGAAAGGAAGAGGAGAGTGATGTTGTAGACCCGGAGAAAGACGTCAAGAATGGGGGCTATGGCGACTTTGATGTGGGCGCGCTTAATGCCAGGGCAAGCTCTGGTCAGGTTGGTGCTGAAGACGTGCTGGATCGGGCAAAGGCGGTACTGGAGGAACTGCAGAAGCGGACAGGGAAAGTTTCTCACGGAGATGACATGGCCATTGATGGGTGAGCTCATGGAAATTCGCACAAGAGGCGCTATCCTGAACCAAGCACACAAAAATACGAGACCGGTGAACTAGAAGTCACCGAAGCTCAAGCGTCGCGGAGGCCAAACGGTACGTAGCTGTTGCTGCTGAATTCCACAAGGAATACGGCAAGCCGAAAGGAAGCACGATGGCCAAGCGCAGACGAGACATGGGAAGAATGGGCCCAGTCCACCTCACCAAGGCCGATCCAAGCTCCAAGCAGCCAAACGAACAGTTCGATCTTTAACTTCGCACTTCATCTGAACCAGCGACTATGTTCCAAGCGATAGATAGCAGATGACTTCAATTCCATATGCTGGATGGGTGTTTTTGACTACACATGATACATAGGGCTCGACGTTTCCGTCTTAGGATGCCAGAGTCTTCTTCATGACCCCGATATCATCCGGTGTAGTCCGGCAACACCCTCCAATCAGCCCTGCGCCAACATCCCTCCACTCTTCTGTCTTCTTAGCCAGCTTCGAGCCTTCTGTCCGCTTGCCCTCCCACTCTCTCGCCTGTGCATTCCACTGCTCCCCGGAGTTCGGATACACAATCATTGTCCCCCTCTTCATCAATGGTTTTAACACCTGAAGAGCAGAGAGTGCAAGATCGTCAGGAACGCAGTTGAAGCCTAAGGAAACAACCTGCTCGACCTCGCTGAACAGCGCGGCAATTTCTGATAACGGTGTGCCGTCACTGATGTGGTTGCTATCTCGGAGCGTGAAGCCAAACCATGCCTCTGAAGAGGGGAATTCAGAGGTAAGCAGCCCGATGAGGGCTTCAGTCTCGGCCTTGGATGGTATTGTTTCACAGGCCAGGATATCAACACCTGCTTCTACCAGCGCTTGGATGCGGCCGCGATGGAAACTTTTCATTTCTTCTTTTGGCACAACGTAGTCTCCTCGGTATTCCGAGCCGTCTGCGAGGAACGCGCCATAAGGCCCTACACTTCCTGCAATGAATAGCTCATCTCCAACATCTGGGCTTGTCTCGGTGATGTATTGATCCCGAGCTTCCTGAGCAAGTTCCACACTCTTTTTCACCACGTCCTTGGCCTCCTTTTCGCTCAACGACAGGTGCTTGACAAGGCCGGCAATAGAGGCTTGGTACGACGCGGTAATAGCGACATTTGCGCCTGCGCGGTAGTAGTCCAGATGTGTTTGTTTGATGAGTGAGGGATTCTTAATGAGAATATCGGCAGACCATAGTGCGCCGCTGATGTCTGCTCCCAGGGTTTCCAGATAGGTTGCTAGCGCGCCGTCCAATATCATCGGCGTCCCCTTGGCGATGAGAGTGGAGAGTTTCTTCGGTTGCGGCGGACTTGTAGAAGTCATTTCGTCTTATTGGTACAGTGTCGATCTTCTGGACAGTCAAATGTATTGCGAGTCAGATTGAAGGAGTGGATGCAGCAGAGCCTTCTTAGTTGGCGTTTCACTGAACAGTAGTTTGCACAAAAGGGCGGGGAATGCAGTGTCTAAGATCTTTTTAGTTTGACTGTACTTATTGCGCGATCGCCTAAGTCGCCGTGTTAGGGCATGAACATTTGCGGTTCGGAGAGGCGACGAATGAGGGGTAGCCGCCGACGTTCTTAGGTGGGTCCATAGGCAACGCGTTCACAAACACCCCGTAGCCTAGTCTCTTACAAACACAATACCATTTCCATCGAGTGGACGGCGCACTCATTCTGTTTTCTTGCGCGTCGATTACACTGAAAGCCTCAAGATTCTGAACTCGATCCACAATACGTATCAAAACTGTACTTACTCCTAGCCTCGCTCCAGGACAATAGGAACAGCTTGAGCAGTAACATAGCCAGTACCAAAGATGGAGGGATTCGATCCTTCTTCAGGACTCGTTTACTCAGAGACATCAGTACCCGTCCATTCAATGGTACCCAAATGGACGACTGATTGTCGAGGTAGACGCATCAATCCTTCCATGTACCGACAGCCGTATTGTGATAGTCTGCAGTCAATGGCACTTCGTGCTTGCATCTGGAATGTACACGACATGGAACCCGAAGCATTGCAATGGCTCGGATGGTCATACGCAAGTCCTATCTACAACCATCTCAAGTCAACGTGTGTCATGGACCCCATGTCAATCCTGCTTGTGATATTGCTAACCTACATACAGTGATACGCTCACCTTTCATGCATGGAGTCTCTTTAGAAAGGCTTATCCAGAAGAAATCGATCAGCACACTATATTTCGAGTTCAAGAGCGGGGTCTTGAATCGATACAATACCCTTCTCTGATCGATCGGTTGTCTAAACTCGATGTTGGCATGCTGACCTTTCTTTGCATCATGACACCCAGACTTTCAATATCACATCTTGTCGCTCTCACCAAAATTCAAGGCCTTGCAGTTCTTGTACTAGAAGATGGGTCGGTCGGTTATCGACTTGAAAAGGAGAGACCGCTTGTCGATACAATAAGAAGTTGGGGCCGGAGTATTGCTGAAAGCAGTGTTCTCTCAAAACTACGAGTGTTTGTGTTGAGCGGATACCATGGAATTGAGAGCAGTGTTGTGCTCAAGAGCGTCTCCTCACTTCTCTCCTTGAATCTCGTTGGGATCAACGGCCCGTATACCCCTCCTGAAATCAAAGACTGTGGCGGGGATTGGCAAGACGATAGGCTTCAACGGTAATACTGGGGACCGTGACTTTATGATGCTCTGTTGACTTTATTGAAACAGCTTAACCTTTGACGGAACGACACCTGCCGCCATCTGGGAATCAGCTGCAACAACCAGAGCCTCCACCATGCAACAACTTTATGATTTCTCACTGGGTATTTCTCGCACTAATCCCACCAAAGAATCAGCATATCAATCTGTTTCCATGACATACTCCCAAAGTCAAGCGCCTGTTGCAGTGAGCTCTACCTATTGGTTCTACCGAGAGCTTCGAGATGGACCGGACCCAAGGATAAAGCGTTCACAAAGTATTAGTCAGAGTGAACAAACAGATAACCATGGCAAAAAGAGAAAGATTCGGAATGAAAAGAAGGTCGGCGTCGATGCGCTTCTAGGAAGCTTCATGTAACGACGCACGGCGCCGATAGAAGAAAGTGCCCTGAGCTGGGAAGACCACAGCCAAACATACAGGCCCCAATCTGAAGAGTCTTGACATAAGTTTCTAGGTTTGTAGCGGGACCTTCACCCTGAGTATGATACTGAAAACTTGATCCATTCAACCAACAGATCACAGAGCCCTACTAGAACATGACTTTTAAATATATATAAGTGTGTAGGTCTTACTCAGTAGCAAATTTGATGACATGTTGCTGCTCTTGTTGAAGCTTGGCTGAATGCCAGCACATGTAGATGCCAATGAGACGCAATTCTCCCATGGTGAAGGAGCTGTCACGTGCAGCGGCGGCTTTTCCATCGCTCAGCGACTGCAGTGTTTGCTTTAAAAGGCAACAATGGCCGGCTCATCTCAGAAGAATCTGTTAAGTCACGTGCAAATTCTTGGACCTGCCTGGTTTGCAGCGTAGTGCGGTATGCTTGCTGTTGTGCGGGAGCGTGCCTTCTCTATACTCGACTCAACCCGATGCAATTGCTGTCGTCACCCGCGTCTTGGCACCGTCCATCTGTCAACAAATACCACCGCTTCCTGCGAGCCTCTCTCTCTCCTCCACCAACTTCCTACACTCGCTCGCCACTCTCCCATCCGTCTGTTATCGATTGACCTCGGTCTTTTGGTCGTTTGCTATCTTCTCCCATCAAGTACGCCTCTTGAAACCCACCCACTACTCCAGCTACGCTCGCCATCGTCATGAAGCTGGCCGAGTTCTTTGTCCTCTTCGGAGGTGCTGTCTTTGTGGCTCAGCCTGTTGCAGCTTCTCGTAAGTACTCACTCTCAGCATTACTGCATTTCACACAGATCAATCAGTCGGACCTCTAATCCACCTCAACCTCCTTGATCTCCAACCAATCGTGAATTATATCTAACATGTAAGCAGGTGTCGAGCGTGCTCTCACTGACACCCATTCTACGGTTGTAACGGTCACGTCCACACACCTCATCTCCGAGATTTGCACAGATATTGCGAGCTGTCCTCCTTATACCACCGAGGCCCAGACGGCTGTTGTCTACGTCACAGCCACGACTACAATCTGTATTCTCTCCTCGACCCCTTCGGGATACGGACCGCCTGACACTTCAACTACAGCTTCGTCGATGACTAGCTCAGTCTACCCCCCTGGCTTGGAGAGCTCTGTTAGTCTCATCACAGCGACTTACACTTCTTCGCGTGTCTCTGAGTATCCAACCGGGGTTGTTCCCGAGTCAAGCGCTCTACCCACACAGATGACTTCTTCAAGCATCTACGCTATGCCATTCAGTGTGGCTCCGGAACTGTCTAGCTCATCCAGCCCTGTCGCTATCACTACTTTGAGCGCATCTCAAGGATACAGCGGTACTCCCTCAGACACAGCTGTCGTAACGCTAACTCCATCTGCCACTCCGTCAATCTCATATGTTGTCACAATCACTTCTGCCCTTACTGGGACAGATTCAAGCAGTTCCATTGTGACTCGTTCCGCCTCTAGCACGGACAACGTTGGTACTTCCTATCCAGCGTCTTCGACAGGATCTGGTTCCACTGTCCTTTCGAGTGGATATGGCACCCTTCCCACAAGCTCGGTGGTTTCGTCGTACACAATTTCTCGCCCAGTTCCCAGCAGCAGCTCGAAGACTCCCCCTAACTCATACCCTGCCTCAATCCCACCCAGCAGCTCAGCTACTCAGCCACTCAGCAGCACATATCCCGTGTCTACCTCCCTTACAGGCCCATCGTCAAGCATCAGCTCTGCTAGCCTATCGTCGACTGAATACATTGTCTCATCAGACAGTTCCACAGTACCATCAGGATCCTACACGGGTGCTGTGCCAACCTCCTCAACAGCTTCGTCGTCGATACGGCCATCCTCAAGTGGATACCAAACCTCATCTGACTACCCAACTACCTTACCAGGGACTACTGGACCAGCTTCGAGTGCATACAGCACACCGTCGAGCATCTCGGCTGTCTCGTCAAGCTCCAGAACTGATTCTATGTCTACGTATCCCACGGCCATGTCGAGCAGCTCTGTTATGCCTTCGCTAAGTGTGTATCCCTCATCGCTCCGTAGCTCAGTCACGTTCACTAGCTCCAACATGAGTGCTGTTTTTACTTCACCTCCATCTGGGGTTTCTTCCACTAAATCTGCGTCGAGTGCGTATACTACTCGATCTGGTAGTCCGGTCGTATCCTCAAGCGCCTATCTGAGTGGTATTCCGTCTTCTCCAGCCGTTACCAGCTCTTTGACAACCGTTTCGGGCACGTATCCGGATGTGAGCCCTGGAACCTCTGGCTATCCCAGCCCGCCGCCGCCAGTAGAATTGAACTCTACCGCCTCTGATAGCACGATTAAGATTACCAGCTACCAGACGCAGACTTTGACGTCTCACATTATTACACCAGCCTCTAGTAACTCTAGCCACCATCCCGAGACCAACACTCAAGCTATCGCCACGAGCAACCCTTCAGGTATCTCTACTGGTGCCTCCGGATCTGGGTAAGTTCTCCATGATTACTTCACATTTTGATGCACTTGCTAATTGCCTCCTCAGGTATCTCTACCCCTCTGGTAGCGCAAATGGATCGATCATCGCGCCGTCACCTACCTACGTCGAGGTCCCGATCAACACAGGCCATAACATTGGTGTTGGAAAGGGCTCTCTTGCGGCTGTCGTCGTGATGCTTGCCGTTGCACACTTCGCATAAGTCGATGGACTGGTTTCTCGGACAGACTCGTATGTCATAACGAAGGCTTGTTGTAGTGGGGTATCGTCTTGATGGGACATTCTTGCATCGCCTATTGTGCCTAGCATAGAGCGGCGCGGCTCTGGACACATACTTAGGCTATGGTTCACGGGAATGAGGTGGTGGTATAATCTTTCCAGCGAATGCTTTTTAGCTAGACAGGTTTCTTCTCACACATAATAGCATATAGCACGGCCGGCATCAGAGTAGCATGTCATATACAACACGATTATACTACGGCCGTCGAAAGATTCGTTTGATGCACTTTGGTGATGTTGTGGGTCTTGATTATCTGTCTCTTTGGGGTTGAGTATCGTGTTGTGGGCACCAGGCCTTGTCACTGCACATGGACAGCCTCGAGAGTATCTTCAAGGGTGGCGCTGTTTGTTCTAGGCACCACGTCTCTCCAGACTTGGTCAGGGATGCGCTCATTCTCCGGGAGGATGGAGAAATGCGGACTGGGCTCAGCCTTGAGCCACTTGAAGTCGTCAATCTGATTCCACTGATTCGCCGACTGCGCAAAGTCTGGTGTGATCTGGAAATGGTTAGTTGGACGCAAAGCTCGGGTTTTGGCTTATTTGCACAACATACATAACACTCGGGCAAAGGCGCAAACCGCAGACCCTCGCAGTCCTCGAAAATGGGTCGACTAGCGCTATGCAAGTAGATATCGACATTCCTGCTAGCATGCATGCGGAACTGGCGACACGCCATCACCACAACGCTATTCGACACATGGGTAATGTGTACAGCACCAGAGACATGGCCACAGATGATCAAGCTGTCCTTGATGTTCCGCAGATACAGCGTAGCAAACGGCGCGCCACCATCTGCAGCCGAAGTCGAAGGCGAGAGATCAACGACACAGCGCGCGAGGTGCGATACGACTGGCGAACTAGTGGCGTAGGGAGCCGCCGGTGCAAGCGAAATGTAAACTGAAGACTTGTGTGAGAGTTCAGATGTAGATGTCGATGCATGGTCCTGGTGCGCAGTACTGTTTTCTTGTCGTGATGGCACTGCTTCTTCTGCAGACAGCGATGAACTCGATGTTTCCTGCTTCGCTGTTGATACAGTAGTAGTAGTCGTAGTAACAGTGCTGGTGGCAGTGTTGACGGGCGCAGCACCACCGTCTTTCCGCTTATTCCTGAAGCTGAATTTCTTGGGTGGATCAAAGCTATTTTTTACCGTCTGCAGCTTTTCAGACAGCCCTTTTATCGCCTATGCATTCGCGTCAGCTCATGCGTTGCTCTTTTCTTTTTGTTGTTGTTGTCGTATTAGTAGTAGTCGCTTGTTAGGGCCTTGCATACCTCGCTGTATGTTCGCTGGTCATATGCAGGTAGGTAGCTCGACGCGTCCTTGACCTCGTGCGAGAGGCGATCTATGCCCTCGAGACACTGGTCTATGGCCTGGTTGCGCTCGCGGCTTGCAGGTGCTGTTTCGGGGAGAGCGGAGATTTGGGCTTGGAGGGCTGGGCGCGCGTTGTTAGGAGGCGGGAGGGAGAGTTGGGGGAGAGCGTCGTACATGCGACATCGTGCTGGAACTTGCGGTAGAAAGTTTCCTTGAGATTGGAGTCGGACATGTTTTTTTTTCTCACTCTTTTGAAGAGGCGGTTTTGGGGGAAGTAAATGCGAATTGAGGAATGCGGAGTATGGCTGGCTGGCTTCAATCAGGCTGCCATGTCAAGAGAGGTGCTACGTATGAGAGCGTCGAGAAATGGTTTGGCGGGGCGCGACATAGAGCACAGCGATGCGACAACATCATGTAGAGCAAGAGGGAGTCACTGCAAATCTGATTCGCACCATGTAATCTAGAGTAAAGGTATCATTGATTCTGCCTGCCCGTTCAGAAAACAGCTTCTACACGTTGCAGGAGTGTCACTCAAAGGCACGATACCATCGCATGGGCGTCATGCGAGCTACCCCGCGTTCCACCCAATCGCATGCTGTGCTTTGTCAGACGGGCAACGGCGCGAATATCGGGTGGAGCGAGGCTGGAGGGCCTATCCTTTGTTCAGACGTGCACTTTCGTCTACAATGCATATGTGTAGGTTCAATTGATTGAACTGGATACATATGTGCCTCCAAAACCAAGAATTGGGCGGATAGCCAGGGAACAGCCTCAAGAATGTCTCGAATTGTTGACGTAGTATATACATGAGCCAGACGCCGCCCAGGTCTTCGCAACCAGGTATTTGGTGTAGTGAACTCAAAAGGAAAGGGTGTGGTGCTTCTAAGCCGACTCCTGCGCTGCCTTGACGTCAATTCCGTACTTCTCCAGCAATCGCTGCCGTCTCCTCTCTTCGTAGCCGGGGCCGTAGATTCCTAGCAGAGTCAGTCAGTCTGGTGATGCACAGGGATTGGCTTTGGTGTATCCTACCTCGTCCCTCGCCCAGTTGCTGCAGTGTCTCGGACAGTGGCCGCCTGCGCAGCTTCTTGAGCTCTTCCCTGCGCTCGACCTCGCCGTCGTCGTCGACCTGCTCTCTGATGTCGCCAACGCCTCGGAGACCCATGGTGTATCGGTACGCGGTGAGGGCGGTGGAGAAGCAAGCTCCGGCACCGAGCATGAAGGGAAGGCTTCGTCCTGGGAGGCATGATTAGCGTGGTAGCGGGTGCATTGGCGGGCGGGCATGCGTACTGGCCACACCGACAGCGCAGCCGGCAGCAAATCCGGCGACGGCCTCGCTGTAGCAGTCGTCGCTTCGGCGCAGGTTGCTGGTCGCGTCCAGAGTGAATTGGTATGTGGCTCCCACGCCGGCTGCACGTTGCATTAGCTCACTGGGGCGCGGCAGCAATTCAATTGAGCAGCGACGGACCGTATAGGGCGATTATGCCGCCGGAGCGGGTGAGGATGCCCATGGCGCCCACATTCTGCTTGCGAAGAGTGTTCCGGACTCCGGCAACGACAGCACCCACGGCGGTTGTCTGCAGCGTGGTGCTCAGCGTGTTGGCAAGGGCATCCCGCGGGTGGAAGGTGTGGTCGGCCATGGGGGGCGGAATGGGGGCGTCGATGTCGTCTTGGGGGAGCTCGACGTCTCTCTCTCTCTCGGTCTTGGTGAGGTTGGCCGGGTGCGGGAAGATGCGCAAGAGGGCCTAAGCGTCTTGGCACCCAGCGTCCCAGGCTCTCCGCAATCCAGCGTCACGCAGAAGCACAGCCAAACCAGCACTTGCATATAGGTGTAGATGGAGACATCTCGCATTAGTTATTGGTATCATCAAAGTCTATCTTGGTATATTTGCAGGCTTTTTCAGAGTCACACGGGATTGTCATGGACAGCTGTTGGCTAGTAAACTGCCACCAGAGCAGAGTGCAGCTTGAACAGTGCATTTCCAGTTTGCAATCATCGGCTGTAGGTAATAGTAATAATTGGTGGTATAGCGGTAGTATAGCGGTGGTAGGCAGTGGAGGTGGTAATAGTGCTATGTAGGTAGTAGGCCGAAAGCGCACTAGCGCAAGAGGATTATGTAACGTCCTCGTGCTGGAGCCAATTGAATTAGAGTTCAATCCAGCCAATCAGCGCTGCGCATTCTTGACAGTTTGCGCGCTGGAGGAGCCACGTGACACCCGTGTCGACCATGGTCAGCATCTGAAGCTGCCATCAAGGGCGCAGTTGATTTCATCCCCGTCCAGCGCACGCTGGCCTCTATACAGCTGCTGCAGGCCAGCGCCTTGTGTTGCGGAGCGTGTTTCGGTGGGCGGTAGGCGGTAGCGCGCGGTGCTCCGTTTGCGGCTTTCCCAGTTCCGGGAGTCTGCCATCATGGCGCGCCGCGTCGTCGGGGCCAAGCCTGAGCGGCCGTTCGCCTGCAACCCGTTTCTTCCTGTTCGTGTGTGTGTGGACATATATGTAATATTTCAAATGCATGAAGCGTAAAGACACTCGCATGAAGAGCTCCAGGTCTCGCAATCCGCCCTCGTCGCCCGCTCTGTAGCGCCATAGTGCCGCGCCTTTGCTGGGCAGTCGCCGCCTTCAATGCCCTCTCTCTTGGTGACGATTGCATCCCCCACCCTGTCATCCATCACGACGCTCCTCTGCTGCTCGCAAAGCCATGGTCTCCGGTACCGCTGGCAAGACTGCGCCCCGCCTCCTCCAGGACCTCTTCACATACGACCCCCGCCATGAAGAGCGCGCTGGCCGCAACCTGTTGACAAGCCCGCCACCCCAATACGACGCAAAGGCCCCGGCCGTCGCTGCAGTGCCCTTTAGGAACTGCAGACACAATCTCTTCACCAAAGACCGCCAGTCGATACCCGTCGAGGCTGGCCGCGAGCCCGACTCGCAATCCATATACAAGGTCGCCTCGTACTGCACCAAGTGTCGTTGGCATTTCGACGTCGTCGTCGACCACCGCAATGCTGCTGTGCAGGCCAAGTGGTGTGCAAAGGGAAATACGGAATACGCCCTGCACCACTTCCTCTACCAGGGCGAGGATGGCTCCAATGGCGTCAACGGCCTCGAGGCCCAGCTGCGCTCACGCACCTACGTCTTCCGCTGCTCAGCACCCGAGTGCTCGATCCAAGTCCGCATAAGCATGAAGCCGCCCTTCTTCTCCGACCAGGACATCGAGACCTTGACAAACCAAGCCAAGTTGCGCAAAAGATGGGAAGTCGCGAAGCAGATTGCTGGCGACCGTGCAGATGCTGTCATGGCACGGCGAGTGGACGCTCCCGACTACCTCAACACATATCTGCAGGACTCGTTGAACCCGACCAAGGGCAAGGCACGGATTCCTTTGCTTAACAAGAAGTTCCTTCGGACCTTTGGCAGAGACTGCGATTCCATTCTCAAGCGTCTGGGTTTCGAGAACCGTCAAGAAGAAGAGGATGACGGTACTCTGGTGGAAGCCTGGTACCTCCCCAGGCCGGAGAGCACCGCACACCCTCTCGACTACACCCTACGCACCAAGATCGAAGATGCCCGCTACGAGCTGAACACGATAATAACCAGTATTCCCGAGGCCGACCGCACAGGCTGCAGACACCAGCCCATGCACCCCTTCCCCTCGCGGGACGAGATGGAGAGGGTACTCGCATGCGCCGACTGTATGTTCAAGATTGGACGGCTCGTTGCGCGTGTGGACACTGACAAGCTATACAGACCCCAAGGTGAAAGGACGAGAAACACGTAGCACGAGCCATGAAGAGGATCACCCGTGCGTATACTCACCATCCATCCAACAATCACCATTCACTTACATTTTACAGCTATTATGCTAGCCTAGGTGCTCTAGCTGATTTTGACGACTCGTTGATTCTCTTCGCCTTCTCCCGTCAGGTTGCTGTTGACATTGAGAACAAGGCCTATTACTTTGAATGCTTGCAGGATCTCGCAGCCGGCCGCCAAAGTGAGACGCTTGCAGTCGAGGTTGCTTTGCTGGCTTCTCAGGGCCTCATCAGCAAACGGGACTCTCGGCGCGCATACGAGTACTTTGGTATTGATCCAGCACATGCAGACGTCATTGGCGACGATCATATCATTGGTTCCTTCAGGTCTCGGCTGGCTGATATCAGCACACTGCAAGCCGAAGAGGCTCGGAAGCAGTTGCGAGTCCTCGGGGACGTACGTGGTAGTGACAAAATCAAGGCAGAAGCTTCTGGCTCCATCGAGACGTACGATCAGGCCATGGCATGGTTCGAGCTTGATCACACTGCACCAGACGACTTTGTTCAGACCATGTACACACTAAAGGTACGGTACATTGTTTTGATAGCAAAGAGCAAAGACTAATCCGCCACAGACGCAAGACAACCCAGCAGAAATAGAAACCGCGCAAAAAGCATTAGAGATTATAGCAGAGCACAGACAAAGCGAACGACTGCGGCATTACCTCAAATTCGGCACCATGTCGGAGCCTGAGATGGACCTTGGCGATGCATATGCTCACTTCCAAGTCTCGGACAGAAGTGTTGCGCTTGACCCGGCTGTTCTGGATTCTCTACTCAGCACCTACGACATGGGTACGAGCGAAAGAGCGAGAATGGAGAAAGCACATGCTCTCATTCAGCAAGATCAGGCCGAGAGGTTCGGCAACCGCCCTGCAAATGCGAGCATGCCTGTCGTGCGGCGCAACAACTACCCACTCGACTCATGGCCAGTTGGTCTCAGGAACATTGGCAACACATGTTATCTAAATAGCGTGTTGCAATTTCTCTTCACTATCAAGCCATTGCGGGACCTTATTCTCAATTGCGAGGAGCACTTGCAAGACCCTTCGCCAGAAGCCCTCAAGGACAAGAAGGTTGGACGGATGGCAGTCACCCCGGAAAGGGTCAAGACTGCGCAGAAATGTTTGTATGTCGTGAATATCTGCAAATATATACTGACCCTGCCCAGTCGTCCGCGAGTTGCGCACCTTTTTCGAGCGTATGATTACTGCACCTACCGATACGGTACAACCTGAAATAGACTTGGCTTCACTTGCACTGTGCAAATCAGACATTTCAGAGGAGACGGTACAGTCACCGGATGCAGATGCCACTGGAGTCGCAGGCCTTGGTACCATTGATGGAGCGGTCGTCAGTGGCCCCATGTTACCGCCTGCTGCGGACGATTCTACGCCAGTCGAGGCTCCTGCAGGATCCGCTGTAGAGGGCGGTCATGTCGATTCAGCAGATTCTGTCATGAAGAATGCCGACACAACTGCTCCTGCAGACTCTGAGATGAAGGAGGTTAGCTCTACGGACAATGATAAAAAGGATGAGGCTGATGTCCCTGCTCCACCAACGCGGCCACCTCCAATTCCACCGCGAGCAGACCCTAAACCGGCTATCAAATCCCCTGTTCGGTCAAGCACCACAATTGGTCGGATTGAAGAAAGTGCTCGACAGCAGGATGCCGCAGAGGTCATGGCTAACATTTTCGATCTGATATCCTGTGCCATCACGGGCGACAGTGTTTTACGAGAAGGCGAGCAAGGAGACGCCATCAAGAAGCTTTTCTTTGGTGATGTCACAACAGTCATGGAGAAACCGGATGGAGTCCAAAAGAATCAGGAGCTTCGAGACCACTTCCTGGTTGCCACTGGTCGCCGCGATCGCTCGCTCTACGCGACCTTGGACGAGGATTTTGGTCTAGGTGAAATAGAAGGTGGTGGTGGTACCAGATACGATTACGTCGAGCAGGCTGCACCTATTCAGATCATCAACGTAAAGCGGCTACAGTACGAAAAGGGCCAGCCCGTATACGACCACTCGCACATTGGCCTTGAGAAGACCATGTACTTAGACCGGTACTTGGCAAGGACACCAATGCTAGACGAATCCGAGCTACTGGAACTCCGCAAAGCGCAATGGGCAAAACAGAAGCAGCTGCGAGAGCTGGACGCAAAGCGGACAAAACTGCAGACGAGCGGTATTGAGAACATGAACCTACCAGAGTGTCTTGAAGCCACTAGCGACTTTATCAAGAGCCTGTCTACAGAGAGGACGGAAGATGAAGACCAGCAAGCGGCTCCAGCCAGTCTACCAACCCCTCCTCCAGAGTTGTCCGAGACGCTGCACGACCGTGCCACTGATCTCGCCTCGGAACTTGCAGGCATTGATGCCCAGATGACGATGCTAGAATCCGAAATCAGCAATGTTTTCGGTGATTGTACATCGGTTCCGTACCGGCTGCACGCCGTTTTCGTGCATCGCGGCGATGTCAAGGGTGGGCACTACTGGATCTACATTTACGATTTCCAGAACAAAGAATGGCGAAGCTACAACGACGATAGGGTGGAGAAGGTTGTAGATGAGAGCGTAGTACTGGACAAAGAAGAGAGCAGCCGGCCCAAGGTCAGCACGGGCGTGGTGTACGTTCGGGAAGATCTGGCAGAAGCATACACAGAGGCCGTGTGCCGGCGGCCCGAGCAACCCAATAGCGAGGAAAAGGATGTCGAGATGAAGGACGCGGTGGATGGAGCGGACGAGGAGCTGCCCGACCTGGAGCCCGTGGACACAACAAACGTGCCAGTGATTGAGGGCGTGGAGAAGCTGTAAGCTCTTTTTTACCGAGCGCCAACTCAGCACCCGTTTCTCTGCGCTTTGCATGGTACTGACATGACAGTCCACCTTCACGCACGCTCGCCGCGCCATGTGAAGCGCCGTCAGTCGTCGACTCGAATGATTCAGCAAACGAAGACTATGCCGTTGTGGGGAAGCGAAAAGGCACGCGGCTGGAATCCCCGCCCAAGAAGGGAAGGCCGCGTGGTGATGGCACGGAGAGTATGCCGGTGGAGTTGGAGGATGAGTGGGTTCAGGTGTAGACGTGGGGTGAGGGGGGTAGCATAGATCGAGCATGTTCTTTAGCATTGCTAAATGCATTTGGAAGGGAAGAGGGTAATGCATAATGAAGCACATTGAACTTTCTCTCTTCATCTTTATCTTCTTCAAAACATACTATGCTATACAAAGCAAGAAAGGAAATCATTGTGAAAAAGCTGCTATGTTTACTTCTAATCTTTACCCTCATCTTCATTGTACTCATTTTACAAGTCTTAGCCTTGCTATATTTACGTATTTTCCACAGCTTCTCCTTTACAAAGAAAGATGTAGAGAAAGGGAGAGAGGATACATGTATACATCTACCCAACTCAGCAATCAATCTCACATTATATACACCCTGATATCTCTTACATTTATATGCATACTTGGATACGTTATGCGTATGCATGTACCTACAAGCCTATGTAGATATATATATATATATAATACAAAGTCGCTCAACGAAAGAACAGTATTCATATCGACTTGCATGTATGCGATAAAGCGACGGCGCGGATATACAGCTATTGACGCAGTAACTGCTGAGTCTAGTGCTAAGCTTATATCCGCTTCATCGCATCGTGTGCAAGAGGGAATGGTATAATTAGTGGTTATGCTGAATTCAAATGGACAGCGAAACCAGGGACAACGAGGAGATGAAGATGCATCTGCTACAAGCACACGATATCTGGTCCTTGACGCGATGCATATAGAGCTGTTCACGCCAGCTCTGGTTCGAATAAAAAAACTCGAGATGTTGTGATGCTGCAATGTGTGCAGGCTCAAGAACCAAAAGTCACATGTGGACATGAATGATATGGGGGTGCTCAAGTTAGTACCCATCGACAACAACAAGACGGCATCACGAAAAACAACGATTCAAACATCATAAGCTTTTGATAGATTACCAGATATGTGCAAATCATGTGGCGGGTGCTCAGAGACCGCAGGGGAGGAGGGGGGTGAGGGGAGGAGAGAGATAGAGAGCAGTCACCCAGAACCGTCTACGAGCTGATGCCCACCAGGTGAATGCTCTTGTAGTACAAGGAAGCACTCAGTGAAGGCGTACGTACTTGTAATACACGCCCCAGAAAAGATTACGGGAAAGAAAAGACAAACAAATCAAAACCCGCTACGCCTTGCTCCCATATTCACATGCATTTTCGACGGGAAACCCAGAAAAAAAGAGAAGAAAACAGTCGAGGCCCTGCTCATTTTACATTGCTGCCCATTTCGCCACACGGCAGCAAGCTTACGTTGCAAGCACATGTGCCTAGATACGGTGCTTTTCCGATTCTGTATAGCGCGTTAATTTGAGGGTGCAATCAAAGGGGATGGGTTTACTGACCAAGTCGCGAATACAACATGTAGAGTGCCATTTGGTTACACTCTTGTGTACCTGTGATAGTGACAAGACGCTCGTTGCTGTTGTCGGTAGGCTCGTTGATCTTGATGACACTGCCACTCAGCTGGCGAATCTCGTTGATCTTGGCACCGCCCTTTCCAATAATGGCGCCAACCATATCGTTGGGGATGAAAATTTGCTGTGTGAGGGGCTGTCCGGGAATGGCACCAACTGCTGCTGCATGAGGCGCTGCACCGTGTGCAACAGGTGCTGCAGCAGGATGAGCACCATAGGGAGTGGGGGCAGCAGGGCCGCCGCCATAGGGACCACCACGGTTGGGCGAAGCAGCACCATAAGGCATGCTAGGATGACCGTATGGCGACTGCTGGGGAGCCTGTCCATGCATGTGGGGAGCACCATATCCTCCATGGGCGGGGGTGCGTTGAGGAGGTTCTTGGCGACGGAAATTCTGTGGGTGAGAGTACTGACCTCCGGCAGGCTGAGGGACGTATGGCTGGACAGACATGCCGCCTGGAACCACATTGGCAGCCATGCCGCTACGGGTGGCATATTGAGATGCCGCGGGTCCACCAAAGCGCTCCGTCAACTGCTCAACCAGAGTCTGAGCAACATAGTACACAGCAATGTGCACAGCGTCAGCAACACCCAGGACGATCAACGAGCGCTCGCCCGAGTTAGGAAGGAGGGTGTCAGATGCATTCAACTTGGCATTGGAAGCCTCCTGGATCTCGCGGATTCGAACACCAGCTTTGCCGATAATGGAGCCAATGAGAATGTGCGGGATGAGCAGACGCATGGGGTAGGCCTTGGATGTCGAGGTAGAAGGCGTCTCGAGGTCCTCTTGGTTGAGAGTGCGCACAATGAGGCCAAATGCCTTGGACACAGCATCCACTTGGCCGCTTACAGTAAGAATGCGCTCAACGGCACCGCGTGAGTAGTCGCTGACAGTGCACTTGGCGCCAGACAGGCGGCGGATCTGGGTTACATTCTCTCCGCCTTTGCCGATAATGGTGGCGGCCTCGCTGGTGCCGATGCAAGCACGCACATGCAGCCAGTTGGTCTCGTCAACCTGCTGGTTGGGGTTCACAGGACGGCCGTTGGCACCAGACGTCGACTGGATGGGCTGGGTCTCAAGGATGGAGGGAGCGTCCGGGACGACCGTGTCGGAGTGGGTGGGCTCTGCGCCATTTTCCACGGCGGGCGCAGCTAGGTCAGGATCCGCCTTTGCAAGCTCTTCGTTGAGGGCCTCGGTGGCGACACCATCTGCCTTGACGGGGTGCGCGATCTCAATGTCGTCTGCGCTGGGGGCGTCGTCCTTGACCATCTTGTCCAGGGCAGGGCGCTTGGCATCGGGCTGGTCGTTGAGTCCGGCAGGCGACGACGGCTCCTCGAGGGGCCGCTTCGTCGAGGAAGCCGCAATGGTGGGGGATGCAGACATGGCTTCTATGTATGAGTGTGGGATCTTGAATCGTAAACGCGACTACGCGCTCTTCACAGCAGTCGACGTGGGCGCAAACGCGAGGTTGAGACTTGTTCAATTGATCTCGATTATCTTTGCGACTTTTATGTACAGCGGGGGCCGTGAAGGGAAGCGTGCTGTGAGGACGGGCTGGAGGGAATCGCGACAGGGCGGTGAAGGTGTGCGTGGAGGAGAGGTCGCCAGGAGCTTGAACGGAGTTTTGGGGCGTGCAGAGGGAGCGAGGTCGGAAAAGGGATGCGTCGACAGAGTGGGCAGTCGAGCGTGATGGAGCTTGTGATGGAGCAGGAGAGTCGGGCAGAGTGGTGGTGTGTGTTTCTCTCGGGGGCGATGGATGGATGGATGGATGATGGATGGGTGAGGTCGAGAGATGAAGAAACTGGCCCAAGTAAAGAAAGCTCGCCCGTCAAACCTTGTCGGCAGCGATCCGGCGTCTCAGGTGGGGGAGAGTCCGATGTTGCGCGCCGGCCTTCTCAAACGAGAAAGCAATGGTAAGGAGAAAGGGGGGTGGGCAGTGAAGAGGGGTGGTGATGGAGAAGGAGCTTGGGGCGGCGATGGTTGGGGAAGCAGCAGGCGAATGGCGAGAGGGAAGGAGCGCAGCCGTGCAAAAAGGAAGCAGTCGCGGGGACACGCGCTAAGTCTTGGCACGTCACGTGCCCACCACACCGCGACCGCCCATGCCAGAGAGCGACTGCACCCAAGGCCGCGATACGACTGCCGACGAGCTCTGCCTGGCCAGCGACAGCGTGCACTGCCGGACGTCGACGAAGCGGGTGGGGGCGTGAGGGTCCCACGCGCCAGACACGACGCGTCTGTTACTTAGCGAACCTGCAAACCACCAGAACACGCGAGGAAGAGAACGACGACGAGAAAGAGACATGGATCCAGCCGTCGAGCGGATACGAGAATATGCGCGTGATGCCCGCGCGCGCCAGGACGATGCTGTCGACTTTGACCCGGCCGACACGGAGGCTCGCCTGGCGCAGACGGTGAAGGAGCTGCAGGCACGCGTACAGGAACAACAAGCAGCGCTGGACCAGGTGAGGGCCTCGTAGTATTGTAGGGAGCGTTGCTAACCAGACACCAGCTACGCTCTCAATCCAGCATCGACCTGGAAACCGCCGCCTATGCATCAGAGGACCCGCGCCAGAGGCTGCAGCAACTCGTGGCTGTCAAAGACGCATACAAGCGCTTGACGCCAACAGCCACCTATTTGCCTCCCCAGGCATCCCTTCTGCCCGCCCTGTTGGCAGCACGTACTCTCCAGCAAAACGTCCAGGGAACCAAGGAAGCCTTTGCTAGCACGCAATCTCAGCTAGAATCCAAAGAGACGGCTCTTCGTCGCGAAGAAGCCAACCTACGTGATGCCAACCGCCTCACCCAGGCCATGCAAGACCGCATTGAGCGGCTGCGTGCACAGCACCAGGACCGCTCCCAAAAGACTCCTGCTCAACTCGCACGCGATCTGATTGCCGCCAAACGTGCCCAGAAAGAGCACTACGACGAAGAGATGCAGCGCCTTGGCGGGGCCATGAATGACTTTATCAACGACTACCTCTCCACCATGCTCGCAGCCGAAGAGCTAGGCGGGCCCGTGGTAGGCGAGATGCTCGATGTAGACGACGACACACTAGCTGCGGGCTTCACCAGAAAAGGGCGCGCAAAGTCGACCAAGAAGCCTCCATCCGACAAGACACGGCAGCGCAGAATCGATGACATCTGGGGCAAGAAGGCGGTTGTCGAGCAAGACGACGAGGAAGAGCCGCCAACGGAAGCTGAAGCAGCCGACGCAGAGATGCGGCAATTGATAGGCAACCTGTTTGCTACTCTGATGGGGCCTGGCAAAGGCAACGCCTACCTCCAGCTCCAGCGGGATTCTGCGGCTTCGAGATTCCTGGTCAGGGCGAGGATTGCCCAATTCCACCCCAAGGATGCGACCAAGCTGCGATTGATCGACTTTGGACGGGAGCTAGATGACTAAGGGCGTTGAGTTAGTACAGATGCGCAATGACATTCAGCCCAGCCATTGGCTCTTGCAAGACGCTCAGAAAGAGACGGTGTAGCTCCGCTTGACGTGTTGTTCTAGCTTGGCGTGAAGCACACGCGTTTGCTGAGCTGTGGCGGTGCGCTGCTAACCCCTTCCAACACACGATGCATTCCGCGTTGGCTATATTCCTTTTGTACCGTATCAATAGCTTGGCCGGGCTTCCTCCTGCCACTTCCTGCGACGCACACTCCCCCAATTCCACGCAACAAGTCAGTGACCACCCAGGTCTATAGTCTGGATAACCCCAGTGTATAGCAATACGCCACGGTGTCTTTCCCGCGAGGCGCCAATATGGCCCCTTCCTCAGTATTGACCCTGGCGGACGGGCAGTCCTCCGGTCTACACTAAAGGGCGAGGCTTTGGCGTCGGGCACACGATACAAAAGTAGGCCCTGGATATATGCCTATCTACCACATTGGGTCCACGATGGCCCCGCACCCATGTCCCCGAAGGATTGCTACCAGGACAAGGCTTCATGGCATGGTCTGATGTGTGAGGGGAAAGGAAGGCGATGATCCCGTCCTGGCGCTTCCGCCGAAAGGGCAACAAAAAGGGCTGACGGCGCCGTGATCTATGCAATCATGCGCATAGACGGCGTTGCTTATCCGTAAACCAGGGAACGGAGAGAGCAGGAAAGAGACTCATTCATCGTCTGTTCCCGCCCCGTCTTGAATCATGATTACTCATGCAAAGGGGAAGAAGAAGGAATATACCCGCCCCGGACGGCCAGGTTGCATAACAAGCAAAGTGTATAATTGCCAATTGTCCTAAGACTAAGCTCGAACAATTATGCTTTGAGCACCCCCGAACGCTTAATAACATTGTCGGGGAAATGCCAAAAGTGGTCGTTGGGCGCGCGCAAAGTGACAGAAAAGCGGATAACGCAACCGCCAGCCAACCAGCCAGCCGACCAGCCAGCCAACCAACCAAGCGAAGGGGGTCGCGTCCATTACCTTGAACAGCCATAGCCCGTGACATGTAACTAATGCATCCTTCCTTCCATCGACGTGGCTCCTCTACACTAGGGTATTCGGCACTGCACTGCACTAATAACATCCAGATCCAAGATGATATCACGCCCTGCGATATGGCCCAACCGGCAGTCTTCCAGCCACGCGTAATTTTTTTTCCTTTTCCTGGAAAGGGGAGAAGGAAGTGAGTGACAGATGGCATGACATTTTGGCGCGGCGGCGCGGCAAAGATTGGCCGTGTGCATGGGTAAAGTGTGTCTGTGTCTGTGGTCTTGTGGAACCCAAACAAAAAAGGGCCCCCTCCCCAAAAGATATGAAGCGAAATTGAACCCCACGATGGCTGGCGCGCGCTGATGATTCGAGGAAAGGCGATATTTTCCTCTCTGGTCGGGCTTTGCTGGCCTTGTCGGCAAAATACGAAAAAAAAGAGGGCCCGACCCAGCAAGCACAAGCACAAGCAGTCAGGCCCAGCCCCAGCTCAGCTCAGCTAGGCGGCAAAGTTGGGATCGCGATGGCGATGGCGCACGCGCGCCGAGCACAGGAGGGAGGGGTTGTTACTTGTGCCGGTCGAGAGCCGGTTGGCTGCTTACGCGGTGTCTGACAGAGTCAGGACCGTACATAGATGGATGGATGGACGATGGGCACATTGACAGGTACCAGGCTTTGGGAAGCGAGCGGAAGCCTTGCCTCGCTGCGGGGAATACAAGAGCCTATCACTACTGCAGACTGTATGGTGCCAGTGTCAGCAGTGATCGCCGTCCGAGTCGCTGTAGCCATGTAACCGCATGCATACGGGGGGGACCTTCTACCTGAAACACTTTGTTGCGGTTGATCAGCGCCGTCTCCAGCTTACTTACTAGCTCCCTTGACCGCACATATGAAGTCATGGGCCCAGAACCCAAGGTAAGGATTTTTCCTCTGGCTCTAAAAAAAACGTGATCATTTGCCAGATTTGAATTTGCCGTAATTGGGCGGCGCCATCAATGGACGAGGGGGGCGGGCGTCCACGTGCGGGGGCCCTACATAGATAGTAGTAACTTCTTCCGACGGAGGGGGCTTGACAATGCACATGCAGCAGGGGGGGGGAGCAAGGTCCCGCTCTTTCAGCTTTGCTTCTAGCTGTTATGTACGCGACTCAGAGGAAAAGAAGAAGCAGATTGAAGAGGGAACCAAAAAAAAATTCGAGATCTCGTATGTAATTCTGCGATCCTGGTTCCACGAGCGCGAAATTGCGTAAATCGTTCGCCCCGGATGTTCGAATTTAACCTCTCCGCCCCCTTCGGCTTCCCCCTCCTAGATTGGGGCTGAAAACGTGCGCACGGCGGCGGCGGTGGCAGCGGTGGCCCACCCGGCGGTAGAATGAATGGATTGCGTCTAGCAAAGAAAAAAAAACCGCGCGGGCGCATTGTTGTGGTGGTGGTGGTGGTGGTGGTGGTAGTGGCTGGGAGAGGGAGCGAGCTTCTCTGCGGGCATTGGTTCTGGTACCGGTAGTCTTGCCGGGCAGCACCAGCACTAGGCGAGGGCCATGTTACATACGTATGTATGTAACTATGTAATGTAATATGTACATGGGAACATGAATGGCCGCAAATCAGATGAGCCTCGAAGCGCGCAAAAAAGCCCGCCTTGCCCATCCACCAAACAGGACTAGAAAAAAGGCGGGCTGCAGACATGTCTGAATGAACCCAGTGTTATATTCGATCGTTGCTAAGGTTTTTGTCGTTGTGACCGCGAGTCATTGCCATGACGACATATGCACACTCGCGCACGCCTCGGCTGTGGCATCACATAGCAACATATTAATCACAATCAAAGAAAGGAAGGAAGAAATGGAACAAAGGAAAAAGGGCTTCAATCGCCTGAGTCCTTTCTGCGCGTGGAGCATGCCGCCCGCGAACTGACCCGTTCCACCGGCGCACATAGACAGATGGTCCAAAATACACTAAGCACTCGTACCGCAGCATTACCGCCCGCTCCAGCGGGGATTAGGGCTCGTATTAGGTGTAGTTTCGTAATCATAGTTCGACAGAGAGAGTGGGAGAGTGGGAGAGTGGGAAAAGCCCGTTCCAATCACTTTGGCCCCGACAAAGCCCTAGCCGTCCCGTAAGACGACTAATCATGTGCGGGAGAAGAAAAAAGCAAAGAAGATGGGAAAAAAAGGGCCGGATATGTAGGTATGTCGTTCTATGGCTATCTGTCTGTTTCTCTCTCTCTCTCTCTCTCTCTCTTGCTGCGACATGGGGCAGGCGTGCTACATAGTCCAAGCTCACGGGGCCAGCCCCAGTCCAGCTCCAGCCCCCGGGCTAGATGTTGAACTAATCTAAACCATGTACATGACTAAGAGACTAAAAGCCGATTATGTTACTTTACTGCTAACCAAACAAGCATACATACATACATACAAACAAACAAACAACCGGGGGCAATCAACCCATGACTTATTACGAGAAAGCACGCAAATTACACTTGACTAACCTACTTCACCGCGAAGCGAACTGAAAAAAAACTAAACTAAACTAAACTAAACTCATCGCAACATTTCGTATCCAAATTACCCGGTACCGATGCCCAAGATCTGCAAACGACCGGGGGGTTTCATAACTGTAACTGTAAGTAGGTGTAGGTGCGAGGGTGGATGAATGAAAACACGCGTGTCACCACCACCACCACCCCCGCAGCTCGAGTCTAGAACAAACAAAGTCGCCCTCGTATTCACGAAAAAAAGGGCTTTCTTTTCCCTCCTTCCTCTCTGAATGGTTGCAGCCAAAGTGAGGCGTGCGCACGCGCTGAGGTCTGTCTGTCTGTCTGGCATGTGAATGGGACTGGGAATAGGAATGGAAATGGGAGTGGCAAGGCGGTACGTACGTACGTAAGTAGGCGTAATAGACGCGTTTCATTTTTCGCCACGCATGAGATAGTAGTAGGGTGTGTATGGGTTGTGGCTGTGCAGACATACACACATCTACACACACATGCACATGCACATCTATACAAGATGCATATACACCTACTTACAGTATTTATCCCACACCTTACATGATCAATCCATCCAAAATAAATCGAAAAAAAAACCTCACCCTCCCCCCCTATAGCGATAACAAAGCCCTTATCATGCCCCCCTCCCACACTTTACACTCACTACCACTACCACTACCACTACCACTACACTACTCGTTTCACGCACTTTTCCAACCCCAACCCCAACATCAACATTTCGTATTTCGCATTTCGCATTTGGTATTTTGCATTTTCCTCGCTACACCTACGTTAAACATTGCGCTCCTCACCATTTCTTCCTCGGCTCACCTGCGGACCCCCCCCCCCCCTCTCAAAAAAAATAAAAGTGGCGAAAACTTGCCAGATCAGCACGATATACGTACGTACGTACGTTACACAGACACATATATAAATGGGCTTTGTAGGTGTACACCTACAGTAGTCGTCACAGATGTGTGGAGTTTGACAACCACGACGGTGACGGTGACGGGGGTTATTGCTATTGTTATTGTTGTTATTGTTGTTATTGGGAAAATTAAAAAATAGGAACAAGGATCAAGGATCAAGGAATAAGGATCAAGGGAAGGATATGTAATGCATACATGTGTGTGTGTGTGCATGGGTAAGTGAGTCAGCATGAAAAAATTCGTCTTAGTTTCCCTTCTTTTCCCCTTAGCCCCACTGTGTCAGTGTCAACTGTGCATTGTCAACCCTACCAAAAAAAAAGATGTTGATCTACATGACCATCTCCATCTACATTACACCAGCACCAGTGCCAGTGTCAGTGCCAGTGCCAGCATCATAGACCTAGACTTGGACGTATACGACGTAGCAGCACAGCCCCATTGTGCTACGTAACCCCCCAGAAAGCGGGAAACTCACAGTGGCAAAGAGCCATGCACATGTGTACGTAGATACAAAAGCCGCGAACCGCGAGTCCAGCCACAGCCACAGCCACAGTCCAGTCCAGTCCAGTCCAGTCCAGTCCAACACTCGCCACTTGGCTTCGCCTATTGGGGTACAGTATGTGTGGATTGGATAAACCTAAAACACGGGCGATCTTACAGCTAGATGGAAAAGAGGAAAAACACGCTCATTGGTCCAATATGTAAACCTTATTATACTACATGTAGATACACTACAAAAAAAACCTTAGTTACAACCACAACAGCATTGCTACTATAATAAGACGGGACGGGAATCATGGTTTATCTTAGTGTTAGTTACGTAGTTAGTTGCATGCATACAAGGGACTGTCCAACCAGAAGACAGTTTGTGCGTATTGGTATGGGTGCCGAGCTGCTAGGAGAAAATAATAAAGGTGCTTTGATTGGTGCAAGGTGCTAGTCTCTCGCTCTCTCTCAATCTCTCTCTCTCTCTCCGTGTGTCAGTGACAGTGACAGTGTTTTTGTCTGTCTCGGCGCAACCGTCTTAGGCCCCCGTGGCGCGGGTCGGAGTTCGCGATGTGTTCGGCTTCCCATGTAGCCTAGTGCGTGGCAAAGGATCAACTGTCCTGTCGCTGGGGGAGGGGGCACTTCGGACAAGCCATGGTGGTTACAGAAGGCAAGCCGAGCGCCCCCAGCGGCTATGACGGACAACAGCTAGTAAGCCATTCTCGTGGATTTGGTCGGATCGGTGCCGTGTGCCGCGTGTCGCTGTGTTATCAGACGACCCATGCACGAGCACGCCTGCATGAACATGTGCATGTGTAAACCCCCCAATGCAAAAAAAAGGCTGCCCAAGTGACAGTTGGTAGGATGCGCACATGTTTCACGTTTGCCACAACGACGACACACACACACACACACACACACGCGCGCGCACACGGCTCGCTCGCAGTGCTGCCGCTGCCGCTGCCGCTGCTCACCAGGTTCAATCGGCCCGTCGCTATCCAGCACCTGAGCTGCCTTTGCCAGCGCATCCTCTACACCCTGCTCCTTTGATTTGTCTCCTCAGGCTCATCTGTATCGTCGTCGTGATTCGTGAGCGGTGTGCTGCACAATGACATCAAGCTTCGGGCACACCATGCCTAGGCTCGGAACATGAGCTGTCGGCATCGGCTACCATACCCACCGCCCACCGCCCACACCCACACCCACACCCTACCCGCCAGCCCCCCCCCCCTTCCCCCTCCTCAATCTCTCGCGTTCAGGGGTCCCCACTCAAGAGGCCTGGCCATATGCGATACGCTTGTTTCCGATGGTCATTCCTCGATTCTCTCGACATCGTCTTGTCCATTATGCATTGTCGCGACTCGCCGATGCTCTGGCCTCGTCGCGATGCTGAAAAATTTGTCGTCGTATTGGAATCCAGGCCGCCCGCGCACATGGCCTGATTTCTCTCTGCCCTTGATGGCGCCTCGAGGCTCCGCTGCGTGCCAAGACTGCGACTTGATGCAAAGGAGCTCTAATGGACCATGGCGATACCGGAACGGGCTCGGTCAGAAGGTGCTGTCAAGACTTGTCACTATGTCATAATGTCAGTGGAGAAAGCGTCCAACGGCCGGTCCAGCTTCGGTCGTGACATGCCCATCTTAAGACATGCATGTTGCAAAAAAATTTTGACAAGGAAAATTTGGACATGTTGCGACAATTCTAGTGTACGTGTAGGACCGCAAAGACTTTGATTAGGCATCCAGGCCGAGCTGGGCATGTATGTGTGTGTGTGTGTGTGTGTGTGTGTGTGTGTGTGGTAAGACAAGTCGCCATCCTTGTTGTCTGTAAGAGGAAATTACACCCCAACGCTCCCTCGTCGTACTGCATATGTGTATCTCGCTATGTCTTCGTAACAGATCGTTCATGTGCAATCTCAGCCGCTGAAAATGGTGAAAATGGTAATGGTATAATGGGTATCGTCGTCGCACCGAAAAGTCGAAGAGAATGGTATCAACAAAGGAAACAAAGCAAACAAGCAAACAAGCCGACCACTCGACTTGGACAAGTCAAAAGTAGTAATAGCCAACACGCACAATGCAATGCGAGGGCTCCAAGGTACAAATGGTACGCGCGTCATTACGGTTGGAGCGTCGCCAAGAAAACAGGGTATCAAGGTGAAGGAGGAAAGCTAGAAGAGAAGACGAAGCTCGTAGCCGGTGGAGTGGACCGTTTCCGCAACGCCAATATCTCCATCGACCTGAATGTCTGCAGGGTCAGCCTCCCATTCGCGCTTCATACCGTGCACGGGCGGTGTGCCAATCTCGTGGAACTCGGCCGTCATGTCCTGTTGCTCGGGGATCCTGCTAACCGCGTCGTCGTCCATGAGAATCTGCAGTCCTTTTTGGTTGACGCGAATGGTGCGCGTGACCTTTGTGGGCTCCATCTTGATCTTCATGGCAATGCCCGCCACAAGCTCCTTGACGGTGCGGTCCATGAGGTAAACGGCGCGGAAATAGTTGTCGTCGGGCTGCCGACCGGCAACGCGTGGCTGGACGAAAAAGCAAGCAACGGGCTTGAGCATCGGCTCCGGCGGTGGCTGGTACGTCTGATCAACGCCAAGCGCCTCGATCCATCCAGACAGGGCGTGATCGTTCGAATACGGCCGTTGAACCTTGGTGGGCACATCTGCACCTCCATGCATGCCAGCCATGGCCTTGAGATCGCCCGTAGCTGTTTGGGGAAGATTCCGCCATTCACTCGATGTCATGCGCGTGGGTGGCTGGAAGGGCTGCGGGCGCTGGAAAGAAGAAGCACGCCGCTTTTCCGAGTGGAGAGATTGCGAGCTGGGCGTGGGCGACACGACGGATGAGGTGGATGTTTGCGGCTCCTGGCCATCCCACATTTGCGCGTCCACGTTGGTGTCGAGCTTGGAGAGGTCCTGGGGCACTGCGCCCAGCACGACGGGGTGCAAGTCTGGGTCGTCCTCGGGCTCGCCTTTGAGATAGAGAACACTGACGGGTCGGGTGGAGCTGAACATGTCCTGCAACGACGCCAGCTTGATGTGGAGATCTTCCTCGGCAGGCGCGCGCGATGCTTGGTTGTCGCTCGTCGAAGACATGGACCACGTCCTCTTGTGCTTGGGCACTTTTCCGGGCCGTTGGCTCATGCTGCCCTTGGAGATGGAGCCGCTGCGCTTCCGCTTGCCGAAATCCTTCATGCCCGACTCGACCTGGGCAATCTGCTGCTTGAGCTTGTCAATTGTCTTCTTGACGTGCGCGACATCGTTGGATAGTTTGCGCTCAGCGCCGTGGTCTCGGAAGAGCTTGACCTTGCAGTAGCACAGCTCAGCGTCTGTTCGTTGGGGCGACGATGCCGCCGTTTCCGTCACCACTTCTGTCTTTGCGCACAGCCGGACCGGGATTCCCTTGACGCCCTTGGAATGGCTAAAGTCGGTCGAGAGAAAGTTGAAGCGTACAGCCAGGGAGCACTCGGGCGAAGCGTTGTGGACCGGTGTCCATGTCACGACGAAGCCGTCAAACGACGAGGATTCCAGCTCCACCCGCGGCCGCCCTTGGACTTCGCCGCCGCCGACCTGGCTCGGATCGACAAACTCGACCGCCTGCAGGCGCCCGCCGCGCTGGTGGGCCTCGTTGGTGCCGCGGCCCTCTTTCCACAGCTGCCAGCAAGACGCAGGGCGCTGGCGTTGCTGCTCATCCTCAAAGGAAATGCGGATAAAGGTGCGGTACTTGAGCGGCTGGGACGGCACTTGCAGTGGGGCCGTGTCAACCAACGAGATGGAGTAGGCCTGTCCTTTGTTGAGATACGTGACCGGGACTTCGTCAGATTGCTTGACCATGGCGGTCGGGGCATTCAGGGTGACGTGGTATCGGAAGCTATCGAGGATTTAGCACAGACTGGTAAACATGGCACGTGGTGCGGCGGCTCACTTTTGGTTGGGTGGAGGGGGTGCAGGAGCGACGGCGGGCGCCATGGCGTTGTCCTGGTACGAATGGGGTGCGAATCCAATCAGGGGCGACTGCTCGTGCATGTCGACTTCTGGGACCATGTTGTCCATGGGAGAGTTTTCATGGGGTTGCGCCAAGGGGCCCTGGTCGAAGGCCGAGGGCTGGTGGGTGAACTGATGGGGCGCAAACGACTGCGAGTGCTGGGGCTGGGGCTGCATGCCAAAGGGATTGACATTGTGGAAGTGGTGCGAGCCGAGGGCATGGGGATTGAAGCCGTGGAGATGGGCCGTGGGGGCAATCTGGCCGGCGTGGACGCCGCCCTCGGACGTGGGCAGCGACAGCGGGGTTCCTAGGCCGAAGCTGAAGCCGGGCGTGTGCAGGTCACCGGCCTGGCTGTGGTAGAGCGTGTTGGTGCCGCCGGGCGTTGGGGTGTAGTAACCCGGGGGCTGGTTTGCGAACGAGGTGAAGGCGAAGCTGTTGGGGTCGAGCAGCGAGGGCGTGAAGCGCCATTGCTCGGCGTTTGCGCGCGGCGTCGGGTCCTGGTCCTTGATGTCGTCATGGGTGTCGGGTTGGCTGGTGGTGCAACTATCAGCATGTATTTCAGATTATTATTGTTGTTGGTGTTGTCAGGCGTGTGCGCATTAGCGGTGCATGCGTCGGTGTTTAGGCAGCGGACTCCGACTATGATGTCGATGCTGCTGACACGGGACGCCGGGGGGGGGGAGCCTATCTCGGGAAGACGTACCGGGAGGGGTGGGCGACGTCAAGCGCATCAGCGAGCGAGTGACCGGCGGGCGCGGCCAGAGAATGCGAGCGCTGCTGGATATGGGGGAAGTTTGCCTTGAAGTCCTCTAGGAGTTTTCCATCGGGTTTCTGGTTGTTGAGCCTGGGGGGGGAGTGGTCAGCGGGGTGGTCGGCGGGGTGGGCGGGCGAGTGTGCATATGTGTGTGTGTGTGTGTGTGTGTGTGCGTGTATGTAGCATGTATGCACACGCGACGTGGACAGTTGATTGCTTGTCAGAAGGCGACGCGTGCAAATCACATGGCGGGCAGCTGGGGGGGTTGTGTGGTTTGGCGGGCGGCGGGCCAGGACATACCTATTTCGAAACATGGCATCGGGCTTTCACTCGGGCGATTAGCAGGCTGGGGCTCTGTCTTGCATCTGGGGAGCGCGGGCGGGGGGACGAGGGCGGGCAGCAGCGGGCGCGAGGGCGAGGGCGAGGGCGCAGAGCAGGCAGCGGGCGCAGAGGAGAGGCGCGGCGGAGAGCGACCTGGCGGAGCGGCGGCGGGGAGTTATTGGGGGGGGGGCGCGATGGAAGCAGAGGGCAGCTGCGACGAGAAGGCGGCAGTGGGTAGGTCGCGTAGTGTAAGTACTTAGTAGTCGTCGTCGGCGTCGTGTAGTCGAGCCTGGGTCGGGTCAAGCCACAGATGTGCAGGGCCGGCGGTGGTCAGACGTTCTTTTAGCTAGCGACGGCAACAAGCAACAGGGCCTGACGGAATGCAGCCAGAGGGCCGCGCGTGGGCGTGGCAGGGCGTGGCAGGGCAGGCCATGGGCAGCAGAGACATGGGCAGCATAGACGTGCATTGGCATGGGTGGAGCGTCGGGTCTAGGCACCCTCTCCCCACTCGACCCGCGAGCTGCGCCTGCTGTTCTGTTCTGGCTAACGCGCCCTTGGCCGCCGCCGCTGCTGCTGTTCTGTGCCGCCGCCGCGCTTCATCGCTTCATCGCTCCACATGGGTGGGCATGTGCATGAGGGGAATATGTATGAGAGGGGGGGCCTGTGCCACACAGCCCATGTCAATCATTGCCGAGAAGACGCTTTCCCCCCCCCCTCCCCTCGCGCGCAGCTCGCACATGATAAGGCGTGACCCATTTTGCGTCGATGCAGCCCGTTTGTCGATCGGAGTGTAACAGTTGCCACATTTATTTTTACACAAGAGACGGGAGCAAAGCAAAAGAAGGATTTTCGGTCGCCGGATGACTATTCCCCGGGCGTGCGATTGGCGGGCGACGGGGGCGGGTGGGCGAGCATTGTATGCAATAACACACGCACACAGGCAGCACGGGGCGCCGGAGCGTGTAACTGGCAAGAGATGATGACGTTGTTTTTTTGGGGAGGGGGGGGAAGTTTTTTTTTCTCTGGTGCGGCGGAGCCATGACGAAAGAAACGGTTCGAGATGGAGACATGGATGGGCTCCTTAATCTCGGGATGGGGCACGCACAAGCGACACGGGGCCAAGGGCCGATTGGGGGAGATCAGATCAGAGGGCGAGGGCGGGCGCGGGCTTGTTTGGAGGGCGAGGGCACACCCTCGTCTCCGATCCGGCGCTCAAACGCAGGGGAAAGGTGGGCGGCGAGCGGCGAGCGGCACAGAGTGACAGTCGCGTGGAATGGGCCCGACAGCCCTGGACGGCATATGTCATTTCGCATCGAGGCGCCAACGCACCACGGTAGGCGGCTCGCGCAGCTGTGGCGACCAAGGGGGCATGGGGTGCGTGTGGACGACGAGGAGTAGGTGTAAATTACGGGCATGCAGACGAAATGGGCCGTCAAGCCACGGGGGCTCCGTGCGGGCGCAGGCGGTTAGTGGGTGTCGCAGGCTTCGCAGCAGGCGCCGTGGGGAGCAGAGGGCGTGTGTTAGTGTTGGCGTGAGCAGGCGGGTGGATTCGAGAAACATTGGGCTGGGAGCGCGACTGTGTGGGACTGGGGCCGCGGCTGGCAGTGCGTGTGCGTGTGCGTGCGGGATGGCGACAGCTGCAGTGCAAATCACGGCCGGAAGCGGGCGTGTGCGTGAGGTTGCGCGGCGGTAGCAGTAGGGCCGTGGCTGTGCATGCCTGGGGCTGGCCGTGTCAGCGTCAGCGGCGAGTGAATGGGGGAGCGAGGGAGGGAGCGATGGAGCGAGCTCGCCTCACTCGCCACACCTGTCTACGCCACACTTGCCCATCTCCGTCATCGCCACAACCTCCAACCGAGCCTGTACACCTACACCTACACCTAGTGTATTAGTGTACCATGAAACTGCCGAACCCATTTTCTCCAATCTAGACCTACCACTAACACTAACACGTTACACGTGAGCCCTTTTTTTTTTCTTCCTCCCTCCTTCCCTTCCCTTTCCCCGCGCCTCGAGCCAACGGCATACGTATGCGTACACCGAGGTTCGAGTCATATCCACGGCCCAAACACAAGTTGCAAGTGGTTTCCCCTTCTGCTCTTCGCCTCCCCCGCCTCGGATGATTGTGGCTCATGCCCATGCCCATGCTCATGCTCATGCTCATGCAGCATGCAGCATGCACCGCGCCCAGGAGGAACACACGCACACGCCAAACCCACACACTTCCCGTACGTGCGTAGCCCATGTACCACTGTGACGGGGGCGGCGCATGGCGTTTTTCCACCGCTTTCCAACGCCTCCACCGTCATTCTCTCTCTCTCGCTCTCGCAAATGCAAACGTGATTGTCACACCGAAACAGTCTCTCTCTCTCTCTCTCTCTCTCCGGCCCATCTAATCATAATCATGAGAGAGAGAAAGCATCAAAAGCATCCCCCACCTTTTTAGCCACAACACACACACATGCACACACATACACACACACACATACACACACACACATACACACACACACACACGAACGTCCTTCCCTTTTCTCATCTCGCTAAATTCCACCGCCCCAACCCTAACTACATAACTAACTAACCCACCAAGTTGATTCCAGAAATTTCCACTGAAATTTTCCCTTTTCCGTGACCCGGTAGCTGTGTCTGCTGCCCGTAATTTCTCGTCCGGGGAGGGATTTCTTTTGGTGTTAAAACTAACTTGACCTGACTAACTTGACTTGAAAACTAATCAAGTACTTAGTGGCCCTTTCATCTCCCGCTTCACACGCATCCTGGCCCACGTATATCAAAGTATCATCTTATCAGAACCATACACACACACACACATAGATATAGATATAGATATATACATAGACACGCCTACACTACGAGGTGCGCCCCGCGTGTTTCAAGTCTCGTGTCTATACTCGCCTTGATACGCTATCTACTAGCCCATACACACACACACTCACACTCACACGCCGCGGAAATAATGCCATGTTGGGCAAATTGCCGAGGGGGAGGGGGTGGTGGTGGCCTAGGAACTAAGTGATACAATCACGTCAACATCAGAGACAGAGAGAGGGGGCGAGAGGGCCAGAGGGAAGCAGAGAGTTATACTACCACCACACATTGTGTACCCATGCCAATTCATGCTAAACCAGCTGGCCCAAAATACCACACACACACACATCCCCACCCTAATTCGCCCCAGCATCCGGCATCCATGTTCCATCGCTCACGCCGAAAATCCCTCATCCACATCAACACCTCCTCTCCATGACACCTCTTCCACATCTTCCTCCGCGGACTCGAAATCTCTCTTCTCCACTTCATTTAAGCCTTTGCTTCCTCATTTGCTCGCCACGTCATGGCCTTGCGCCCATCTGTTTCTGCACCCGATGCCTGCTGTCCATTGCTGACTATGCTGCCTGTGCTGCCTGTGCTGCCGCCTGCTGCTGCTGCTGCTGCTGATGTTGCTGCCGCCGTTGTAGCAATCTTATGATTGCGAAGCCCTATACTACCATAGTGCTCCTTTGCTCCTGCCAGCGGCCCCGTCGTTGCATGCAAGCTCTGCATCGAACTATTCCTGCTCTGCGCCCGTGGTCGTACGCTGCCGCTCGCGTTTTCCCGAAACGCAGTAAGCACACTGGAACTCGACCCGCGGCGACTGGTATCTTGAGATCGCGCGTACACGGACGGCAGGCTCGACGCCGAACTCTCCTTGCGACTGCGGCCCAGGCTCTGCACTGGACTCGGGATTTTGGACGGCTTGGCAAAGTCGGCGCTCAGGTTTTGGCACGAGCCGGTCAGAGACGTCGATGCTGAATCTTCCGTCTGCCGGCCGGCGTGAATGATAAGCGGTGCGTCCGAGTTTTCAGACTCGTCGTCGCGTGAACCGACATCACGTGGCGGTGCTTCCTCAGTAAGCGCTTGGAGCTGGTCTGCTCCAGGCTCGAAAGAAAACTGTCGGTGATGCTTCTGTTGCGTATTGGGCTGAGGCTGTGATTGGAACTTCCTTACCGTACGGGCCTGTGTCGTAGACTGTTCCAACGACGGACTCTTGACACTTGCGTCTTGAATCGCTGCATCTGCCTTCTTCTCCTCGCCCGGTACAACCACGCCTTCTGCTGGCCTTGCCTGTGAAAATAACATCATGAGCCCGTGATTGAAGCTTTCCGGCTGTAATCCTCGTCGTCTTGCCACCAGTGTCCCAAGCTCACGCAGAGCAAACAGTGCATTGCATTCAGTTGCTGGATCCATGCCGGGCTGACTAGCAACCGATGTCTCATCCGGCAGTGCATCGCCAGACCCCCCTGAAAAGGCAGAGGCAATCGAGTCTGTAACAGAAGGAGGCGGCCTGATTTTGCCAAACGTAGACAGGTTCAGCTCGCTCTGAGCCTTGCGCGAGAGTGTCTTTGTTTTCTTCGAATCAGGGGGAGTGCCCAGCAGCAATTCCGAGCTGTTAGAGAATCGTTTAGACAGCACTGCCATATTTCCCGAAGGTGATACTGGCCGATGCAAAAGCACTATGTGCGATTAGATTGATCTTGATTTTCTACCGCCTACCTGTATAGCCTACCTCGCTGGCTCATCAACTTGATTTCTGCATCAAGCTTCTCGACAGGAAAGAATTCATAGTCTCGTCGGAAGCTGTCCTGCGAGACCGTTTTTCGATGTTTCCGCTTGCGGTCCACAATGCTTCCCTGTCGGGCTTGCACAAGTCTACTACAATCAGCATCACTAGACTTGTCCATGGTTCGTGAACTGACTCTGCCATGCCAGTCGCGCCGCGGGCTATGAGCAGCTCCAGCCGCCGTATCTCGGCATTGTAACGATCCTCAAAATGCCTCCAGCACCTTTCAGCCTGTTCCCAGTCCTGCAGCGTCCGTCCCAACAATGTCTCAAGGCGCTCCTTTTGCTCTCGTATCTTGCGGTATTCCTCGAACAGACGGAGCAGGCCGCTGTGATGCTCCAGTGGTATTGGCAGGCATGAGTTTATAATGTGCGATCGTACCGATTGCATCACCTGCAGCGGATCGACAAACGACTGGAACGGCGGCGGTGCATCGTCACCCCATGGCTCCGAAAACTCTGGTGCTTTGGCAGTTTCCTTGAGAGAGGCGAAGAGAGACGTGTATCGCGCGAGCTTGGGCCTGGAATCCCGGCGTGTTGCTGGTGTTTCCGAACGCTCACTCTGCGTGTCTTCCGTGTCGTCGACTGCTGTCGTTAGGGTACTTACCGGAGTCTGGGGTCTACTTCCCTGCAGCGTCTTTCGCCAGCTGGGTTGACGGCGTCGGTCGGCGGCATCTTCAGGAGTTGCTGGGACGTCGCCATCAACTTTGAGCGGGGTAAGAGCCCTGGACTGCTTCTTGGGCTGTTTGCTGTGCCCCAGGCGCCAGCTCTTACCATCTGGCATGCTGCTGCTGTCCTTTGCAAGCTCCCTCGATAGATGCTCGGCTACAGAGAGCCCGGGTAGTTGTGCTACGTATAAATCCATGCTCTCATTGGATCACGATTGCCGGTTCAGAGAGGTTGTGGGAGCGACTGACAGAGGGGAGGTCGGTGTTGACAACCGGCAGGTGCTACCGCGTGGCGCGCTTGCCTTCACCCACACGGTCTTTGCCGGCTCACTTTCACTGTGAGGACCGCATCTACCATGATCGAGTAGGCGTCTAGCCGTCAATTCTAGAGTCAAGTGAACTCTTCTATTTCTTTCACACTTGCCATCTCACCACTGCTCCTGCATTGTCTTGGTCCTGGAGTAGCATGTCGCCTACACAGTATCTCGCGCCACCACCTCGATTACGGCTTGACGCGAAGAACAAAGCCAAGAATGCTTCATTAGAGTTTGTATAATCTCGCATCATAGGAATATCCAGTTCGCAGCAATCAGTAAAAAAGCGACCGTCCTCGCTCTGGGCAATCAGGAGAAAAGGTATGGATGAAAGAAAGCAGCAGAGGAGTAGGATTTAGTAGACTCGACGGGCCCTCCTCCCAGTCGGACCTACATGCTGGCTATCACACGACAGCACGTCTACCTGTCACGCCACGTCTGCCATATGTCGGAAACCCAGTTCCATCACAGGCATTTTGACCGGTTTTGACGTTGAAGCGGTTGCACGCGAAGATACTGGAAGCGGCTAGCGCATGCCGATCTACCAGGGGTGTTGCACTACAGCTGTGCCTGAACGTCTGCTCCATACTCATCCAGCAACAAACAAGGGCGTCTCCCAGCTTACGCGTATCGCTGTGCCTGAGCAGGAACGAGCCCAGCCACTAGGGAATTAAGCCTCACATCGCATTGTGTGATGTGCAAGATCGCTGCCCGAGGAACTTGTTGTTCCGAGTTTCGGCTGGGTTTGAGTACCGTTTCAGCGGGGTGCAGCCGTGGCGCAACGGCGATATTCTTGACAGATTATACGGGGGCCTAGACCAAAGGCCCGAATGAAACTGGATTCGCGAGCAATCGGTACTTCAATGTCAAGACTGAGGGGAAGAGATGGGAGATGGGATGAGGGATGGGATGCAGATTGAGGATAGAGAATTCCACGGCTGCAACTCCTTACACTATGAACGCTGACTACGTGCTGAAGAAGAAGCATTGAAAAAAAAAGATACATTCACACTTCAGCATATCTACGCCACTACTGTCGTGAGCCCCTTCGCCACCAAGCCACGCGTCGCGTATACTCCGGGAAGCCATCGACATGTCTCTAACAGCCTTGACACACCTCAACAATCTTTGGCCCTCTCAAACCGTGCGCCCACGCCGCAGAACCCCCCCTCCCCCAGGCGCTTCCCTCGCAGCCAAAATAGCAAGTTCCCAGATGCGGTATAATGCACAGCCAGGCTGCTAGTCAAGGAAAGTCCAGAATCCGGTTTCAGCCTGCTCCGGAATGAGGCAGTTCCCAGTTCAAGCTTGCACCGGGGCTAATTTGGTGTGGTTGAATGACGCTTTGCGCGCCTGGGACTCGAGTTTATTTATTTATTTATTTTTTCCATGCGTACTTGCCCTTCTTCATTTCCCTGAGACGACAGTATATATACGCATTCCACACCCCCCCCCCCCTTACATATATTCTGTAATCATATTCATACGCATGACATTCTGATGGGTTATGGGGGTATATAGCATAGCATTGCTTGTAGTTCTTTCCTGCATACGTATTATTAATATCATCATCATCATCATCATCATCATTATCATTATCATGTATGAAGATACATCACAACAACAACAACAACAAGAAAAAAAGAAGAAGAAGACAGGTATTCAACACCACACACAGTAGTATATTGTTTTTGCTGTTGTTATTTTCTTTTCTTTTTTCCTAAGTCATTTCTATTACCGCACTCAAGATTCTTGTGACGTGAATAATTGCGCAAAATAGTGAGAATTCGTGCTATTCCGACTCCTTCGGCTGCTGCTGCTGCTTCTTTCCCCTTCTTCTTCTTCTTCTCTGCTCATCCTGCTCTTCGTTCTTCCTTCTTCCACGAACACGCTTCTGCTGGGGTATATATTTCTCTCTCATATCTAGCAGCCCTCGATCTGGACGGGCGTGCCGTCGGTGGATGAGACGCACATGCCGTGGTTCTGGCGGGCTGCAATGTCTAATCTACAGCGTTAGTTTTCTGTCTTTGATTCGGGGTTCGTGTGTGTGTGTGTGTGTGTGTGGGTAGGTGGGTGGAGAGACATACCCTCATTGGCAACGGGCGCGGCAACGGCAAAGGCAGCCATGGAAAGGAAAACAACAACGATGGAAAAGTTCATTTTGAAATAAATTCTAGGATTATTCGAATGGTGATTGTTTTGTCGTAATAACAAAAGAAGATGTCGTTGAAGAACGGTGATGGTAGAAGTCGCCCGGCGACAAAGGAGTGTAGATCAGAGAGATGGAAATAGAGAGAAGAAGGGAAGAAGAAGAAAAAGGAAAGTCCTTTGATGTTGGAGGAATAATAGTAGAGGAATGAGGCCTGATGGAAGGAAGGGCGCTGCGCCTTATAAGCCTTGGGGACGACACACAGGCAGCCCACGCGGTTAATACGCGATGACAATGATTTACGCCGACTACCAAAAATTTTCCCCCCGGCCGTTTGTCGAGAATGAAAATATGCTTGTTCTTAAAAACCATGATGATAAATAACCATTGGGATTGGGTACAACAGGATGGGAACATGGAAAAGCCATGCTTTATCAAATCTACTGGACAAACATAAGAAGAAGAAGCACACACTTGAACATTGTATGTCGAACAGTGCTTTTTTTTTAATTATTTGACGGGTTGCTCTTACCATATATCCATTTTTACACTCATATCATCCCTCAGATTAAAAACTCACTCCCTGAATATATATACTGTAACGTACGTCGCATGAACGTGAACTAGGTATCTCAAACGCTCGAACGCTGAAAAACAAATATCGTGGCAAATGAGATGACAAACGTGACACCTCAAGGATAAGCACTTTGTCCCTGCTGCTGCTGCTGCTGGGCTTCCCTCGCCTTATCCATGCTCTTCCTAGGCCTAACAGCATCCAGACTTACCCTCCTCTTCTCCTTGTCTCTGCCCGCTTCATCGCCGCTAGTCTCGCCTTCTTTTTCCTTCTTCTTTTGGACTTCCTTGATGGCTTCTTCGGTGAGTTCCTGCCGGTTCATGCGCTCGAGGACGTCCTTCTTGCGGGTGCGCTTGTCGCCGAGCCAGATGAGCAGACCGGCGGTGGCGTTGCAGGTGATGGAGCAGCAGAGAATGACCGTGGTAATGGCAAAGGGGCGGTGCTTGTAGTAGATGCCCCATGTGCATGCGCCGAGCGAGATTTGGAGGAGCGAGTGGCAGTCGAGGAGCACGACGATGGCGACGAGGAAGCGGAGAGGGAACGCGTAGTGGGTTTCGGTCTCGTGGGGTTTGTAGAAGGAGTGGGATTTACAAAACTTGTTCTGGTGGTGTTCGAGCTTCTCCTGCTGCTTGGGCGTCAGGACGGTAAACTCCCATTGCTTCTCTGGGTCGGCGGGGTCGGTTGTTCGGGGTCCAGATACGGGGGCGTGTTCTGCAGGGAGGTCGTTATGGTCGGTTAGATCGGGGAGCATTTCCTTCTTTCGACGCGACCACGTGTAGTGGTGGTAGTGTGCTATGTAGATCATGTGATATGTATCTACGGCGCGGAAAGGAGCGAGGCCGTCTCCGACAATGGCGAAGAGGGCAACGAGGACACTGTCGATGATGTGAACAACATAAATTTGCTGTCCCCCGACATTGATCCAACCGATCAGAAACAGCACCCACGCGAGCCCGAACAGGGTTATGAGAGTGGCATAGAGAGTGACGAGGAAACCAAGTGCTGTTGTGTGTTAGCAGATATACGATGACTGATGGCAAGTGTACTTGCGTCTGCGGACGTAGTGTCCAAAGCCCTTGAGCGAGCGCTTCAACTTGGACCGCCGCGAATGAAGCATGTGGCGGACGTGGTCGTTGACTTCTTTTTTATCCGCAACACTCCATCCAGACAGGTCGGTGTTCTCGGGGAGGACGGCATAGCGAGAGTCGGTCAGAGTGGAATCTATCGTCATCAGGGTGGTTGCTGTATTCTGGGTCTGCGAGCGCTGCAGGCTCGGTGCAGGCTGCTGCCCCTGTGCTCGAGCAGCCAAGGCTGGGGCCAGTATGCGGTTGATCTCCTCGAGACTCTCCGTCTCGCTCTTTCGTCGGCGGAGGTTGTACGTAGGCCGGCGGTTGAGGAAGGGCAGGTTGGGAATGAAGAGCGAGTTCTGCATGTTTGTCAAGGACGTGAGTGTCGAGACTTCGGGATCAAGCGTGTCGAGGACGTCGACCATGCCCGAGCTGTAGTTGGTCGAGGTGTCTTCTTCGGTTGCGGCAGCATGTGCGCTGGCCCTCTTCTGTTTTTCATCCTCCTTCTTGCCCCAGAAGGGTATCCTGAGCTGCACGGCGCTCTTGACTTTGCGCAATCGACTCTGGGTAGGCTCCGGGTCCGTGAGGGTGGATTTACTGCCGTCGGAAGAGATGTGTCCCAGTTCCTGCTCTTCGTTCAGTGCAGGCAACGGCATGCTCAGCCGGTTGGCGGATGCATTTGACTGCTGACCTGTCGGTCTCAGAGCGTTGGACGATGGCATGCGGCGAATGCCAATGCTGGCCTGGCGTGCAGCTTGGGGTCGCCGTGGATATTGCTGGTGCGGCGGTGTTCCCCTATCAGGCGCAGAGTTGCTTCTTGCTCGCTGGGCCTTAAGCGTGCTTGTCAATGTCAGCAGTGGCGCCTTGCTTTTTCACGAGCATTGAAACTGACTTGTATGTAACATGAGACGACGGGTCGCTGACCCTGCTGGGCTTTGGCACATGGCTGCCGGCGTCAATGGACGACTGTAACGAAGTAGGAGGTTCAACGGCGGGCTGGCGTGTTTGTTGACCGGCGGCAGCGCCAAAGTCTTGGGCATGCGTCCCTGGCTCACGGCCGAGCTGGCCTTCGTCGACAGCATCTGTACTGGAGGTTTGTTGTGGCGAGACCGACTGGTGTTGAGGAGGCAGCTCGCCTGTGCCCGGGGCAGACGACGTTGCCTGGGCAAGCCTGTTGCGAGCTTCGCGTGCCTTGGACTTAAGTCTGTCCATGGTTGGCGCCGGATTGAAGCCGGTGGGCAGGGAGAGAGCGACCTGAGATCAATCCACGACCGACATGGCTTTAAGATGGGCCATGCTAGGGGCGGTGTTCCTGAAGCGGCTGGTGGCTGCAGATTGGCCTAAAAGCCTGGAAGTTTGGTCTTGGGGGACGTCATCCTGCGCCGGAATATGCCCACCAAAGGTCGTGCGCAGGCCAGCAGCGAACCGATACGACAGAGACGGCCTGGCATTGCGGGTCCGTGGCCGGGGGGCGGGAATCTGGAGACGCCTCCACCAGCACAAGGCGAGACGCACTGGGTGCAAACGTGAGGCGCAGGTGTAGGGCGACACGAGGCCTCCGCCAGGCGTGCGCAGAACAAAGTCCAAATCGCCCCCAGATCTGAAACTGCAGAGCCAGGCCAAGGCCCTTGCGGCGATCATGTCGCTTAATCAATACCGGAAACGGCATCCCGAGAGCGTCGGCCGCCGCGCCGAATGGGCGGGCAATGTGAACGTGGTACACGGAAAAAAAGTAAAGACGAGCGACAGAAATGACAGATGGAGAGGGCAGCCAGACGTCAACGGTCGAGGATGAACGGGCGGCTGAGCAGACGCAGGGTCTTTTAGGTCTTTGGGTTCTTTAGCTGGCAGCCAACACCATGTCCAGCCCCCATGCATCGTAGCCTATATATTGCGTCTCCTATTGCCCAATTGCTACCAGAACCGGGCCTTTCAACCGCCCACAGTGCCAAGTGCCGTCGAGTATACTACGAATGCCGCCTACTCGCTCAATCCCGGAAAGCTGGCGGGATGAGCTCGACCCAGTAGCCCTGCAACCGTTAGCCCGCCCTGTACCCGCGCCTACTGCTCCTTGTGCCTAGCTTGGCATTTACTTACGTCGGGATCCTTTACAAAGGTCAGCTGCTTGAAAATGTGCTTGTATCCCTCGACCACTTCGCCGTGTTTGCCTTGGACAATCTCGTCTGGAAGCGCCATCTGATCCTCCTTGGCCTCGTCCAGCGGCTTCATCACTTCGAACCCAAAGCTCTTGACCCGGTTCGTCGCCTCGGCAACGTCTGGCACCGTGAAGCCAATGTGGCCAAAGCCCACGCCTGGCTTGGAGTAGTCGTTTCCAGAAGCATACGGTGTGGATGCGTCGGCTGGAATATGGTACAGTTCCAGCAGCCCTTGGGATTGGCGAATGTTCTTCATATCTGTCCATGTCTTGTTATCCACCGCCGTCTGCCATCTTCATATACATATACGCACCCACATCCCGCCCGCCTAGATAGTAGATGGTCCACGGCCCAGCGTTGAAGATGAAGACGACATGCATTCCCAGACAATCGCAATAAAACTCCAGGCTCTTTTTCGGATCCTTGATGCGCATCATGAAATGATTGAGGCTGTATCCCGCAGTCGCTGGAGAGCTGGGCCGTGGGGGCGGGGCAAGATGCTTGCCCGACTCGTACGGCCCTGCTGGGAAATTGGGGTTGTTGGAAGCCATGGCTGCTGTACTCACGGAAAATCACTGCAACCGTACCGCCGGCAGACGCTTTGCAATTGTATAAGATACTTTGGACTGAGGACCAGCTAATATGTGCTGATCTTGGTACACGTGGCGTTGCGGGGTACCGCCGGGGGGAACCTTTGACCGCTTCTCCATGCACCCCAAGTCTTTGGATTGGCATTTGACTTACAGTACCCTGGCCGTCGAGGTGGAGGGTATCAGGAGATTTCCATCTGCAGCCCTGTCTTGTCTCACACGATACTTGGTCGACTTCTCGGGAACAATTCACATATATGCCTCCAGCTCTACCATGCCTTCGGCTCATGGGCCTTGCAGGTCTATGCATTGTCAATCAATCTGTGTGTATGATTGATCAAATTCTCCTTAGCCAGCGTGATTGTAGTCGAACGACCGCCTCTTCTTACCGCATACTTGATGCCCTTGAATCTACTCTTGGCATTATAGACATGCTTGGTCTCTGGCCCCCAGCTTCCATGATACAAATGAGCTAAAAGGAAAAGAATGGTCGAACCTGCTTCAGAACTTGTACATCCTAAGAAGGACAGGCGGTTCTGCGAATGCCACACGGCGGTAACAGCGAACACTGCTCCTTGTATCATATCATGCCTATGTTGTTGCATAGCCGGTTGTCTTGAGCATACGACATGCACATCCAATGGCATAATCTCGACTTCTGGCTGAATATATGGTCAAAGCACTTAGTAGAGCCAGTCTTCGTTGTCTTGCTGCAGCGTTACAGGTGGGTGAAGGTCGTGGTGGCGTGGTCAGCCCTATGAGTAAGGTGACGTCTGAGCACTGTCGAGCGGAACAAAGCCGTACTTACTTAACTAGCGCCCCGCATCCCTACCGCGGCCCATCCAAACTTTGGACAGGCAACTTTCTCCCACTCGCACCCCAACAATCACACCAGCCAGCATGGAGTTCCGAAGAGGAGAGCGCGTAAATCTCAACTTCGACACCGGCGCCGTCGAGAAGCTCGAGCCCCAAGAACAGAATGTGCTTCCTATGCCCTCGTTCCCCTCCTTCGTGAGCGACATCCAAGAGCGCGATGCAGCACATATCACGCCTCCAGTCGCGCCCTCACTCAAGCCCAATGCAAATGGTTTCCCGGCACACAAGAAACGGACGCCGAGAGTATCTGCCTTTAAGCAGCAGCGCGCTGCCAAAGACCAACAGACCACGGCAGCATCGAAGCCGCCAACAAGAACGCAAGATGCGCCCACATCCAAACCACGAAGCGCTTTTGCCCCCGACCCAGACGAAGAGCGAAGGGCCATAGATGAAGAAAACAGGCGCACAATTGCAGCCATGTCGGACGCAGAGATTGAGCAAGAACGCCAGGAACTCATGTCAAGCCTCAATCCTGCGCTGCTGCAGAAGCTCCTCCTGCGGTCCAACATTGACCAAGGAAGCAACGAGCAGGACTTTCCCACTGAGCCACCCGCGCCGCCAGTCCCAGACAAAAAACCAGAACCACTGCCCAGCATGACAAGCACAAAAAAAGTCTCCTTCGCAGCGCCCCAGCCCGACAACGAACCACAGCCGCAAGACCCCCCAGCTACCGCCACCACCGAAACCGCCTCATCAGCAGCCATACAATCCGCTCTCGAACAGCAAACCACAGACTCAATACACTTCCCGCAGCCACAGCAACCCCCCGACCTCGACCCCAACGACCCAGCCTTCCTCAAAAACCTGCACGAAAAATACTTTCCCAATCTCCCATACGACCCCTCGACGCTCTCCTGGATGGCGCCCATCGATCCCTCGGACAAGAAATCGCCATACCACCCCTCTCAAACCGCCTTGAATCCCTCGGAGCTGCGCTTCGACTTCGCCGGCAATCTGCTTGCGCCCAGCGTTGCGCGAGCAATCCCTACAGACCGCGGATTGCACCACCATGCTGACGCCCCAGAGGCAGCCGGCTACACGATCCCCGAGCTGGCGGTGACGGCGAGAAGCAGAGTCCCCAGCCAGCGCTGCATAGCGTACCAGACGCTTGGCCGCATCCTGTATCGACTGGGTCGCGGCGAGTTTGGCGTTGAGGCTGCGCAGCAGACGACAGATGGGCCGGTGCGCGTGGCCAAGAATCCCGCTGTTGTGGAAAACAAAAACGACGACGACGATGACGATGACGGCGAATGGGTCGAGGAGGATGTAGGCAGTGCCATTGCAGCGGGGCTCTGGCAGTGCATCGAAGACGGCAAAGTCATCGAGACGCTGACTGAAGAAGCGAACAAGGACCGCGGCCATCTTACTGCTCGCACCTTTGCCCAGGAAGCTCTGTGGAATTGGCGCAGAGGCGGCGGCAGAAAAAGACATGCCGTGTGAAGTTTTGACCATCAATCCCTCTTTGCTTGCACATGCCCTATATATACTACTTAGTTAGTTAGTTAGTTATGTAGTACATTGATATACCCCATCTTGCACACTGCCTTGTATATAAAAAAAAAGAAGAAGAAGAAGAAGAAGAAGAAGAAGAAGATCAAAAGAACCCTTGAACACTATCCCATCATCTCACACTTTTTACGCTTGTAGTTCCTACACTCACTCCATGTCACCCGTCTGGGTTGTTCATCATAGAGTCTCTATATATCATCTCACTTGCCTCCCTCCCCTTTTCTTTTCTTTTCTTTTCTTTTCTTTTCTTCTCGCCCCCTTTCCCCCAATTCTTATACTGAGATTCACGACTAAGCTATTAACAACAATGCAGTTTTTTTTTAGGCGCCAAGTACACACGTTGCTGTAAATAAATATTCTACTCTACTCACCCCATCTGACTCTTAGCCAGAATAAAAGTTCTTTTTGTTTTTTTTGGGGGGGGGGACTAGTCTGTGCATGTAAGTAGGGGGGGGGGGGCAGAGATCGGATTGTGTGTCATGGTATTTGTACATGTGCGTTAGTACGTCGAAATACACACTCCTGGAAAGACCAAATATATATATATATATATATCGTTTGGTTATATCCATGTCCTCTCTTCACATACAAGATACAAGGGTATATGACTTCACTATTGCCTACTACCGCGTACCGCTATTGGGTTGTCGAATTCGCTGCGTTAGCATATCGACAGGATTCATAGAAACCATCACAACAAAGCACATCAGGACAAAAAAGTAAAAGACGGGTTTAAAATAAACCAAAAGACGCAAAAGTATCACATTGGAACAACTATCTAAAAGACCCGCAAACAAACAGATCGTGCATGTTTTGTTTTTTTGGGTTATCTGCCAGTGCCAATTGGACTCATCAAACCAGTGCTACCACTAGTTGAGCTTCTAACCATCATCGGCTTAACACTTTGAACAGGACTCAGCGGGTCCCTCTGGCTCGAGCTTTGACTGGATGTGCCCGAGCTCAAGCTGCCACTTCCATGGCTGCGGTTGCGTCCATTCATCGGCCCAGGAGTGTTGAAGGGGTTTGCAAGCACATAAGGGACTGTGGACGAGGGCTCGTCGAAAGCATCGGTGAAACCAGATACGTTGGAAAGCATGGAAGAAGAGCGACCGCGGCCACCGCGCATAGAACCAGGAGTGCTGTTGATGTGCGAGTTGAGCGAAGGAAACGTGAAGCTAGCAAAACCGTTGGTATGAGGAGACATGGTTGTGCCCGGGAGGTTGCCTTCAGGTGTAGTAGGAACAGACATGTGCTGATGCACTTGCTGAAGAAGAAGCTCTTCGTAATGCTGCAGAGTCTGCAACATTTGTCCGGTAGCCATGTTTTGTTCCTCAGTTCGCCTCTCGTAGTTGTTGATGTTGCTTCGATACTGGTGCTCGACATCGGCACGCTGTGCTCTCAAGGCTGCGCGTTCCTGCTCTCTACGCTGTTTGGCGGTAAAGCCTTCGGCGTTGGCGGTCACGAGACGGTCGTGCTGCTCGTTGAGTCTGGTTTGACGCTGCTGAAGACGCTCCCTCTTCTGGTAGGCCGTATTGATATCAGACTCGACGCTCTGCACCTGGCGCTCAATCTCCTCCTTGGTCTTTTCAAACTCGCTAGCAACCGCATTCTTGTTGTCGCGCTCCTTTTCCCACTCGGCCTTCTTGGCTGCAGCCTCTTTCGCTTCGTCTTCGGGGATATTTCCCAAGTTCTCTGCTTGAAGGGCGAAATCTGCAGCAGCATCGTCGGCCTGGCGGATATTTTGTGTGAATTGGAGTACGCGCTGGCGCTGGCGCTCATCACTGCCACCAGCATTGGCTAAGCGGTTTCCAAGCGTGTCCACCTCCTTTTTAATATTGCTAATGGCCGTCTTGTGGTCCTTCTTGTTCCGCTTCAGGCGATTGCGTTGCTCTTGCAGTTGCTGATCGGCTGCAGCAATCGAATTTTTCAGCGTTGTCGTGGGCGAAGAAGGCCGCAGAGTCTGGTGCGCTGGCGGCGAAGCAACAGAAGCCGAAGCTGGGGCATGTTAGCAGAGAAACAAAGCATAGGCTGTCGTGCTTACCAAGTTCAGTAACAGGGCTGGCCGAGGTAATAAGGCTTGCTGAGTAGAAGACTTCATTGTCGCTGGTCCGGACAAACTCGCAGTAGTAGTTGGAGAGTGCCGTCAGACCAAAAATTTCTCCTGCCCAGTAGCCTGTTCCCTCCTGACCCTCGAAACCAATGGGCTCGCTCTGTCTGATGCGGGTAGAGCTCCAGTCGGCGCCGTTTACACGGATGTAGAATGGTTTTGACTTGTCGATTCCAGAACCAACACTTGCATCGTCCTCGTCCTGCTCTTGAACACTAGCTCCTCCAGTTAAACTAACACGAAATGAAATGTCGGAAAAGCCGACTTCAGAAATCCAAACACGATCGTCTTCCGGTCTCAAAACAGCGTTTCCAATGTGATTTGCGTCTTTTGCATTAGCCTCGTCAGCGTCGTTTGCCGCCCGGCTACTTTCCATCTCTTTTAAAACTGTAACTTTTGTACTGGCAAGCGCAGCCCAGAAAGGCTGCTGACTGCGGACATGGGTAGCCTGCTTCCTCTTCCTCCTACCACTACTCGCTTTGTCCTTGTGCGCATGTGCAGCGGGCGCCGGCCCCGGTGGGCGGCAGTCGGTACTCGAGGCGTTGGGCACATCGGCCGTGGGTTCGTGGTGCGTGGAATTGGAGCGCTGAAGCACGCCAGACTCGGGGTCGATTTTCTTGCCAGTGGGTAGAGTCGCATGTTCTCGCCGAGACAGCGAGCGTCGGATGATACGAACGACACCTTGGGCCAAAATATGAATACCCAGGAGGCTACGTGGCCATCCATGGGGGGTTGAGAAGCTTTCCAAATAGGTCGGCGAACTCGGGGGGCTCGTCAAAAATTCCAGGCCTCCCCGGGCGAGCCCCGTCCAGAGGAACTGGACAATGTGTTGCCGGAGAGGCCTAAATCTGAAGACGTGGCTGCTAAGAATGATGAAGAAGCATATGACAATGCTGTTGGTGGTGCCCTTCTTTCCCGCAGCGGCACCTCCCAGGGCGATGGCAATGACAGCCTGTGCCAGATCCAAGAAGAAGTTCTGAGCAGGCACCCACAGGAGCAGCCATATCATCAGAATGACCGTGTCTGCAATGATTGTGGTGAAGAGCGAGGGGGTGCCCCCGGAGCCCTGGAAGATGTCGGTGAAGGAGGGAAAGGCAGAGAGGGCGGAGAGGGGGGTGCCGGCTTGGGGCGGAACAAAGGTGAGGGTAGCGAACAGAAACTGCACGACGGTGAGGACGGTGGGGGGGAGTTGGAGGAGGATGATGAGGATTGCGAGCACGTCCCGCAGGGGACAGGACGTGAGAATGGTGGCGGGGACCGAGAGCATGGTGGCCATGGACAGCGAGGCCTGCTTTGAGCCACTTGTGTCGGCGCGGCGGAGAGCGGAAGGCATGGGATCAAAGGGCGCCGTGGCATTGTCGTACGAGCGGCAGGCGTCAATGGGGTTGTCGGTGGATGCGTCCGAGGCGGCGCGCGTGCGCTCCTCCGGCCTGGCAGACGGACCGGCGGCCAGAGAGGCGGAGGAAGGGGCGCCTATCGAAGTCGTCGCGGCGGCGGCAGTGGCAGTGGCGGCGGCGGCGGCGGTGGTGGTGGTCGACGACGAAGACGACGACGACGCGGCGGGCAGGGCGTCGTGGGCGCTGGGGGGCATGGCCAGGTCGCTCTCTACATGGCCGGGTGCGGCTGGCTGGGGCTGCGTGGGCTTCCCATTGACGTGGCCATTGAGGGTTGTGTTGCTCTTCTGCTTGGAGATGCGTTTGCCGGGGGCCGCAAGGCCATTCTCGTGTCGCTTGTCGTGCGCCGCGTTCCTCTTCGACTTTGCTACCATAGACGGCGGTGCGGGTGCGGGTGCAGGCGGGCAAACGTCTCCCCGGCGAGACTCGACTGCTGGACAGGACGAGCCAGACTGGAAGACTGAGAGCCGCTGCTCGGTGGGGAGGCTGTGAGGGGGGGGGCGAGGGCGAGGGGGGTGAAAGGGGGGGGTCGTGTGCTGGGCGAGGGACGGTCTGTAGGGAGCGAGGAAGGAGCCCTGCCCTGCGCCTGCTCGACAGAATGGATGGCGCCTTCCGCCGACGGGGCGCGGTGCCAAGACTTGCAGCTGCTAAACGTCAAATGCAAAAGTCACCCAGACCACGACGACGACAGGGCTTTTTTGGCGGCAGTGGCCTGCGCCTGTGCCTGCACTCGGAGCACTGACACGCCTCCCACCCTCCCCCTCCCCCCGTGGACCGCCCAAACCGCCTGGTACCGTGGTTTCATCCTGCAGCCACACGACACGTATGTACATGTATCGGTTGATACGCTGCATGTACAGAGCGACCTGTCCCTGTTCCTGGCCGAGGACCTGGACATATACACGCACCCGCACGCACACACACAGCTGCCTCTGCCCCTCGACTCCACGCCCGCCGCACTCAGGCTAAGCACGCTGCCACGGCCGGCACGCGGCCACACACAGGACATGCCAAAGCGTTCAATACGCGCATCAGCCGAGCTCTCTCCGATTCCAGTTCATGATGCTGATCGCTGGCCACTAGCAAAAGGCGGTTTTGGTTTGCTGCGCTCGCGACGGCCAAAGCCAATGGGCGTTTCCCCTCCAATAGCGTAGCCCTCTGCGCTGGCTGGCCGGGACCGCCATGCCATGCCATGGCCATTATCACCATCACCACGGCCATGCTCATGGACAGGTCGCCCACCCTGCGAGGGCGAGCAATCAAAGTCGCTGCTCGGCTCCTCTGGCATGACGCTTCATTTGCGCGCGCCAGCCCCCCGCGACCCCCCGGGCAGCGAATAAAGCCGCGGTCCTCAGGTCGACCGCATGCCCTGAAGTTTCTGCAGCGGGCAGACCCCCGCCAGCAGCGCCATTAGTCGCGTCGCCATCGCGATGCGCTGCTGCTCGACGGAAACAAGTGACGCGGCGCCCGCTGCATGCCCGCCATGCGCTCGCGTCGCCTCGGGGCGGCGTGTTGCAGAGAGATGGGCGAGGGGGGCCATTGGTTTGTCTGCAGCCCTCTGGTGCTTGTGTGTGTTTGGTTCCCTTGGAGGCGAGCATAGCGCGCAAGCCTTCCGCCGCCCGCACATCCATGGCTGACTGGCCCTCTCCCGCCCAGCTGTGGGCGTCGAAGCTTAACACAACCACACCAATGGCAGCGCCGCGCCGCCGCAAATGAGGCAAGCCGGCCCATCACGCGCTCAACGGGCGTGCAGATCGCTGCAACAAGCAATCGCCATCGCCCACGACCCGTAGATCCTTGCCACCGCCCACCTCAGGCCATGCCAATGCTCGCAACAGCACACGCCTACACAGCGTACTACTAACTACCGAGTGCACTAGAACAGCCTGCCAGTATTACCATGTACCATTTCCTGCCTGTCAGCATTGCTCTCCCTGCATGTTACATGGCCCAGACTGCCGGGCATTGCTAATCCTACTCTGCCATTGCTACCTTAATCTCTATTTCACCCGACTGCGACTACCAAACCAGCCATGCCCATCAGAGATGCCGTCTTGCTTGGTCATGATTCCCCCGCCCTATGCATCCGTCGCGCTTCCAAAGTCCTCCTTTGCATCCGGCCTATCCCAGCTACTCTTCTCCAGCGCCCGCACCCGCTCTAAAAGCACCCTGACCCTGGCGCCGTTTTCCTTTTTCGCCTGCTCCTGCAGCTTGAACGTTTCCTCGAACTTTGCCATCATAAACGGCGGCAGCCGTGTTTTTTTCGCTGTCCGGTAGTCGTAGACCACAATGTCTTCAATGCAGCGCGCGGCTGGGCGCCGATGTGCCTCGGAGAGAATCAGCACATCGAGGATGAAGTGATCGCTATTGTGAGCGGGCTTGTTGCTGAGCTTATGGAGCACAGTGACTCTATTGGCGCACCTGTTAGCGCCGCATGGTGTTTGCATTTGTCTGGCACACAAACCTGTCTGGCCATTTCATCGGCTGTTGTCACGTCAGTGAATCGTCCTCTTTGGCCTTGCAACCAGCGTGCCTATACTCACAAATTTGTAATCCGTCTTGATACTCCGCAGAATCAAGCCCACGCTTTCTGGTGTCATGAGCTGCATCCACTCGGCTCTATGCTGCGGGTCGCTGGCCGCAAAGTTCATTGTCCAATTGACCCTGGCCGACTCTGCATATCGATTATACATGACATTGTTGACGTGACCTGGAAGTGATGAGAATTTTTCCGCTCTGAAATTGAGGCAGCGATCATTAATTACCCTTGGACTTGATCAGCAATCATACAGAAACACAGTTGCAGTAGGCCTACCATGCTATCCTGCACACAGCCATCGCTCACGTTAGTAACTGGCCATTGAAACATTGGCTGGAGCTGCTAACCATTTCTCCCCAAACAACCTCTTGACGGTATAGACCGCGCCATTGCTTGCCTGTGAGAAAGCCTTCGCTTCCTGCTACAAGCTCTCTCCCTTGCAAGGCAATACAAGTCAGCATCTTGCCCATAGCCACATGAACAACAATGCTAAGCCAAAGCACTTACAATTGTCCGCCGTCTCCTGCAATATCGAGCCAGCCTCCTCAACCTGCGTCGAGTTGATGCCAAAACTGATGCACTTTCCAATGCGCGTTTTGACGTCTGAAAGCCACCTGGGGCTCAGTGCAGCCGTAGCAGGTGCCGTATCTACAGTATTGCAATGAGAACAACAATTAGCTCATGTGCCACGCCAGGACGCTATCCTTGCATTTCGAATCGTAGTCACATACCACTAGACACGGTCGACTGATGGCGTTTCCGCGAAACAAACTGAAGCAGCGGAAGCTGCTTGACGCGGAACATGGCCGGCCGCACCAATGGCCGCATCATGATGCGCAAAAAAATAATAATAAAAATAAACAGGAAGTAATTCACACAGACGAAGAAAAACAATAATAACGTGAGAGAGTCTTGAAGAAGTTGTAATGCAAACCAATCAATCAATCAATCAATCAATCACCCATCCAGCGCAAACCTATCTGTTGTCCCTCGTTCCGAAAACGGAGAGAAGAGGGGCGCGCGCGCGGGCAAAAGAAGCCGAGGTTCCCACCTTTTTTTTTGCGCCTTTCTTTCTCCTTGCCCCAGCCCTTCCCCCTCTTTCTCCCAAGCTATAGGTAGTATACGTCAGGGAAGGAAAAAACCCCCCCCCCTCCCCCACCCCTGGAGAGAGGGTCTGAGCGTAAGTAGTAAAGTTGCTCTTAGCCTTTTGGACACACACCACTTGACGACATCAAAGATACACATACATAACGTATACATTTTTGGCCGTGGAGGGGGAAAACGAAAAGACTCGGCGTTACTTACGCCACCCACCCACCCTTGACGTCGCTGCGTTGCATACTTTCTACTTGGTGCTTTATTCGTTTGACATTATCCTTTTTTTTTCTTCTATTCGTGATAGCAAGATATTTACTTGCTTGCTGCTTTTTCTACCTAAACGCCCCCGCCTGCTTGCTTGCTTGCTTGCTTGCTTGCTGTGGTTAGCCATACATACAGACAGACAGACAGACAGACGATATGGCCGCCTCCAACACACCGCTTCGCTACCAGGTCATGCGTATCTACAAGGGTGGGTACTCTCTCTCTCTCTCTCTCTCTCTCTCTCCACACACACACACACACAGCTTCGTTATTCCTTCTTTGATTTGAGAGATGAATCACAAAATACTCACTGTGTGAAAAAAAAACAGAATTGCTGTACATGGGCCGTGAATATCCCCTAGGATACGAGTACTTCCGCACGCGTCTGCACCGCGCATTTGCCAGCCAACGCCATTTGACCGACGAGGTCAAGATCAAGCAGGGCATCGAGAGGGCCGAGTATGTGAAGAAAGGTTCGTTGTTTTGATCCCCACCACCACCACCACCACCACCAAACGTATTTTAGCCCGAAGAAGCTAATATTTTGTCGCTCAGAAATTGAAGCTCTGTATGTTTGGTTGTGTTTCATCAGGCTGACGTCCTTCACCCAAAACCTGCAATAAAAAAACTAAAAAAAAAACTAAAACACGGAATAATTGTTCGACTGACTACAGAGTCCAGGTACTATCTGAAGCGGTATCGTACACTGCGCCAGCGCTACGATAAAGGCGCATAGCCCCCCGAAAGTGCAACATCAAACCTCAAATTTACCAAAAAATAACGACAACAAAAAAAAACTGTGGCCTGTCCGGAGGCCGGAGGGATATCACAAACAGAAAACCCAACAAAAACAACAAAAACAAGACAAACAGACACGGGTATGCTATCAAATATCTTACACCTTTTTGCACCACCACACTCCCACCTCGAGACATTCTCCGCTCGACGCCCCCCTTTGCTCCAGCAAGTCTGTAATCATCGAGTTCCAGTAGCGCTGCCACTCCTCTTGGTTCTTACCACTGACTTCCTTGAGCAGTGGTTCTAGACTCTCAATCAGCTGTATGACCACCAGCAGCGCCGTGTGCCGAATGGCCGCTTGCTCCTTTGTCAGAATAGAGCCCTCGACCAATTCACTGCCCACCTTGAGTTTCCCGGCATCACTTCCTCGCCGCTTCAGGGTTTCGCCTGCCGCTTCGCGCTCCCAGCGCGGTTCGCCCAGAGGAATCGCCACTCTGCGGTTTTCCACTTCACACAGTGTCTCCGTTTCCTGCAGCAGCATCTCCGACATGCGGGAACATGGAGTTGGGGAGAGTTTGCGTCGGCCCAGGGCTTCTTGGATCCACGCATTCGAGTCTTGGAGATACTTGTTTTGAACATCCATAAAGGGTGTAGTGTGCGAGATCAAAAAGGTTCCCGTCGACACGGCGCAGGCATAGTCCTGGGGATTCTTGCCTGGCGGCGGTGGCGGGTGTGGCATGATCGACCGGATAATGTGGTCACTCTCCCAGAGTTCTAGCGTGCCGCCGGACTTGAGGATGCGCATGCACTCGTCAAGGGTCCTTTGCGACGGCGCTCCCAGAGGCACCACCATACTCAGGTCCTTCATGACGACAATGTCAAACTCCTCATCGTCAAAGGGCAGCGGCAGCTTGCGCAGATCATGCTGCACAAACTTCCAATCGATGCCTTGGCGCTGTAGGTCTCCGGCCAAGGGCACAATGTCCAAGCCGGTAAAGGAGACGTCTTCGTAGCCCTGCCCTGGTCATGGGTCAGCAGCGAACGGCAGCGGGGTGGGCTGAGGTGGCGGCGGCTGTGCCAGAGCAAAAAGAACGAAGAAAGAAAAAGAAAGAAAAGACTTGTGGTTGCTGTGACGAGAAAAATCAAGTTCAGGGTGATGCAGGACAGGGCGCTAACAAAGTTAGCTTGACATACCACTCAGCCATTCGTGACACACGGCGGACCAGTATCCTGAGCCGCAGGCGACTTCCAATACTTTTCGGGGCGGCTGCGAGGGGGTGGAGCCCAAGGCTCTACCGAAGACGGCGGTGGCAAGGAGGGTTTGTAGATTCTGGCGATGGAGTTCGGGCAGGTCGCAGGGCAGAGGGTAGCCGGAAGCGCTCCGAATGTATCGTCGGCCATGGCGCAGGACAAAGGGGTCGCTAGGGGGGCCGGCGGCATCGTCCTTTGTGCTCTGGGTGGAGCTGCTGGACATGGAGCCGCGGGTAATGTCCATTGTGCTGTGAACTCGTGGGCCTGAGGAGGCAGATGTCGAGGAGGCGGAGATGGTTCTACCGAGCGCGTCCGTCGTGGCCAGATCCCATTGCTTTGCTTCGACAGTCTTGGGGCGGACGGGCGGGCTGGCCGAGGGGTGTGCGCCGTAGTAGCGATACTGGGGAGTAGATTAGCCAAACGCGAGTCTGTGGCAGAGCGTGGCCAGAGAGAGATCTTGCCAACTGCCAGTCGCCCATCGAAACGGTCCGGAAGCGTGATTAGAGTTATTCCAGTCTACTCCGACCCTGGCCCCACTGTTTTTAGCGGGAGGTGGGAGCGTAAGATTGGGCTCGTCGAGGGGGGGGGAGGGGAGGGGAGGGCGTGGGATGGCGAGTCAGCAGCAAATGAAGCAGAAGCAGACGCGGGACGGTCGACAGGAGGGCAGTGGCAGTGGCAGTGGCAGTGGCAGTGGCAGTGGCAGACAGGGCGGGGGCGGCATGGCGTGGGCGTGAGGAGAGGAGGCTATGGCCGTGTATGGGGGATATATGTCGGTACCGCAGCGGGCGTATGTACGTATGCGTGTGAGGCAGGGCAGGGTAGGGCGGGCGCTCAGGTGAGTCGCGTCGCCTTGGAGCGTGCCGAGCAACAGTGACATGTCCCCAATCACCGCGAGCGGCTGTGTGCTTCCCCAGCATTCTGTCTGGCCGTGGCCGTGAGGATATGCATGAGCGCGGCATCAGCCGTAGGGGGGACGCGCGCTGCAGCTGATGCCATCACTCTGCGTGCGCCCTGAAACACGCCCGCCGTGTCTTTGATTTGTATGTTGCCGTGGCGGGTGGTGGTGCTGGTAGTAGTAGTGGTAGTAGTAATAGTAGGATGTAGTAGTACGTCCCCCCCTCCTTGCTTGCCCGCGATCCGCCATTGTCTGCGCACAGTACCAGTACCAGTCTCAGTGCCAGTGCCATTGCTAGCCAGCCAACCAGCCAGACATGTATTTATATATATATATATATATATACATGCACTGCACTCAAGCAGCCCAGGCAGCTTGCGCAAAAAAGCCCTGCTGCGCCCACGCACGCGAGGCGACAGCCCGGCGGTTTCAGGACCCGCCGCCCTTGTGAGACGCTCCCACCAGGTCACGTGGGCGGTTTAGCGGCGCCCCCCATGGCTCGGCCAAGGTTCAACCTCTCGGCCTTCACGTATCGCATCACTACGCTCTCTATTCTTCACACAGCGCTGCAGTTGGACTCTCGCCCCGCCCGTCTCGCACAATTGCGACACAACTCCCTCTCTGCGCGCCCCTGGACATGCTCACTTGTTGTACGTGCAATGCCTTCCACCCGCTTCGACGCCTCTCCGCTGCAGCTCCAGCCTCTTTGATCCCCCCGCTACGCCAGCCCACTGACTGCCCCCCAGAACCCATAGCCTGCCACCCATATCAATACCCAAACAACAGCGCGCCGGCCCTTCGCTGCCAACACGCCCGCTCTCGTACCCCCCAAACCCCAGCCCTCGCCAGCCCACGCCAGCCCTCGAGCGCGCCAAAAGTCCCCGCTTTGATATCACCCTCACGCGCCCACCGCCGCGGCCTCCGATACATGGTACACAGGTGCCGCGTCTGCTAGCGCGTGCTCATGTCGAGGAGTCGTACGGGCGCCCATGTTAAAACGAAGACGGTCGCGTGCCCGAACCCTACCGCCTACGCCTACCTGCCGCCTTTACTTGCTATAGCGACCCGCGGCTTGCATCCCCAGCACACACGCCCGCCTGCGGGCCCCTCGACGTCTCCCCTCGCCATTCCCTTAGATGGCCGAGTACTCGGTCTACCCCAGGGGAACCGGCCAGTCCTTTTATCCGCGACAAAACACTCGAAACCTTCCCAGCCGCGTGCGATCGCCTACCACTAGCGCCCGCATCCCCTTCAACAACCCCGACTCGCCCTCGCCAGCTCGATCCCCCGGCCGCCAATCGTCTCCCCAGCAGTTCGGCATGTTCAACCAGGGCCATGGGCACCAGGGCCACAACGTCATGATGAACGGGCGGACTGGGCAGCAAAACTACGCCGCCATGCAGATGGGCCTTGGCAAGCCCTTCCAACACAACCAGCACCACCAGCATCAGCACCAACACCACCAGCAGCACCAAGACCTCACTGGGAACAGCCATGTTGGACAGTACAACCACCAGCACAACATCTCGAGCGGCGGCATGTCCAGCGTCCAGCCCCACTTCACCCCCGGCCACCTCCAGAACGGCACCCCGGGCAGCGTGCACAGCGCCCTTAGCAAGCCGCAGACTGAGCATTGGCAAGAGCAATTGAAGTTGCACCAGACGGCCCGCGAGATGACACAGGCCCACTCGCACGCCAGGATCCACCCGAGTGTCAGCAAGAGCGTGGTCGCTGGAACAACCAATGGAATGCAGAAAGAGGCGGACAAGGAAGAGCGCAACAGGCCGGCTGCCCAGCGAGCCGAAGACGCAAAGGACCAGCACATTTGGACAATTCTCGACTTTGGCGGCCAGAACCTCAAGGTCATCACTCCGGCCCTCTTCGCCTACACCTTTCTGACCAAGCTCTACCTCAACTCGAACAAGCTCACCTACGTGCACCAGAAGATTGGACAGTTACGCAGCCTCACACATCTGGATCTCTCCCTGAACAACTTGCACTACCTGCCCCCGGAGATTGGCATGCTGGTCAATTTGAAGCAGCTGCTCTTGTTTGACAACCACATTGAGAATCTGCCGTACGAGCTGGGATCCCTGTATCAATTGGAGGTGCTCGGCATTGAAGGAAACCCGATTCCAGATGATCTCAAGCAAATCATTATGGAACAAGGTACCACCGAACTCATCAAGCACTTCCGTGAAAATGCCCCCGGACCCGAGGCGCCCCCGGAGCGAGACTGGATTGTTCTCGATGAGATTCAAGACACATCTCAGGAGACTGTCAGCGCGCTCAGCTACAACATTCTGTGCGACAAGTACTGCACACAGTCACAGTATGGCTACACGCCCAGCTCAGCGCTCGCGTGGGAAAGTCGTCGAGAACTCATCTTGGCCGAACTGCGAGAGCGCGACGCAGACATTGTATGTTTGCAAGAAATCGACCAGGAAAGCTTCAATGAGTTTTTCCGCGCAGCACTGGCGCACAATGACTACAAGGGAGTATTTTGGCCAAAGTCCAGGGCGCGAACCATGGCTGAGAGAGAAGCCAAGCTTGTCGATGGGTGTGCTATCTTTTACAAGAACAGCAAGTAAGTCGAGGATAAGTGCGTTTTTCCATGAAACTCACTGACTGACTGGTATAGGTACATTTTGCTGGACAAGCAGCTCATCGACTTTGCAAACACAGCCATCAATCGACCCGACATGAAAGGCGAGCACGACATCTTCAACCGTGTTATGCCCCGAGACGACATTGGAGTGCTTGCATTCCTGGAGAACCGCGCTACGGGCTCACGATTTATTGTAGGAAACGTGCACGTTTTTTGGAACCCTGCATTCCAAGACGTGAAGCTTGTGCAAGTCGCCATTCTGATGGAAGGCATCACAAAGTTCGCAACACAATGGACAAAGCACCCGCCTTGCACAAACAAGGTCGTGTACCAGTTCACGAATGGTGACAACGACGAAGTAGCAGAGCCGGACCCGACGCAGGAGCCCGGGCCCTCCAAGGTGTACACCGACCCCGCCGACATACCGCTCTTGCTCTGCGGTGATTTCAATTCGCTTCCGTCGTCTGGTGTCTACGATCTCATCACCAATGGCAACATTTCGAATGTTCACGCGGATCTGGGAAGCCGCAAGTATGGTAACTTCACACGAGACGGCATATCCCATCCCTTCAGTCTCAAGTCCAGCTACGCATCCATTGGCGAGCTGGCGTTTACAAACTACGTCCCTCACTTCCAAGGAGTACTGGACTACATCTGGTACTCGACCAATACCCTTCAAGTGGTTGGTCTTCTTGGCGACATTGACAAAGGCTACCTCCAGCGGGTGCCGGGGTTCCCCAACTACCACTTCCCCAGTGATCACATCGCGCTGTACGCACAGTACATTGTCAAGAACCGAAAAGAGGCCAAGAAGGTGTCCGAGGTCGACTTTGGGCCTAGCCGGGAGCGAAGGAATTGATCGACACCAAAAGGTCGGTCGGCCTCCGGGCATGTCAATAGGCTTGTGGTATAGCGTTCTCCATCGTTTCCAGGCGTCTTTTGCTCGGTGTTCGGTTGCTATCGTCGGCTCACGTCCCTTGGGGGCTTCATGGATGACAATTCAGATTTGGCAATGACAGGGCGGACCGCTCGATAGACGGGGGGCGCGGTCTGATCATCTTGCAGGGGGCGGTTAGTACACGAATCTCACATCACTGGTTGTTGTTCTCTGTCTGGAACACTCTTTGTTTGGCAGCCTGACGACGGAAAGGACGGCCTACTACTCTCTTTTCGGGGTGCGAAGCGTTCGATTGGTTTCTGCGACAGGTGTTTCGCGACATGGGTTCTGTTTTTTTCCCTTCTTTCTTGATCTATTTTCTGGGTTTCTCTTGCGTTCTTCTTTTCTGCAATGTATCAACTAGGTAGCTCTCCCAAAAAAGGCCAGGTCGCCTGCTTTTGCTAGCATGTCCCGACCATGGTTTAGCCGTTCCAGACGAGGACAATGACAATGCGCAATGATGAGTGCCGGTGACGTGAAACAGGCCGGCGAAAGCCACGGGTAGCAGAACCAGCAGCCACGGTGCAGTGATGGCCAAAGATGGCGTCATGGGGCAGTGTTTGTGGCGATTATTCGCTGGACGGCGGGAGCTAGCTGCTGGCACCAGGGTTGAGATGATGTGAGGGGGGAGGGGGTTTTGTGGCTTTACTTAGATTCGCTTGACCGCCGCGGCAACTGGACCCACTTAGACAGCATCAGCGTGCGCGCTCCTCGACGAACTTACCCCAAGCCGCGCAACACGTATCCCTTGCAAACTCCTTACATCTTTGTTACAATTCGTCGTCTCTCTCCGCCTATCCATCACACCATGGCAGCCACGGCATCCACCTCTGAGCTGAAGCTCGACCCCAAGTACGACCAGTACGATTTCCCAACTATCTCGCCCACCGCTCAGAATGGACATCCCGGCCACACGACGCCCGAGCAAGATGCTCAGGTCTTCCAGCTGAGGACTGCTCTGGAGCAGGCTGGCTACACCAAGAACCTCGACACCTTGACTCTGGTACGCCTGCTCATGCTGGTTGCGCCGTCTTACACGCCCCCTTGTATGCTAATAGCCACTTGACAGCTGCGATTCCTCCGTGCGCGCAAGTTCAATGTCGAGGCCTCGAAACAGATGTGAGTGGTGCACAGTGACTGAGCACGGCAAAAGCAGCAGGACAGACCGACTGACGAGCTCCAGGTTCGTTGACTGCGAGAAGTGGAGGAGCGAGTACGCCGGCTGCGGTGTCGAGGAGCTGGTCCGTACTTTTGACTACACCGAACGACCCGAGGTGTTCAAGTTCTACCCCCAGTACTACCACAAGACGGACAAGGTATGCATCCACTCTCCATCTCGACACGCGGGACATGAGCTTTAGCCAGCCAAGGGAAGACGACTAATTGCTCAAACAGGATGGCCGCCCACTGTACATCGAGCAGCTTGGCAACGTCGACCTCCCCGCACTCCAAAAGATCACCTCGCAAGAGCGTATGATCCAGAACCTTGTCTGCGAATACGAAAAGATGGCCGACCCCCGTCTTCCGGCCTGCTCCCGCAAGTCGGGCTACCTCCTTGAGACGTCATGCACAATCATGGACCTGAAGGGCGTGGGTCTGGGCAAGGCAGCGTCGGTCTACGGCTACCTGGGCGCTGTTTCGGCCATCAGCCAAAACTACTACCCGGAGCGTCTGGGTAAGATGTACGTCATCAACGCGCCCTGGGGCTTCTCGGGCGTGTTTAGCGTGGTCAAGAAGTTCCTCGACCCCGTCACAAGTGCCAAGATCCACGTCTTGGGCAGCGGATACCAGAAGGAGCTGTTGGCTCAGGTTCCGGCCGAGAATCTGCCCAAGGAATTTGGTGGAACATGCCAGTGTGAGAAGGGCTGCTCGCTGAGCGATGCAGGCCCCTGGTGGGACCCCCAGTGGGCACGGGAGCCCAAGTGGGCAAAGAAGAGCGAGGGCGACGCCATTAACAACGCTGCTCTCCCTGCTCCCACTGAGGCCGGTGCTGGTGGCGCACCCGCACCCGCACCCGCTGGCACCGAGCCGGCCACTGCACCCGCACCCGCCACCACCTAGTTGGTTTCCGCTGGGTGAAGACGGGGGGAGGTTGGCAGCTTTTTAAGAGTGAGACAATTGTTCTGGCGTAGGGGTGGGAGGGTGTGCGAATGATGTTTGAAGTGGCTACAGAGAAGGACCAGCGATTGCGGCCTAGACAGGTGTGTTGGGTGTTTCGCGTGGGCAGCACAGTATGTAAAAGCCGTTTAGCATATCGGAGCATAGAGTCAAGAAACTAGCATCATGTCATAGAAGCGTGGAGCCAGAATTCCCATTTCCCCCCCAAACCCCTGAATTCATCATCATGACTTTGTTTGTATGCAGAAAGAAAAAAACACGCCATTTGTCTATTCTGCGTGATTTATTTTAGGGGCGCATTACGTACTGCTGAGGTCTTTGACTTTGTGGCAGCAGGTAATGCATTTGGATTATTCCATTGTGCATGTTCACATTTATTTTTTTTATGTTCTAAATGTACTTGCCCTGTGGGTCCAACTTGTCCATGAGCTCCATGGACTTTTCGTACATGGTAAAGACAATGCCGCCGCTGAGGATCAAACGGCCCAGTCTGGGCAGAGCGCCGGCCCAAAAGGTAAGGAGGCCCTCGTCCCTGAAGATTTTGACGACGCAGTCCAGACTGTTCTTGTAGGAGCTGCGGGCCTCGATCGACTGCATGCGCGTCTTGACTGTGTCGATGGGCATGGTGGTGTAGACGGTGATTATGCCTGCGAGGCCTCCGAGCCCAAAGGTGCTGACGGCTCCGAGCTTTTCGCCTGGCGCGACATAGGATTGTGCCAGCTGCTTGAGCGACGTGTAGCTGGAGAAGCGGACGGCTGAGTTTGCGGCTTGTCGTGCGGTCGTGGGCAGGAAGCCCTGGAAGAAGCCGCGAATACCTTTTTCCTGGGCGATGACCCTGGAGCCGTGCAGGAAACCGCGCATACGTGGGTTTGCGGACTTGCGGTCGTCGATGCTGGGATACGGGGTCAGCGAGAGAGAGAGTAAAAAGGTGGGTTAATGGCATACTCACAGCTGTGTCTTGATGCTTTCAAAGGGTGTCACTGCCAGTAGCGACTCTGTGGCTCCTGCACCAAAGCCCGCGATGACTGTCGCCGGGCCGGAAACCTTACCCTCTGCATCGGCCAGCATGTTCTTGTACATGTCGAACGCGACGAATCCTAGGCACTTGTGTGTCAGCCCAACATCCCTCTCCGCGCTTCAGCATGCTTGGGCAAGCGCACTTATTCCCGCCTTGAGCGAATTGCCAATAATCAACGTTGTGCACCCGGCGTACCACTGCGCGCCAAACGGCGGCCATGGCAGCTTCTTCCCGTCTGGTAATCTTCGGTTGAGCTGCGATCGTGTCTTTGCGACTATATCTTGTGCGTCAGGGCCGTCCTCGCCGCGTGGAAGTTAAACAAAAAAGGCTTCAGAGATTCACAGCGTACACTCAGCGGGATAGGTAATTGCTGCACGAAAAGAGGTCAGTATGGTGTTTCTGGCTGTCCGCTGCTCGGAGCAAGTGGGTAGGTGGGAGGGTTACAAATTTCGACGGCGCCAGCAGTTGCGCCAGCGAGAATGGAGCGCATAGCACTCGGCTTCTTCTTCTTCTCCGGCGGTACGGTCGCCATGATGGCGGGTGGCGTGCAATTGGATGTTTGAAGCCAACTTTTTTTTTTCCTCTTCCTCTACGTTCGCGGACCGCGTCTCTCTTGCGATGAACGGGAGTGGTGACGTAGTCTTGTAATCGGGACGGGAGGGGGGCGACAAACAAAACGTCCTTGGAGAAGAAAAGTCAATTAATCGATGGGGATCAAGAGATGGGCGCAGCCATGGAGCCGTCTCTTGCCGTGCACTTGGTTATGCCCCAGCGCGTGCCAAAAGGCAATCAGATGTGGCTGCACGCGGCGGCTGATGAGAGCAGTCGGCGCCGCATTTCGGCGCCAAGCCGTCCCGCTTGACATCAGCCTTTTGGGCCCCGCGAGCACGAGCTCGGACCCTCGAAAAGTTACGCCTCTCGCCGCGACACCCACGTATCCACCCATTGGTTCGCATTTCTTCTCTTCCAATCCAATTTGGTGCCCTTCTGCCTCTGCACACAAACACACCATCGCCGCCATCACCGCCATGCTTTCTCTGCGATCCCTCGCCCGCAGCGCCCCGCGGTCCGCCGCCCGCTTCTCTACAAAGGCCGTCCGCCCGCAAGCGTTTCTGCGCCAGACGGCTGCTTTCCAGCCCGCATGGGCGGTCGCTGCTCCCCGTCTCACAGCCTCTTTCTCCGTGTCTGCCGCGCGGAGACAAGACAGCGGCAGTATGTAGTGGATATGTCTCGAGTAGACGCGCTTGGCTAATGCAACGGCAGTCAATGAAGAGTTGGTCGCAAAGCTCGAGAGCGAAATCGTCATGGAGGAGAGCATGAAGGAGGACGAGGACCTCTCTGCTAACATCAAGGAGTATCTTGACAACAGCCCCTTTGAGGTGCGCCCTTTTGCATCCTTGCACATGCATGGCCCCATGCTTACATTGCCACAGATTGAAGACCAGCCCGGCAACCAGGAAGTCGTCCTCACCCGCACGTACAACGACGAGAAGATCCGCATCACCTTCACCACGGCCGACCTCAACAACAACCAGACTGGCGATGAATTCTCCGACGACAATGCCTTGTTTGACGATGCCGACATGGACGTGCAGTCTGGAGGCGCAAACACCAAGGGTGCCATTAACCAGGGCAAGACTCAAGACGGAAACATCCGTGTCGCTCCCGAGGACCGCGTTGCTCCCGCCGACCGCGAGGAGCTCGAGGACGACTACGAGAATGACGAGCAGCAGCAGGGGTTCCCTGCCCATGCAACCATCCGCATCGAGCGTCCCAGCAAGGGCGCCTTGGTTATCGAGGCCACTGCTCAAGACGGCGATTTCCTGATTGAAGACCTCTACTACTTCCCCTCTGGTGACCTAGCCGACCCTGCTACTGCGGAGAAGGACTGGGCTCGACGTGCCCTCTACACGGTATGTGGCGACGGATTTAAATCTCGACCATCATCTAACTTGCAGCAGGGCCCTCCTTTTAACAACCTGGACGAGGACCTCCAAATTCTTCTTGAGAAGTACCTTGAGGAGCGTGGCATCAACACCCGTCTTGCCCTCTTCATTCCTGACTACATTGACCACAAGGAGCAGAAGGAGTATGTCAGGTGGCTCAACAGTACGTTACCCAGATGCAATTGATTATAGCTTCGAGGGCTAACAAATCTACTAGACATCAAGACCTTTGTTGCATAAACTCGCGTCAGACTTTCCAATGGCCAATGCACAAGAGGCACGCCACAAAGATCGGTACGACGAAAATGACGCTTCAACGAGGCTAGACCGATGTGTTCGAGCTTCCTCTTGTATAATCTTGTAACGCATCTCAATCTTCAGGTAACATTGGGGGCGTTGATCATGTGTAAAATAGTTTGTGGGATATCTCTTCTTTGTATGACTCGTGGCCATGACCGCATATGGTTTGGGCCCTAAAAGAAATGATGAATATGTTTTGATATATACGTGGCTGAATGGGTGTTTTTGAAGGTGAAGTGTGGGTTGCATATGCGGTCGCAGTGGTGTATAAATCGAGTGAAAATGGGTATATTGATTACTCCCTTTTAGTTGTACCTTGTCCATGTCGCCTAATCTGTTGTTAGATAATAAAGGCAAGCTGTAACGCGCTGTTTGCTACCGTGGTCTCGGGATGAGCAAAGCCAATCCTCACCAGCTACGCATCTCCACAAGATATTTATTCGCCCAATACTTAGCAAAATGCAGTTAATCCTTATCCGCAATCACTACTAATTCACTCCAAGAGATCCCTTTTCAGGCACAGATGAAAACAGCATGCATGTAGAGAGACCAAGTATGATGATGTCTCTAAAGCCATATGCAGCCAATATACCACGACACCCGAGGCACCGCAAATCCACACGTTTGGCTCGTGTGAAAAAGGGGGTGGTCAAATACATTACACGTATGATACCACCAAACGCTCGTACTAAAGATGAGTTGTTTTAGTTTTTTTTTTTTGATTGAATACCGCCTGTATACCTTTAGAAATGTGTAGTTGAGACACTCCCAAGAGCCGAGTTATTAGCTATTTTTTCTTCTTCTACATCTCCTCAGTGCACTTGGATGGCGCGATTGGCGTCTCGGGAACTGATGCACAATATATATATATATACCTCGGCTGGCGGGATACCAATGGACTTCACCACTAGTACCATTATAGTTCTGTTCCTGTAGGCTCTAAACCCATTATCTTTCTGGTTCTCGCTAGACTGATTAACCCAGCGATTCTTGTGCCGTCTGTGTTGTTCTCATAGCCGCTTTTGCAGAAGCAGAATAGCAATACTGTGCATTGCCTGGACGATGTTGTTCGGAGTGTACTTTTAGCTGCTTATTTACTTGCCTTGTGGTTCTATACACACACAGACACACACACACACACACACACATAAATATAGTATGCTTCTGCTCTTTCAAAACGCCAGGGATATGAGTGGGCGCGAGAGAGACACACACACGCACACATACCAGTTGAAGCGGTGGAAGGTGTGCTAGCGAGTGAACGGACGAATGGGAGTTTTGCTCTCACGAGGGGCTTTTTTTTTACCCAGCTAGACGGGAAGGGAGCGTTGTATATTAGACTGGGGTTCAAGGATTTGGGTAAGGAACGGAGAAGGGGCGGTAGGGAATAGAAAGGGAGAGAGGAATGGCACTAGAATCCGTGGGAAGAGTCGAAAACTATTCAGAAGAAGAAGAAGAAGAAGAAGAAGAAGAAGGAAGAGGAGGGAGAAATTGGCTCGATAAGCGCTCTATTCACAAGCAATACCAATACCGATACCAAGACAAGAAACAGAATCATCATATCCATCTCCCTCACCCTCTCCCTCATCCATCACAAACACACAACTTCCCACACTCTCCCCAATCCCCCATTCTCTTCACCCCCATCTGATCCAACCCCCTCTACAGCATTCCTAGCAGCTATGCCAAATGCACCTGGGGCAAGTCCGATAGCAATAACCGCCACAGCCAAAATGGCCGCCGGGACACGTGCAGCATGTGCCGCGTGCCTCGAGGTCTGCGATGATGAGGGCGTCGACTCTGGCGTTGGGGGCTGGACTCGCGGTTACGGAGAGAGTCGTGAGGGTGGTGAGGAGTGTGGGGAGGAGGAGGGAGAGATGCATTTTTTTTTGTTGGTGGTGGTGGTGGTGGTGGTGGTGGCGTGTGGACTGGAGTGGGTGTTAGGTTTGGCTGCTGTTGAGGTTGGGGGTTGGGGATTGGGGTTGATATGGTGCGGTTCTTTGTGTAGGATGGGATGATGGAATGATGGATGAATGGATGAATATAGTGAGAAGGCTTTTCTGTCTTACCTGATCGATTGACCGATTGACTAACTGACTGACTGACTGACTGACCGAGTATATGAAACCGAGAAGAATAATGACCTTGAGAATATGACAACTTGAGTCAAGTAGTCTTCGAGAAGAAACCGAAATGTCAAGATGTGCTTTCTTTTCTTTTCTTACCAGAGCAAACTGATATGTAGCTTGAGTCTTTATACAAGCGACCCTCGTTGAATATATAGATTAGTTTCCAAAAGCGCCAAGTACTTATCACATGCATCGCCTACCTCCTCCCTTTTTTTTTCATGCACATACCTACAACACGAGCACTCTACGAAGCGAACGCATGGCCAATTTCCGTGAACCCAAAAAAAACCGCCGTACAGTAGTTAGCGAGCGCGAGCGTGGTCATGTCTCTTCAATATCTGCTAGTTCTGATATTACATACCCTTACATTATTGATTTTTGGCGCCGTGAAACCGCCCATTGGAAAAAAAAACGCACTGTTCTGCGCGGTTTTGTGACCTTCGTATTTGTGGCTGTGCTGGCTAAAAAGGCATCGTTTTTTTACCTAATCTAGACGCCAAACTGCGGCGTGTGCGCGTACGTGGCTAGTTCTATTTGCCCACGTCAGCTGTAGCTACGCAGATGGAGATTAAGGGCTAATGAGTCGGGGCATGTAGTATCACATAATATTGAATGGATAGCGGCTGTTTTGCTACTGGTGGGCTGGATACATACGAGTAAATAGCACCATCTTTTCCGCTTTTCCCGGTATCCATGGCTAGTAGTTGAATTTGCTGGGTCTGCAGCACCGACACTGAGGGAATATATGAATCAAGGCTGTGATCAAGCTTGTTCCGCTCATATAGCTGTTTCAAGTGCGGCATATGAGTGAGAAATTGACCACCTATTTAAACGCCACACTCGATAATGAGCCACTTATTGCATGTGGCTATACCTCAAGAGTGCAAACGTAGGCAGCATACCAGTCGTTTGATCGTCAAGTGGGCCGTCGTCTAGCTGTTGCCGTACTAGCGGCCGGCTTTTTGACACCATTTTTAACCTTTTGCGCGATGCCTCGGGTGCCAGGCTTTGGCTTTGGCTTTTCTACTTTCAACGGCAGTTCTTGTGGCGCGATTTTTGTTGCAGTTGCTTGGTTCTTCGGCGCCTGAGCCACATCCCATTCCGAGAGATCTGACGGGCAGCTTGAAAGCTCTGACAGCGAGGAAGGACTCCAAAGCTTTGATTCAGTGCATTTATTGTTCGACGGACTTGAAGGTGGAGTGATGTTTTCTGGCAAGGCCTTTCCGACGCGTGTATCAGAGTACGGGATTCCACACAGCTGGTAGCATTCTTCGAGTGTCAGATCCACGTTGTGTGCTCTAGTAATATATTAGTAGCCGTAACGAAAGGTTGAAGCGCCGTGACTTACTTGCTCGCAACCAAGACGCCCTCCATCTTTCCAATCAGATGCTCCCTATCCGCACGATCACGAAACAGTTCATGACACTGCACCGTCACTGTGCCCCTCTTGCTCCCGCCATCCAAGGCAAAGGTGAAACTTTTCGTGGCTCCAAACTTGTCATGGTTTACTGATAGGGTGCCTGACTGATCTTGTACCTCACCCTTGTCATCACCAGCCAAACCCATCGGTGGCAACGGCGTCGGGGCCCTAGCAACAGGATCATAGCAGTCAAAGTATCGATGCACTAGTCATTGTTATTACATCGTCTCTCTTACCACTTTCATATCGGGGGCTGAACTCAGCACATACCTCCAGTGTCATCAGTGAAGCCGTCAGAATCCCACGTGTAGGTTCCGTTGTAGAATTTTTGCGAGCGCTCAGTGACGCCGGCGAATATGGGCGGCGACATGAGGCGGGTAGTTGAATTGGTCTATAGGTCCTTTTTGTTTCTTTTATTTTTGATTGCTGCGTTCGAGAAGTGTGGGATATGTTGTGCGTGTGTGCTAGTTTCGAAAGGAAGGAACGAGTGGTTGCCAGGATGAATGTTCAAGTGGAGTGAGCAGGCAACAGTGGAAGCTGCTCTATCCGAGAGTGACGTTGTATTGATCGAGGTGAGAGAAACTCAGGGTCCCTTACCAGTTTAGGTGAGAGCAAACACAGCTATAGCCCCACTACGACCTGGCTTGATGGCAGTAGCATAGTGAAGGGACTACAAAAATCAAACCCAAAAAGAATGCATCTACGTATGAAGAGTGATATTTCTATAATCTTGAGACAAGACTGCGTTGTAACACAGTAGTGATGGCTAAATTATCTACACATGCAAACGCCTTTAGACTTTATATCCTGCCAGCCAGGTGATATTCCGCACCGCCCACTGTGGGTATCGTACAAGAGACTAATCAGATACAGAAGAAGGGAAGTTAAAAGAAAGAACATGGTCGCGAGACCCCGAGTGAATGCTGCCAAAGGAAAAGATGCTCGAATGAGTTTGTAGGATCCGTGGGGCTAGTGTGGTGGTTTGGTGCGCTAAGAAGCCAAATCACACCCAATGGTGACAACAGCTTCTGAGAGTCGTTGTGTCGGGAAACAATATTTTGGTTTATGCCGCACTAGCCTGGCCAGTCTGGTTGGAGGTGGCGGTAATGGGTTTGGTTGCAATTGTCTGGGCAAGAGACTCGCGTGCCGCCTTTTCCTGTTCCATGGCAGCGCGATCAGCCTTGGTAACGCGAGGCTTACGGACTGTAGAGCCACCACGAGACCCAGGGCCTCCGCCACGGCCCCGGCCACGACCAGCTGCCTCTCCCCGTACTGTGCCGCCGCGTCCACGTCCTCTTCCGCGCCTCATAGTGCCATCGGCCCTATATACTGTTAGTCCAGATCGACCGAGCGAGAAATCGGTCACATACCTTTCCACAGGTTGTTTTTCCTCGGTAACAAGCGGGCCACTGTACACAAAGAAACCATCTTTAGCCATGAGTGCTTGTTGCTCCCAGGCCAGCTCCGTGTCATCAATAAAGTCATCTTCCTTGTCATAGTCTTCCTGCTTTCTCTTTCTTCGCTTCTTGCCCCCATTTTCCTTGGCTGATGTTTCGTCGTCCATACCCCCCATCTCGACGTTGCTCTCGTTCTCTGACAGATCGACAGACTGGTCATCGTTGGATCCTCCGCCTGCCGCTCTCTCCAGGGCAGCACCAGCGGCGGTGATTTGGCGTTGACGCTCTTTGCGGGCAGCGATGCGGGGATGCAGAGCCGCAAAGCCGTACTTTTTCTCGACTTCTTGAGCAACATTAATCGTGACGTTGTCGCGTCCCTTGAGGTCGAAATGGAGGTAGATGTTGGTACCCTGTGTCTCGGATGCACCATTGGCGTTGGCGACTGGGCCAAACGGCGTCCCCGACAAGAGCCCGCTACCCGTAGGCAGAGGCGGGGGAGCCTCTTTTTGGCGCGCAGCCTTGGTGGGTGGTGTTGGGGCGTTGGAGTGCGAGGGCGTGCCTGAGTTTGCCGAGTTTGACTTTGTCATGGGTACAGAAACTGGCTTGTGAGGCTCAGAGTCAATGTCCATGGGAGTTGGTCCTGATGCTGCGGCAGGGTGCTGCTGAACCTGGGGTTGAAGCAAATGCGGATTTTGTTCTTGTTGTTGTTGTTGTTGCTGATGTTGCTGCTGAGGCTGAGGCTGAGGCTGAGGCTGATGCTGATGCTGTTGGGGTTGAGACTGGGGTTGGGGTTGAGGCGGGAATTCCTGAGTGGGCAGGACCGAGCCAGGGCGCGTAGAAAAGGCCGCAGGCGAGACAGGCGCCGAGGTGACGGACGACTGCTGGGGAAGCTTAACAGGATGCGAATAGAAGGAATTGCTGGCAGAGGGCGGGTCGATCAAACTGGTAATAGAGGGAGAGGCACTGGCACGATGGTTGAGAGGTGGTGAGACGGGCGGAGGAGCGGGAGCAGCCGGCTGGGGCTTTGATTCAAAGATGCCACCTCGAATGGGATCATATCGCTGGCCTGAGCTCGAGGGGCGTGGTGTTGAGGGTACGGCGCTAATGTGCGAAAGGTTGGGATTGCTGTGAAGCGTGGGTTCGGGGTTGGCCAGCATGCGAGGAGGTTGCGCCACAGCGGGTGGCTGTTCTGCGGGCAGGACGGGTGCGGGTTCGCTGGGCCTGGTCTGCGGTGCGGGCGAGTGCTTGATAGGCGGCTTCTCTTCGACGAGCGGTGGTGCGGGCTGGGGCGGTGGCTGTGGCGGTGGTTGTGCCTGTGGCTGCGACTGTGCGTGCGACTGTGCTTCGAGCGAGGCCTTTGTCCTTCTCTTGCGCGGAACGGGGACAATGCTTGGATCCTTGGGCTCCGACTTGCGAGGCTTTCGCGTCTTCTTCTCGGGCTCGAGGGCAGTGGGATCCTTGGCCTTTGGCTTTGGACCCGGCTTCTTTCGTGGTTGGCCGCTGGCCGTCAGGCCTCGGGCATGTGTTGCAGGCGATGCATTTGCAGGGGTGGGGGTGCTAGTCCCAACACCAACACCGCCTGCAGATGCGCGAACTGTCGACGTCGGCGTGCCCTGCTCGGGCGAGTGTGGGGGCGAGCTCAGACTGCCGGGCGAAGACGCACCGTCGACGTCCATGGCGCGGCACAGGCAAGAGGATGCAGCGCGGGAAAACAAAAAAACTCGGGCCAGGCGGGGTGCAGGGCGTGTGGAGGGCTTCAGAGGGCTGGGGGGGGGGAAGCGGCTATGCAGAGCAGAGGAGAGGGGCGCGGCGCGGCGAGGCGAGAGGCCGGTGGTGCTGGCTGGCTGGCTGGCTGGGTGCGCGGGCGGCGGGTGTGCAGACTCAACACCAAAAAAGTGTCAAAGGCGGATGGGGGCAAGGGCTGGGGCGAACACCAAAGGCGGAATGCAGGCGAATGGCGGGCCGGGGTAGCGGGCCAAACAGGGTACACGGAGGGAGAGGAACACCAAGCGTGGATTGCCAACGAGAGATTGATGGCGGCGCCCCCAGCGCAAGCGGGATTGATGGAACAACAACGGGGGCGTGGGCGGGAACAGGGAGGCGCAAGAGGGAAAAAGAGAGAGGAAGAGGGAGGGAGGGCGAGGGAGAAGAGAGAAAGAGGAAGAACGAGAGCAACACGAGGAAGAAGAGAAAGGGCGAAAGACGTGTTGCGTGGTGCTTGGGGGGGGGCTCAAGGGCCTCAAGTAGCCATCAGAGAGCGATTTGGGACAGCAGCGGGCCAAAGCTTGGGGTACGACGGAGCCCTAGAACAGAAAAACAGTTTACGCCAGGCAGAGCACGTCGACGAGCCCGGGGCGCGCGCACCCGCGGCGAGGGTGCGTGGGGACCGGTGGTGTAGTGTAGTGCCGTGTGTATGGGTGTGCGGCATGCGGCATGCGGTCTGCGGTCTGTGGTGTGTGTGCGTGTGTGGTGTATAGGTGTGTGTGTACGTGTGAAGGAATCCTGGCCTATGCCGGCTGCTGCTGTCGGGATGAGGAGGCGGAGGCAGAGGCAGAGGCAGAGGCGGAGGAGGAGGAAGAGGAGGAGGAAGAGGAAGCGGAAGGCGCAGGCGCAGGCGTAGTAGTAGACGTATCAAACATGGCATCATGGCATCAGCCGCGTACAGTGCAGCCAGCCGTTGGGCCAGCCACACAGGCGGCGAGTGAATGCAAATGCCATGTACAGCGTCCATGTGCCCCCGCGCGCGCCTGCCCCCCTACCTGCATCGCGCCTTCCTGCCCTGTTGTGTGGTGGGTGGGTGTTTTCCCATCCATGTGTACATATACACCGATAATCCGTGTGCGTGCGGGCGTGCGTGTCTTCACCATCATACACCCGACGTACCATAACGCCTATTAGCCGCCTGACATGCTGCCACCGCCACCGCCCGCGCCCGCCATGCCTGCACATCCACGCCGCCCTCGCCGCTGCCCCCCTCGCAGTATTCTCCGCCCGTCGCCATTGCAAAAACACCCCCACCATGGCCGTCTGGCGCATGCGCCCGCCGAACGGATAGTCGTTCCACGGTTCCTGCGCTTTGGGGTGAGCTGCATGTCTGACTGGGGCCGTGCTCTCCGATCACCTGCAGGGGTCTCTGATTCGCCAGCACGCCATGGCGTTACAGATCCAGGAACGCTCCCTGAATCGGTCACACTATGCACCCTCACACACACACATTCGACCAAGGATTAAAAAAAAAGCCACCAACAAAAACAACAACTCGCCTTTGGAAATCGGATAATAGCTCGAGGTATATCTGCACATACATGCATACACACACACACACACATACATCCAGCCACGGTAGATGCAACGCGTAATCTCATAGCCCTTTTGCAATCCTCCCAACGAGCTCCTCGCACAGCAAACTCCCCAAACACCAAAAAAGAAAAAAACAGAAAAAAACACTTTCAAAACGCCCACACAGTATGCCCGTATGAATACATGTGCTGACTCGTTCCTCATCACGCCTTGCTCTTCTTCTTCTTCTTCTTCTTTTCGCCATCCTCCTCCTCGCCGTGTTTCCGCTTCTTTTCCTTCTTCGCCTTCTTGTCCTTCTTCTCCTTGCGCACCGCCTGCTCAGTAGCTGCCGCCGTCACCCCATCCGCCATCTCAACATCCTCGGCCGCCGTCGCCGTCGGGTCTTCCATGCCAATGTCATTCAACACAGACTTCATGGCCGCCTGCATCACCTCGGCATTCTTCGCCGGTGGCGCTCCAGAAGCGTAAAACTCAATGCGCTCATCAACCTGTCGCTTGAGAGCCTCGCCAAACTTGGAAGTTGGTGTGTCGGAGAAGTTGTCAATCCTCGACGCAATCGAGCACTTGTTGGCCAGGAAGCGTGAGATTCTTCCCTTGGACTTTTGTCCCGTGCGTCCAATGAAGGAGCTGTGGTAAATCAGTCCGTACTTGGGAGTCTGCTCAAAGTCAGCACAAGCCTGCATAGCTCAAACACACCACGTACGTTTCCCTTGGTCTTCAGCGCTCGGAAAAGGGCCTTTTCAGCTCCAAGAATCTGAACCGTACTGGCCGGGTACTTGGAAAGGTTCGTCAAGGACCCCGCCTTGGAGATCAGCCTGGCGCCGACCGTATCACCGATAAGCGCAGCCAGGTTCGGCGCAACCTGGTTCATACGGCTTCCAAGGTAGCTGCTGAGCTGCTTGCGATACGCAGCCAAAGAAGCGGTTCGCTTGGCGAAAGCTCTAACATCAAGTCAGTTGGTGTTGATCGCTATGCCACCTGTGCAGCTCTTACATGACAATTTCCATGTCGGCCTCGGAAAGATCCCCTAGACAGCGGGTTAGTGTGCGCGCCTTTGGGCTACGTCGTTCACGAATCCCACTCACTTCCCATAGATGTCCGGGCCGCCTTGATGATGGCCTGCGCAACCCCTTCGTCGTCCTCCACGACGGCCGCAAGATCGTGCAGGTCGTCGTCGCTCAGTTTCGACTTGTCTCCAATCTGCAAAACAACCTTCGCATACTGTTCGTTGCTGTTGACAATCTTCGCAAGCTCAGGGAAATGCCAGCCTGCAGAGAGCGTCAGTATTTGTCTCCCAACCGCGTCATGTACAAGGCGTCTTCACCATAGTTTTCGCGCAGGCGCATGCAAAACGTGTTGAGGTCCTTGTCGATCTGGTCAAGCGTCGCGATAGCTTGAATAATGTGATTGTCCTGCTTCTGCACACTGAACTTGACCTTGGACCTGGAGTAGGCGTGTCCCAGACCCAGAATAGAGCGCTCAATGTCACCGGGTTGCAGTTTCTTGGGCCAATCAGTACAAAGCACACAAACATGACCCACGGCCTTGCGCATACCTTGATCAATTTGCTGCTGTGTTGGCGAATCCCGCGAAGCAGATCAGCCACCACCTCCGAAGTGTCGCTGGTCTCGCAGCTGAGGTTGGGGAATGCGGCCTTGATGCTGCCCGCAAGGTTCCTCTCGCTCACGCCAAGCGTAATCGTCTTCTTCTTCCCCGCCTTGGGGAGATTGGTCTCGAGAGTGGCCCTCAGGAAGTCAGACATGATGCCTTCCGAGACATCGTTGATTTCGGCAAGCGCATCTTGGGTGCCCTGGAATGGAGCCAGACCGACAAGCTCGACAGTCTTTCCAAACTTGTCCAGGTCCTGCACTGCCTTTTGCACTTCCTGCAGGCGATTGCCAATCGTGTCTGGCTGGACCGAAACCTTGAAGACGGCATAGCCCACAGGGCTTTCGTGGAGGAGGTAATCGACGCTCATCGTGTGGGCAAGAAAGTAGCGCGCAGAATGGGCGAGCAGCGGGCGCAACAAGCTGAGTCGTGGATTCAAATGCGCTGGCGATTCCGCTGTCGGGATGTGATCGCGGTCGAGAAAGTTGAAGCTACGCGAAAAAGATTATTGCAGGGCGGCCCGAGCTTTGGTAGGGAATCTTGGCACCGCGGCCCGCTAAGAATTCTGAGGAGGGACGCGACAGGCAACGCGGAAACAGCATTTTGCCCCGCCATACTGCTTTTGCTTGATTACTGCGCCATTCGATACCCTTGGAAGTCTCGTTCAGAATGTCGGCCGCACAACTTCTCAATCCCAAGGCGGAATCAAGGGTTCGTTCGTGGGTTTGCCGCTGCGCTGAGTCTACCGCTAACAGTACATAGAGACGCGGGGAAGCTCTCCGTGTGAACATCTCAGCAGGAGAGGGCTTGCAGCAGGTACTGTAGGGCGATACAAAAGCAGAGGAAATTCTTCTTATAGCGAAAACAGGTGCTTGCCTCAAATCTGGGACCCCGCGGTACACTGAAGATGTAAGAAAAGGCCAACAATCAGCTGGGCAAGAGACTAATTCTGGGCAGGCTTGTGGATGGTGCTGGAGGCGTATGTTTGCCTTCACTGCTTATATGGCGTGTCCTGACAAGTTGTGCAGATCAAGCTCACAAAAGATGGCAGCGTCCTGTTGAAGGAAATGGTACGTACTTGGATGCCACCAGCAGACATTGCATAGACTAACACCCCGGCAGCAAATCCAAAACCCCACTGCCGTATGTTGAACTCCCTCCGTCTGCGACGCGCGACTCAAACATGCCCAGGTTATGATTGCACGAGCAGCAACCGCACAGGACGAGATCACAGGCGATGGCACAACCTCCGTGGTACTGTTGGTGGGAGAGCTGCTGAAGCAGGCTGATCGTTATATTTCCGAGGGCCTCCACCCCAGGGTGATTGCAGACGGTTACGACATTGCAAAGACCGAGTCGCTAAAGGTACAGCGAGCCTAGTGCTTGCATATACAAGGTTGGCTGACGGGCTGCAGTTTCTCGACGAATTCAAACTCACAAAGGAAGTCGATCGCGAACTCCTGCTCTCCGTCGCTCGAACATCGCTGTCTACCAAGATCAACAGCACGCTCGCGGAGCAACTGACGCCCGACATTGTCGACGCCGTTCTCGCCATCTACCAAGCGCCTGCGAAGCCCGATCTACACATGGTGGAGATTATGACTATGCAGCACCGCACGGCTGCCGATACACAGCTGATTCGAGGGCTCGCGCTAGACCATGGCGCAAGGCATCCAGACATGGCCAAGCGGGTAGAGAACGCGTACATCCTGACTCTGAACGTCAGCTTAGAATACGAAAAGTCCGAGATCAACTCTGGCTTCTACTACTCGAGCGCGGAACAGCGGGAGAAGCTCGTCGAGAGCGAACGTCGTTTTGTTGATGACAAGCTGAGGAAAATCGTCGAGCTCAAGAAGGAGGTTTGCGGCAACGACCCCAGCAAGGGCTTTGTGATAATAAACCAGAAGGGTATTGACCCCCTCAGTCTGGATGTACTGGTTAAGAACGGTATCTTTGCGCTGCGGAGAGCAAAGCGAAGGAACATGGAACGTCTGCAGCTCGTGTGCGGCGGTACAGCGCAGAACAGTGTCGACGACCTGACACCGGATGTCCTTGGCTGGGCAGGCTCGGTCTACGAACACCAGTTGGGCGAGGAGAAGTACACCTTCATTGTACGTTGGGCCGGCGTTTGATGATTTGATGCGTATACTGACAAGATGCAGGAGGACGTCAAGGAGCCAAAGTCGGTTACGCTACTGATCAAGGGACCAAACGCGCATACTATTGCTCAGATCAAAGACGCAGTTCGCGATGGCTTGAGGAGCGTGTACAACATGATTGTGGACGGAAGCGTTGTGCCAGGAGGAGGAGCCTTCCAAGTTGCATGTGCAGCTCATTTGGAGAGCGAGCAGTTCAAGAAGACGGTCAAGGGCAAGGCGAAGTGGGGTGTTTCGGCATTTGCTGACGCGCTGCTTGTCATTCCCAAGACGCTGGCAGCTAACTCTGGTCACGACATCCAAGACTCTTGTAAGTGGCATGGCCCTGCTTTTAGCAGTCTGTACTCACCAGACGATAGTGGCCGCACTGCAAGACGAGCATGCCGAAGGAAACGTTGTAGGCCTGAATCTCGCGACGGGAGAAGCCATGGATCCCAACCAAGAAGGCGTCTACGACTCGTTCCGCGTGCTGCGCAACAGCATAGCCTCTGCTACAGGCATCGCCTCCAACTTGTTGCTGTGCGATGAAATGCTCAAGGCACGACAAATGGTAAGAAGCGGAAACACGGAGTGTCCAAGTATGCTGTGCTAACCTCGTACTAGGGACGGGCACCAGGACCCGGCGACGACCAATAATTTGAATCGCATGGATCCCATACATGCAGTCCGTCGTGGCGTTGAGGTCCCAAACGCATAGTTGGCGCTCGCTCGTATGAGGTCAAGATATGTAGAAAGGCCTCGGTGTTCAAGGATAGACTGTGTTGCAAGTAGATAAAGAAAATGCGACCCGAAGCGGCTCCCCCGGCCAATGGCTTCCATGTGCAACAAGTGTGTGACGGCCTGGGTCATGTATGGCCGCGTGTGCAGACGGGTGCCATACATTTGGTGGATGCGGCTCTCGTTTATGGTCTGATGGATGACGTACTGGAACGTGGATACTGACACAGATATATGTACCACGCTGCCCTACACACCCGTAAGTACACGCACACGCACACGCATACTTGTACTGGCTGCACTGGCAGGCCGCGTTTCTGTAAGCAGCTAGAGGCATTTAAGCTTAAACAGTTAGTGCTCGGTTCGGACGGAGAGCCCACCATGTCCTCGAGATAAATCGAGCAGCACTAGCCCGGTACCGTTAGGGGCGTCTGTGCCTGTTCGGTGCTGGTGACTTTGGACGTGGTGGTTTGCGGGGATGTCGTGGCGCACCACATGGGGACCACGGCCAGCCCAGCGCCATTTGGTGCGAAATGCAGCACACACAGGGCCATCAGGTTATGCACGAACATGGCGTCGCCGCTGCCCATGCTGCGGGTATAGACGCGTCTCCCTCGGGTCGTCTCTGCCATTTGCTTTGCTCGCAAAAACAACCTGACGTCGCCGAGGCACATGTTCAGCGCGTGCCCGCGACCATTACTTACTTAGCTCTTCCCTGTCGCGCTCAACCAAAAGCCAAGCCTCCTGGACGCAGCACTCCAACTCTGTCAGATTCTCCCTCCCCGCTGCATGGACGCCCTGGCCCATCGTTACTGATTTCCATTTTCAAAGCGCAAATGGCCGCCGCCACCTAGCCACCTCGTCCATTCCTTATACAATACCCTCCTGACATAGCGCATCGCGACTCGAGCGCTCTCATTCTGCGCCCCTCCCGCAGCAATGTTCCGCTATCGACGATACCGCACCTTTCTGGTCTTTGCTGTCATTGTTGTACTAGCGTTATACAAGTTCGGCGATCCCACGGGAGCATTGAAGGAGACTGCATCCAGAGCCTCAGGCCTCAAAGGCCACGTCGACAACGCCTTACACGGCAATACCAACCCACGCCCTGCTGTGGCGTACGAGACAAAGAGCCTGAAACTAGACGTCCCCGTTGCTAACACAGAGCGACCGCTGCAAACCCCGCCTCCCGTGAAGAAGCCGGCTTCTTCACCAGCGCCAACTCCTGCTGCCACACGACACGCGCAACCCTCTCCCAAGCCCTCGATTCCTAAGCCGCTTCGACCACCACCGCTCAACCACCCCGCTGCCATCAGCGGCGATGACGAGGATACAACATCCGTGAAAAAAGTGATTCACTGGACGAAGCTCCCTGAACACTTTCCAGTGCCATCTGAATCACTCATCCACCTTCCCACGGCCCCGCCGAAGAAACTCCCCAAAATACAAGCCCAATTCAAGCCCGAGGACGCAACGGCCAAAGCGAGCAGGAAAGCCAAATTGGACAGGATCAGGGCTGTGGCTAAGAAGTCATGGGATGGATACAGAGAATATGCCTGGCTTCATGATGAGCTACGTCCCGTGTCTGGGACGTCCCGGGACCCCTTTGCAGGGTGGGGTGCGACTCTCGTGGATGCGCTCGACACGCTGTGGATCATGGGTCTCAAGGACGAGTTTGAAGAGGCGGTCAAGGCGGTGGACAAGATTGACTTCACCACCACCTCGCGTGCAGATATACCTTTGTTTGAGACGACCATTCGCTATCTAGGTGGCTTGCTGGCTGCTTACGATATTAGCGGCGCAAAGCACAAGAATCTGCTCGACAAGGCAGTGGAGCTTGCCGAAATCCTCATCAGTGCTTTCGATTCGCCCAACCGGATGCCGCAGATGTATTACTACTGGAGGGCTGATTTTGCTTCCCAGAAACACCGTGCCAGTCACCATGTGGTTTTGGCAGAGATTGGCTCGCTCTCCATGGAGTTTACCAGACTCGCGCAACTCACTGGGCAGGACAAGTATTACGATGCCATCGCGCGTATCACAGATAACCTTGAGGAATTCCAGAAGAAGACTACACTTCCAGGCATGTGGCCGGTTTATCTGGATGCCTCTGGGTGTGGCAGACACTATGTTGATTTGGCGCCTGAACAGGAGCCTCTTACAGCTCCAGAAGGCTACCTTGACGATGATCCTGAAGTCAACCCCCAGCCTGCTGCTCCTTCTCCTACCGAAGAGCTGTCTCCTGAAGGCCACAGATATCTCCCTCTCAAGATGCCCGATCCAATCATCTTCACTTCTCCTGACGAGGCAGACACCAAAGACACCAAAAAGAGCCCAAGTGCTCCGGAAACTGCCGGGAAACTATCAAGTAAAGGTTCCAGTAGCGACTCGTTGCTCAAACGACAGCTTGACATTGATGATTCGGATTCAGCCACTCTGCCAACACCGCCAGAGTGCATACCCCAAGGCTTCGAATCTAGTGGTGGTGGACGCGACGAGTATACGCTTGGTGGTATGTCCGATTCTACATACGAATATCTACCGAAGCAGTACTTGCTCCTCGGTGGCCAGGTCGAGAAGTATCGGACTATGTATGAGCAGTCGATGGACGTAGTGAAGAAGCACTTGCTCTTCCGGCCCATGCTTCCGAAGGAAGAAGACATCCTCTTCTCTGGAAAACTTAATGTCCCGTCGAATAGTGGCGACATCAAGACTGGTGATTTAACGGCAGAGAATGCCCATTTGACTTGCTTTGCTGGGGGCATGTTTGGCATGGGTGCAAAGCTATTCAACCGCCCCGAGGACCTGGAAGTTGCAAAGAAGCTGACAGAAGGCTGTGTCTGGAGTTATGGTATGACACCAACTGGCGTCATGCCCGAAGCATTTGAAGTGGTCGCATGCGAAGACCGGAACGACTGCCACTGGAATAAAACAGCTTACTGGGAGGAGATTGATCCGCGATACGAAATTCGCTTACAAGGCTATGAAAGCCAAATGGAAATCTACAAATCCCAAATGGCCTCAGCTTCTTCATGGTACAAGGCGGAACTGGCTGCCATGACTGCACCGCCGACGCCTCCTGTCTCACGCGTGGTCCCGGCAAAAGCTACGTCAAGTACGATCTATGCGGACACGCTTGACCGGCGTCAACTTGCTGAGCTTGTGGATGAGGACGAGATTGCACACATGCCCTCTTCATCAGCGTCTGCATCTCCGTCTCCACGCGTTCAGCAAAATCGAGAATCAGTCATGGGTGGCGAACCAGAAGAAGGCGAAGGGCCCCCAACCAAAGTCCAGACCGGGCTAGATATTGAAGAACTGGTACAGCAGCCGAGCACCACTCTACCAGAATTCCCTTATGTGTACTCGCCGCCCCCCGTTGCGAATCACAAGGAATACGTACAGAACCGGATCAAGGAAGAACGATTACCAGAGGGCGTGACAAGAATCGGGTCCAGGAGCTACATTCTCCGGTAAGCTTTCATCCATATGCGGGGCAACACTCTAATTGATCATCGCACTAACGAATTCGCAGACCAGAAGCAATTGAATCCGTATGGTACATGTACCGCATCACCGGTTCAGCTCACTGGCGCGAAGTGGGCTGGCGCATGTTTCTTGCTGTGGACCAGCAGACGAGCACTGTATATGGCAACTCTGCCATTGACGACGTGACTCAAAAATCACCTGAGCTCGCTGACGAGATGGAAAGCTTCTGGCTCGCCGAGACGCTCAAGTACTTTTACCTGCTGTTTTCGGATGAGAACGTCGTCAGTTTGGATGAGTGGGTGCTCAACACCGAGGCGCACCCTTTTAAACGCCCAACTTGAATATCCATGTAGCACTTGCATAGCAATCAACTTGCTTAGTTTCACGGGCATATGCGTGGCGTTTTCTTATTTCTATATTTTTTTTCACAGAAAAGTTTGCAGAGACGTTGGCTTTGGAATGTGTTGCAACCACATATGTATGTAATGACGCAGGGCGCATTTAACGTTTTTGCTTAACCAGCTACGCTATTCATTACAAGTGTGTATTCAGTCTCGTTGTACTCGCGTACGTGGCATCTCTCTCTCTTTCTCTCTCTCTTTCTCTCTCTCCCTCAATCTCCATCTTCCGTTGTCCTTTTTTTTTCCAAAAACAAACAAGTCAACAAACGAAGGATTAAAAATGAGAGTTCACACGGCAAAACATAATTTAGGTATGGACGGGGAAACAAATGTTACAAAAAGAGTCCTTACATTCTCATCCCCCCCCCCTTTAAAAAAAATAGGCCTAGCTATCCATCATCTCCAACTCCAACATCAAATCAGACTTCTCAATGGCAACACTTTGGCCACTCGTTTGCTCATTCGCTCAACCTGCTGCACAGCATACTCATCATCCTTATCCTTATTCACGCTGGAGTCCCGGGACGGGAATTCGACTCTAAAAGGCTTTGTTTTTTACTGCCTTGCCTTGCCTTGTCTTGTCTTGCCTTAGCCACCCCTCCACCCACATTGATTTATGTCATGCTAGACAAAGTAAAGTAGGGCGTTGGAAAGTACCTAGTTTTCTTTTTTCAGATTCTTACCTACTATCATTATGCTGGAGCTGCAACGGGGGGATACTTGCGTTCCGGAGTAGCTGTGGCGGGCGGGCGGGCTGGCTGGACGGCGTGTGTGTCTGATATTTCGATTGTGATTGGGATTGTGAGCGGTGGTGGTGGTGGTGCTGAGACATGGTGATTCATGTAGTAGTAGTAATACATACATCCTCCTTTGCCATCACGTAGAACAACAAGCGCTCGAAAGCCGAGATAGCTGGTTTGAGTGGAAAAACCTGGAATGTGTTTTGTGTGTGTTTTTATTTTCACTGGATTAGAATCTATTTTCACTGGATTAGAATCACACACTGACTGCGTCGCTGTTGGAGGAGACTATGATGGTTGGTTTTGCGGGCTAGGTTGAAGTGTGTGTGTGTGTTTGTGTGTGAGCTGCTATGAGTCGTTATCACTCTACCTTGGACATGAGCGTAGCTTGGAAGTATATTTAGCGTACAATTTAACATCAGCACTAACTAAAGCGGAAATCAAGGTAGCACCATGAGCTCGGCTCGACCGTCAGTCCAAAAATCGAAGTTCAGGACCGTTTTTCTTTTTGTTCAACGTGTCCAGTTTTCAGACGACTGGCAAGTATGAGCCATAGCCGAGGTTTTTGTGTCAATTTTAGGCAATCTCGCCCTCTTCATCTTCTGGGCTTTCGTGAAGATGAGAGAGAGAGTCATAACTGTTATGTTTCTTCCTACTCCAATTGTACCTACTCTGGAAAAGCGATACTACTTCAGAAACAAGAAAGAAAGAAGCATCTACTGCGTACTGTGCTAATCTGAATGGCTCGGCTTTGACAGAGCAAGATATAGCAATGGACTTGAAACCTGAACTTTTGACCAGTGTCATAAGCCCAGACCGCTCATGATGAAATGCAAGAATTGCTCAAAGTCAGTTCCTCGTAAAAGATCAATTGTCGCGAAATCTCAGTTGTGAATCTATGTCGAGACCGATCAAGAGCCTTGCTGTTTGACGGTTGGTTCACTTGCTTTTACGTCATAGTTGCGAATCTTGACATGTCAATGTGCACAATTCGATATTGTGTTTTTTTTCGGTTTCTATGTAAGATACAAATCCAGTTGTAGGTCTTTTAATGAAACCTCGTCATTTGCGGGGGAAAAAAATCTCTTTCAATTCTTCCTCGTTTTCTACTTCCAGATTCACGTCTGGGGCTGAGCCTGACGATGCTTTGATATTCTCGACAATAAACGTTTTTTTTTCTCTTGAGGCATGTTGACACTACGGAACCAGACCTTGAGAAGACTCACAGGCATGGGCTGTGTCTAATCGTGCTTTAGTCCTTTGCAGTATCGCAATTGTCGTTATATTTTTTTTATTATACCGTTTCCAGTTGCAATTTGACCCTCACAAGCTAACTGTTGCGTATCACAGATTCTCCCTTTTCAGCCATCTCATTGGCATGCTTATTCAAGATCCTTTGTACCTTAAACTGTGAGGTAGGAAAGCTCACGCCTTTTTGGATTTCGAAACTAATCATTTTGTAGCCAGTGGTGTAAAGAGCCTATTTTAATAATGCCCATGTTGAACACACGCACTTAGGTCCTCTCGTCTCCGTCGCTCGCTGCAGCTGTACAGCACGAGCACTCTACCTAAGATTTCGATCCACTCAAGATTTCGATCCACTCTTGGTCGAGATCCTCCCCCGCGTATGCCGAACGAACGCACAACAATATATTAGAAGACCCCAAAGCTAAAGAGGGAGAGCGTATATCTATGGTGAAAAGATCTCATGAACACGTCAATCTAGGGCTTGTGCAGATGCAAGTCCTCGGTGCGGCAGCTGCTTTGGTATTGAGGTTTGATATAGAGCCTGTGGCTAGTAGGAAGTAGCTGTGAATGTGACAGCATCAAGGAGGGAGGGGTTCAAGAATGTAAAGTGGGCTCCAACTGCCTAATTGGGCTAGTGAGAATAAAGTGGGTACATCTTACTTACTGACTATTAGTCCATGGACAATTTTGGTAAGCTCACACCTGCCAGCCTCCCAAATGCTTACTATAGTATAAAACGACCATGATTCTGGTATTCTACTCACATTTTACCAAAAGGTATCTTGTGACTAGCCCAATATGTCTCATTACTACCTAATCTATCCATACAGAGGTGGCTTTCAAAAGTTCTTGCTGACAGGGGCTGCTTGGTTACCACCAAAAAATACAGCCAAAGACTATAAATTATACTTTATTTGCAACTAAAAGGCTTTAAAATATAAGTTTAGAGAAAAGAATAGCTCCTGAAGTGTACACTTGTAGTAGTAGGCTAACTATATTAGGCTACATTACTGTACCTAGACGCTGAATTAATCGTGGAAAGGTTATGACGAGAATTCGGTCCGATGGATCCGCGCCTCAGCAAGAACTTTTGACAGTCACGTCCGTACTGGTTACCCCTTTACCCATTTGGCAGCCGAATGCGGGGGAATCGTATTCGAGCGTGCCGATGCGGGCACATGTCGGAACCGCAATATCGACCACAACCCAGAGCATCACGAGACATTAGCAGGTCCGTAGGATTCATGTGCATCGGGTTCAGTAGAATCGGATTCCAGTAGTGGTGCGGGGTACGGATGCAAGTGGGCACTCATGTTGTCCGCCCTGGGCCGAATATCTGGGGTATTTTAATCGCCCCGACGAGGCCACCAACAATCACAACTTCAGTTTCTGTACATCTGCCAATATGACGAAATCACTTCCTTTGAATGTAACTATTATTGGTGCTGGCATAGCTGGCCTTTTTGCTGCCCGTGTTCTGCGCGAAAAACACAATGTAACCATCTTGGAGAGAAGCAGTGGTGGCAACGAAGTTGGGGCCGCCGTTACACCTGGACCCAATGCAACTAAATGGCTCACCAAGTACGGCTGGGACCCGAGGAGGTGCGGCGCATTACCGCTCGTCAGGGTTCGAGTGTTGGATGAGCATGGAACAGTCATACGCACGCAGGATGTGACGGGTATGAAGGAGAATTTTAGAAGCGACTGGCTCGTGGTGCATCGGATAGATCTATGGAACGAGCTGCTGAGGCTTGCTACGGGTTCATCCGAGAAGCTTGGGTTACCTGGATCCCCAGCGAAGGTTATCTGGCGCGCCCAAGTCGTGGGTGTTGACGTCGAAAGCGGCGATGTCCGTCTTGCAGATGGTACCGTCATCGCATCGGATCTAGTCATTGGTATGTTGATTGCATCTTCTGATGGATATGCACTGTACTGACCAAAGTCAGGCGCGGACGGGATTAAATCAGTCGTGAGGCCATTTGTGCTTCCTGATGCTGCAAAGCCTCGTTCTACCGGTTCATCCATGTTCCGGTTCGTCATCCCGCGGGAGGTAGTAAACCAAGTGACGCCAGATGCGCCGCTAGGAAGGTCTGGAAGCAGGAGCGGGAGTGAACTGAATGTTCGGCTTGCGTTAGACGGAACGAAGCGCTCGGTGGTTAGTTATCCGTGTCGAAACCATGAGCTGTTGAATGTCGGTTGCATTGCGTCCAACGCGCTTATCAACTTGCCAACTGCCGACTCGTGGGTTGCACCTGGCACCAAGGAAGACTTGCTGAGGGTTTTTGGCGATTTCTATGTACGGCCTATTCTCGAGTAAGTTGGCACGATGCGCGCTGGAGAAAGCGGAAATGAAACTAACGTTGCGCGTTTGGGCAGGAAAGCGGAAAATATCAAGTTGTGGGAGCTGAGAGACAACGACGCCTTGCCAACATACATCAATGGTCGGACTGTGCTTATTGGAGACGCGGCTCACGCGATGTCGCCACACCAGGGCCAAGGGGCGTCGCAAGCAATCGAGGATGGTGAAGCCATGAGCTTGTTTGTTGACCAGGCTGTAAGCCGCGACATGGTGGGAAGCGTGCTGAAGGACTTTGACCGCGTGCGCCAGGTGCGCGCGTCCAAGATCCAGGCCATCACACGCAGCGTACACGAGAGCAAGTCTCCAGAGACCATGTGGAAAAACCAGCAGTACAACTTCACGTACGGAGGGATCAGAGAGTGGCTGGATAGGCTGCAAGCGGGCCAAGACATATAAGCATGCTTGGGGCATTCGAGTATTAGGTGTTGGCGATTCCATGGGCAAAACAGCCGCGCACGGACCATATACATTGTATGCCTATAGACGGATGAGTCTGGTAGCATGTGACCACGTCAGCTCCAAGTGGATCTCGCCTGTGTTAGCCCTCGTGCAAGCGGCGGTTGTTGTCAATCACTAGGCGCACGTCTCACAAATGCCGCATCGGGTTGCGAGTGATGCGAGGCGCATTTGGCTGTGTCTCTGCCTGTGTTTTGGAAAGGTTTCAAACCCGCAAAACGCAGGTCCCCATCCTTAGCGTGGCGCTAGCCGGATAGACCTCGCTTAGCGCTTACATAAGCCACACCTGCATGTCGATATTGCCCAGCGAACCAGAGCGCTGTTTTCCAAACCCACCCCGCGGGGTATCTCCAAGCCCCTATTCTGTGATCTACCTGATCTGGAACCTGAAGCTCCCAGTGCAGTTTAGCTGCAACGACGGATACATCGGGCGATTGCACATGGGGCTTTGCTGCGTGCACTTTCCTCATCTGGCCTCGTGCGGTCCGGCCTTAGCAGTATGTCTGTTTGGAGACGCCAGCCCTGGCACGTTGACATGAGCCGCTAAGCCCCAAACGGGCTAGCAGACGGCGTCGGAGACAACGCAGCCGAGCAGGCCCACAATTGTCTTGGGCCACAACCCCACCCCCTCATCAGAAAAAGTGATACACGTCCGTGCCCGTAGCGCTTAGGCCCACAACACCAAGGCAGCCCAGTAGCTCTAGCTCCCAGCTTCGCAGCTATGCATCTTATCCAAAACATAATATTTTTAAATAATTTTTTGTGCAAATGACTCCGCCACCTTTAGAGATAAGGTCTCTCTATTCGCATCTTAATACTCCAACGCGTTCTCAATTCTTTGAAGCTATTAATCGGCGCAGAGAGCGGAGCAAGCGCTCTATCTATCGCGAGTTCAATATCCCACACGCTACTGCCTATTGACTACTTCAACAGCGTAATGAATACGGAAAACTCGCTAACTGCCGCTCGAAACTTCGCGAATATAAAAAAGAAAATAGAGGCATTAGTTCTAGTAGGCTAGCTAAGGTCCTAGATGAAGCTCTACACCAAATGCTTTAGGCACCGCAGTCTATTCGAACGAGAAAACTAGAACACCAAATGGCTTACCACCAAATTCATGCATCCTGAGAGACTGTTCGACGGGCTCTCGCCACCAGAATGGACGCCCACATGCGCCGCGCAACCTCTCATTCGGAGATTCAAATCAAATAGGCTTTCCAGCGCTTTAACTATAGCTCTCTCTACTGTTCTAAGCCTGTGATGGGCTTCTGGGATGGTGTTTTATTTACTGATGAGGCTCACATGAGCTTCTCTGAGCTCCCCGACCCATGGATTTTGCGGAGAGATGGAGAGCGGCAGAAGCAGCAAAACGTCACGAAGCGTACCAAAAAAACCGCCAGCGTCGTCCACTTTGCAGCCTAGGTTAACTACTACCAGAAGTCAGAAAAGCTTATATTTTATAACGACGAGTATGACGACGTCGAGCCCGCGAAGCCTCCAAGGCCTCCCCCAAAACCAAAGCGCAGGAAAGGAGAATCTGATGATAACTTTGATGAGCGGTTGCGCGTTTAGGATGCCCAAAAACCTAAGAAGGTTTCTATACAGGTGCCAGGCAACCACATGAGAGCTATATACTACACCAAGAAGCTTCTACCCATCTACCGCAACGCCTACCACTCGCTACAGGCGAGGAGCGACTCCCTCCGCGCCCATATTCATCCAGAAAATCGGTATAACTAGTACCTGGTAGAGGATAACGATCCCAGCCACGGCACCCGGAATCAAGAGTCGTTACCGGCAGTATATAGAGATCGTCATGGCATCAAAACGCTGCGTCACCCAGCGAACTCCGCCGACCTCAACCCAATAGAAGCCACTTAGAACATAATCAAAGAGCGCGTCAAGCCATCTCTTGACAAAATCACCACCATAAAAGATCTCAAAGCTGCTCTACAACATGAGTGGAGCCAGGTACAACAGAGCAATATTCAAAAACGGATAAATAAGTTGCCAAAGAGGCTCGTACAGGTCAAGAACAAGCCACAAGCTCCAATCAAAACAGAAATATGGTAGGTGCAACACCATAAAAACCACCTATATAGCAATATATATACAATATTTCGGCTTCAAAAAGCTCCAAAACCCAGTGCGACAATACAATCTATCAACAGCCAGTCCAAAAGTGCTATACAGCTTCATGAGGCAGCTATGTGAGTTTCTATGAGGTTCCTACCTAAACAGGCATAGCGGGGTAATGCCGGGCACGGACGTGTATCACTTTTTCTGATGAGGGGGTGACCCCGCTTCTTGCTGCATTTAGCGGTAATGGCCGCTTAGCATTTCCTCTGGTGCTTCGCTCCCTCAACCTCCATCCACGGTCCCAGCCCGCCCTGCCCACAATGTCGCCAGGAAACAACACGCATGTCGACGAGGCGACAGCTGCCGCCCCGTTCCAATGTTCCTATTGTCGGCGCATCTTCTCCCGAATCGATCACCTCGGCCGTCACGTCCGGACGCGTACGCCATGGCTCCCTGTCGAGTTGCTGCACCAGACGCTGACGTGCTGTTAGACACCCAGGAAAAACCGTACCCGTGCCGCATTTGCGGCAAAAGCTTTGCGCGCGCGTGAGTTATCGTGGCTCGACATGTGCGCCCAACTAATCACTCAATACGTAGAGATCTTGTGAAGCGGCACGCTACCCAACACGTCCCCAAAGCGTCTCGGCCGAGGCTAGCTGATTCTCAATCACGCTCCGGCAGCCGGGTTGACCAGGCTTGCAGGGCTTGCGCTGCCTCCAAGCTCAAGTGCAGTGAGGCCAAGCCCTGCCAGCGCTGCATACGCAGAAACATCATGTGCGAATACGAATCGACATCCAATGCCACTCCAAAATATGCATCAGACCACCCCAATCCAAGTAATGTTCTCATCAACGGCCAACCCCTCAATTCGGCGACGGTCGAATTGGATGTTGCTCCCATGTCGCCAATGTCAGTCCCAGAGCCATCGCAGCCTCCTACCACGACGCACGAGTCCGCCGGACTGGCACACAACGTTTATGCCACCGACAGCGTTTCGACATTTTCACTAATGGATACGCCATCAGCAAACAGCGGACCTGCTGGCGATGGCCACGCCCACAGTGCTAGTCAAAGCAATATGCTGCCGTCATTCGAGCACAATTCGTCAACCAACCAGAGTGGTTTCTGGCCTGATGAAGTCACCCGAAATTACAGTGAGGTGCTCAAGGATCTACTTGGTTCGACAATGGCATCGCCGGTAGCCTTCGATGGTTTCAGTCAGACTGACAAAACCTTTTGGGATGCATTCATGGAAGGCGACGAGCAGTTCATAGACATTAATGACATCCCTCTGCTGGATTTACAACCTTGCACTATGGATTCCGCGGATGCGCGAGCGCCTAAGCCACGCGGAGATGAGCGTGATAGTTCATTTGATTGCGTGGCATCTGCAGCGGCAAGCCAGGCATTCAGATCCTCCGGCTGGGATTGGGGTCCAACTCGTGGAGACAGCACTTCGGCAGAAATAACAAACCTGATTCTCCCTTCAGCATGCAAACCTGATACAACCGGAGTTCATGCACAAAGGCATATGCCTCCCATCCTGGGATCTGAGGACCGCGACAGGCTACTATCACTGCTCTTGCACCACTGCATCAAGGAGCAATGGATCCGCATTGCGCCCAAGTTTCCCTCAGAATTGTTCTTGGATCAGATACTACGCCAGTTTTTTGCTTCACAGCGGCTCGAGACGGTTCCCTGGTTTCACATTCCTTCGTTCCGGCCAGATCTTCTGAGAGATGAGTTGTTGGCAGCTATAGTCGGCATAGGGGCAAGTTTTACCCGACATGAACCAGTTCAACGCTTCGGTTACGCAATGCCTGAAATTCTGCGAAACGCTGTCATCGAATGTGTAAGTGCTACCCTTCGTCACAAGACACAAATCCAGTGCCCCCCCGAACACTTGACTGACTCTCATGACAGTGGACTACGGACAACACTACGTCGAGAGACATACAGCTACTTCAAGCATGGCGCAAGTGACACAATCGCTCGGGAGTGTGGGCATGAACTAAAACTCCGCAGTAACCCAGGCTGAGCTCTCTAGCTGGAGCGGCAATAAGCGCCAAATGGAGATCGGAGAGAGTAATTATCAACAGGCCGTCACAGTGAGTTGATGATCCTCCCATTGGCTGGGTAGTAAGATCAAAGCTTACGCCTTGGGACCGCTTTCCAGATCATCAGACGCGCTCGCTGGCTGCGACGAGACCAGTATCGAGTTATCCGTCCAGAACCATCCGACGAAGGCGAGGCACTGGAACGCAAATGGAATGGCTGGGTTACCCAGGAAACCAGAAAAAGGTGAGCTCATTTGAACAAGACATGCTAGGTTACTGACCGTTACTGGATTCATCTACCGAGCCTTTGTCTTCGACGCTGAGTTGTCCATGAACAATCACGTGAATTCTCTAATGTCATATGCGGAGATGCGCATTCCTTTTCCAGATCCAGATCCATTGTGGTGGGCTGCGACAGCTGAGGACTGGAAGAGGGAATACAATAACCACGCTGAGCACATTCTGGATGCTCCTTTGACACTTGCAGACACGGTGCGGTTGGTACTCGGCGAATCCCCCACAGACCTAAACCTACAGTCCTGCCACTACACCCTCTACGGATTCTGGGGTTTAGTCTGGGAGCTTTTGCAATTATACGAGACAACACAATCGGATGGTTCAGGGACTATTGGAATTATGCCTAAGAACCCCAGTGTGATGATCTTGGTAGGTCGCGAGGCCCTCACGAAATCTTTGTATACACTCCGCGTCATGTTAGAATCATTGGCCACAGACCAATCTGCCTCGACCACGGGGCCCATGCTGGTGTTGGAGTATCTGAGCATGGTGTTGCTGGTGCCGCTTCAGGGACTCCAGTCCTTTGCAGGTCGAGACGGCGAACGGGAAGCCAGACGGGTTTATCCCGCACTGCAGGAGTGGGCACAAACTCGAGAAGCACGAGAATCCATTTGGCATGCCGGCCAAATTTATAAGATTGCCGATACCCTCTCGAATCGGAGTTTACGAGGCACATGCGTCTTACTCATATACCAGGCGAGCATCACCTTATGGGTCTATGGAGTCATGGCCAAGGCTCGTAGGCGTCGCGATCGCTCTGACACACTCGGAGGAAGGGCTGTGGACCATGGTAAACTAATCTGGTTGAATGGCGAAGACCTAAGTGTGGTTCGGAGGTTTATCGCGTCGTCAGAATGTGTACCTGCACTACATGCTGTCGAGAGTGAGCCTGGGACCTTTTCTAATTCAGCAGACCAAGAGCCAGTTTGTTTGGTGGAAGACGCCGACGTCACTATGCGCGTTGCAATCGAAATACTGAAAAAAGCACTAAGTCGGCGCGGCGAGGCACAGCATGCAATTGTTGGAAGCATCACTCGGTTGATGTTAGAATTAGCCAAGGTTGCAGAGACACTGTGAGCTCGAACTTCAGTCATGCATGAGTGCCAGCCACATTGCCGTGTCGAAATGCAATCTAAGTGAGATGTGCGATATCTTCTAGCTGCTATAGATGTTAATCTTGCTGGAAGCAACCGTCGGAATCAAAACAAAATTCAAAGTTGTGTCATGAAAATTGTCTTTTTTTTTTGAAAACGTTCGAAGCGATTTTGACAGAAACAGTCACCAAACACCCCCCCTACAGACTTAGTCTCTGATAACCCTTCCACGCAGCATAGCCAACGCCAAATGTCGACAGGCTTATGAGCGGCAAGACGTAAACCAGAGCGCCAAGCCAAATTCCTTGTTCGAAGAAGCCCCATGCTCCTGCGACGGGCTGGCCGGTGGGCTTCAACGGCCTTTGTGCAATCTGGTCGATGTGGTCGGCTTCTTGGAAGACGGTCGAAACCATATGCGGCTTCGGAGGCGGCATGACTTGTGGACTCGGCATCTCGAACATGGCGCGCGTATAGCGCCACTTCAGATCGGTGGGGTAGCCAAGGGCAACTGTTGGGCCGACTGAAGATGGAAATTAGCACAAGGGCTCGTTCAATTTCCTTTGACTGGGGGGGGGCAAATGCCAAGACTTACCTGTTAGTTGGGACGGAATGTGGTTGATGTAGTTGACTTGGCTATTGATGGAGTGCGAGAAGTACTTTGCCTCGCGCGGGCCGGTGAACAGGTAGAATGCGGCGATGGGAGTTGGTTTTTCTGCTCCTGGGTTCAGCACCTCGATGGCATCGTCCAGACTGGTGTATTTGCACACGACAATGCTGGGGAAGGATCGTTTGCTGTTCATGAGCGTGCTTTTCCTGTACGGTCCAAACGTGTTAGCTTTATGTTTTTTTCTCCCCCCAGCTTAGGGATGTGCGCTTGCTCACCTGTCGACTACCTGTGCAATGCCGCCATCCGGAGTACCAATGACGGTTGCGGCCCTGCCATTTGCGATCTCGGCTTGAAGGAGATTCTTGTCTGTCGTCTTGGTGGAAGATCTGCCCTTGCCCGACTGCAAGGCGGCGAAGGAAAAGCCGGTTGTCTTTGTAGCGTTTATAAGTTCTTGGTTCAAGGCTGCTGTAAGCTTGTCGAATACGAATTCGTTGACCATGACCAAGTCGACGGCATAGCGACTTGCACCCTTGAACACCATGGATGAAGCGACAATCTCCTTGGCAGCTAGTGCCACATTACCAGTGCGGTCAACCAAAGCGACATTTCGATGGAGGGGCGACGTCAGAACCCGCTGGGCAGATAGCGAATCCACGGTTCCGGTCTGGTCAACGACAACACACTGGGCGAGATACTCGGCGGGTGCTCTTGAAGAGACGAATCCGAAAGCGTCTTTGTCGAGGGCATCCGTCAAGACCTGTTTCAACAGTGCAGGCGTCTTCCGCAACGTGTTTTCTAGCTAAACAAGCCAAAAACGGACCGTATGAGTAATGCGAGAGCAAAATAATAATTGACAGGATTACGGCTTACCTCTACAACCACGCAAGCGCCGGCTTCAAGAGCGGCAGACAAAGCGGAGACGACACTATAAAACGTGGTGAAGCGGTCGGCGATGATATATGCGATTCCCAATGGCACGCGTCTGTCCTCGTTGCTCTTGTTCTTTGCGAGAGAATACTCCTTCTCCAGGTCCGTCTTGAAATCCAGCGCGTCGTAGTGATTGCGGACTTCGATCAGGGCACTTGCAATGATGATCTTGGCCTCTTTGTCAGAGTACCCGTCGTCCTCTTTGATGGCCTGCAGAAATGCTTCTCGGTGGGCGACAAGGGCTTGGTGGAGTGCTAGGAACTGTTTTTGGCGGATGCGCAGTATGCGCAGTCGCCCGTCGATGGTGGCTCCCTCGACGCGGGCTAGCACAGCAGCCTGTTGAGTCGATGACATTGCGGATGGGATTGCTGGTGTGTGTGTCTTCAATCGGTGAGCAGTGGGTGTGGGCTGTATCTATCTGCTTTGGTTGTTGGAGTTGCAAGAATGAACAGGTCACAAGTGAGCATGCAAGTGAGAAATAGTGCCCGTCGTGCAATGATGATATCTATCAGACGGGCCACATGCAGGTATATTTGGTGAGCTTGATCACAGCCCCCACCATGGCTCGCTATTGCCAGGGGTAGTTTTACTGGAACTAGGGTGTATCCGCAAGCGGGTTGAGGAGGGCGGGTACGGCAGGCGACGGGTGGGGAGGGCGATGTCTTCGGTCGTGTCGGGACCGCATCCTTCTCCTCATCCTGCTCCGAGACCCATCACATCGGCAGCAACGCGCGGTCCAGCATCAGGTAAGCTGATTGTAGCAGTACAGGCACGCCGCCGGCTCATCCCATTACTTTGTGTCCCCTCCGCACGAGACGTAAATCCACTTTAACCTGTCCGCTAGCTACACCATTCCTCTTTCCTGCCAAGCACCAGCTACAGACACAACCGCCATCCGTATCACGAGAGAGCTCCATATACACGCCTTTGCCTTTACCATGTCGTGGATTGTAACCGAAGTCCGCCAGTCGCTGCGCACTAACGTCGCCCCGGACGATGATGTCCCTCGAACGGCCATCACTTTGCATGGCGATGATGAAGAATCATTCCTTCCAGAGAACCTAGGAGTCACTGGTCGCGAGCCCAACACAAATCCACCAAACTGGCCCGCAGACCACCGCCGAGTCCCAGCACATCGCTTCCCTATCTTAAACCCCAACTGGACAGCCATCGCTGGGCCGCTGCCGATGCGCATCTTGCTGTGGGACATGTTTGTGGGCTGCCAGCTTCTTCAGGTACGTCGCCTTGCAACCATTTCTACAACTGCTTTGCTAACTGCTGTGTGCAGTGGGGCTACTCTTTTCTGCGAATGACAGGCTTGCATGACCGCGGCTTGTGCATGTATAAGGTTGCGAATGAGTGGTGAGGAGGGGGTTACTCGCATCACGGCATGCAACGCAGCAATCGTTTCACGCCCTGCATTGTTCGTGGACAAGTTGATTTTATAGCCAAAATTCCACATTTCTCAGATCGTCTTGTTCAATAATCATCGTTCATATAAAAGAGCATTCTATTCGGTTCCATGATGCCTGTGTCTAAATCTGCTTTGCCCTCAAATGGTAGTCGTAGCCCTTGAGCAGCACGTACAATGTCTCCAGTCTAGGCACACTGACTTGGTGTTTTCTTGCGATCCTCACAACCTCTCCTATAACAGCCTCGACCTCTACAGGCCGGTCATTTTCGATGTCTGCCAGCATGCTCGGCTGCACACCCGGCCACTGCCGAGTCTTACTTCGCTGTATCTGTGCCTGTACGGCATCTTCTCGGATGACATCGCCATAGCCAAGTGTGCTAGCAACTGCCACCACCTCGCGCATTGACTCTGTAATAAACCCCTGCGCTATGTCGGGAGTGGCGTGCAGAAACTGCAGATCGCGACACCGGGATAGGGCGCAAACCGGGTTCCATGTCGTGTTGCCAATCAGCTTCTTCCATCGCTCGACCTGGATATCGTCGCAAACGGTTGCATTTGCACCCGCGGCTACAATGAGCTGTGAAAAGGCTTCAGTGCTGCTCTTATCGGCTGGAGTAGTGAGCTCGGTCGGGTACGGGCCTAGAAATAGGGTTTGCGTTTCCGAGTGCGACACCACGCAGGGCTCGACTTGGGAAGTCGGCATGTATGTAACACCAGAAATCACCGTGTTGCGTGGAAATGCCTGGTGGTAAATCGCTTCAACACCCAGCCCGTTTTGAATAACCACAATGCTCGTGTGCGATTCGCGAACAGCAGGCTTGATCATTTCGGCCGGGGAGACGCCAGTGTCGACTGCTTTGACGCATACGACGATAAAGTCAAAGGGCACTGAGGATGCCTGATTGTCTACGGCTTCTTGCACAGACTTGGCCACCCTCGGTTTGAAAGTTTGGTTTCCGAATAGAGTCGAGTGAACGGTGAAGCCACGTGAAAGCGCCGGTTCATAGTTTGAGCGGCACACGCATGCTATGTCAGCCCCTGCTCTTGATAGAAGCATGGCGTACATGGTGCCAACGCTTCCACTACCAAACACCAAAATTCGCGACATTGGTGCACGTCTGGATAGTTTCGAGCTGCAGAGGGGTATGAGTGATGAGGTTGAAGAAAGAAAGGCTTGGGACAATTGCTTGCACATGGTTATCAGGGCGAAGTCCTTTGTACCATTATAACTTTGGCTCGGGTATGTACGGGACCACAGACCGCATAGTCACCCTCTGCGGTCCGATCCGTTATCGGAAGCCGGTGCGTGATCACCGAGCAAGATGCAGAGATTACAGGAGAATGTAGGAAGGAAGAATCTCGAGTTCCAAGATTTATGCAGCAACAGTGTAGGAACTGAGTCATGAGCAAGCGTTTGATTGCGATTTTGTTTAAAAAAAATCATGGAAAACTCTAATGTGCAGTAGCTGTGCTGTCTCGTCATACATAACAGACACTCTAATCGCTAATGTCTTTGATTTCCCACGATTTGGGCCATTCCCCAAGCGTAAACTGACACTCGCATTGCGTCCGCTGTGGTTGAAATCGTTAGCTAAATGCAAGTAGGAAACCAAATCCAAAGAAAGGGGGGATCTTACCAGCTCCCAAGCTTCCGCACCAAGCGATGCTTTTGTGCCGCGATCTTCAGCATCGCCAATAGCACCAGCAACAAAACAAGCAGAGACGTAATGGTCGTCAGTGCCGTGAGCCTCCCGATAGTATGGGTTCTTCATCAATCGCGCAAGGCCGCGTCGTAGTTCGGGGCCTCCACCTATTTTGCAAATGACGTCTTCGAGCGCCTGTCTGAATTCCATGCTGTCTGGGTCCGGAGGGACTTCCATGGCAAAGTTGTCCTTGTAGTCGAGCGTGTAGCTCCACTGTGCCCGGTAGAGATTGTGCGTTCCGCCTCCAGAGCCAATAAACAGGTATTTCTCTTCACGCAGCGATCGCAATGTCGAGCCGATCCTCGTGTGGAAGAAAGGGTCGAAATACGAGTTTTGGGAAATAATGGTCGTGGGAGGACATTTGTCGCCGAACATGCCAATCAGGACTGGGAACGTGTCGATCATCCAGGTAAAGTTTGGGTCTTCGACTGCCTCAATGCCCGCAGCGTTGAGCATTTTGATCACGCGCTTCGATGTCGCAATGTCCGGGTTAGGCCTCCAGTCCTGCCAATGCTTGGGGTGGACGTTGGCGAGTGACATGAATGTTCGGTTGGGACTCGTAGCGACCTTGACAAATTCCTTCTCGCCCTTTGCGTTCCAATGCGCACCCTTGAGAAGGATTAATTTAAAATATCAACTTTTCTCGGTCTTTTTGTACGCACCATGATGATAACGCCCTTGACCCCATGGCGCAAAGCGTCCCTTCCAATTTTCCTCCAGTAATCACGGATTCTCGAATCCTCGCCCAAAACCATGGTCGTGCCATGGGACAGAAAGTGCACGGGGGCCAACTCTTTTCCTGGCGTACATGTCAGAATTCACATCTTGGGACAATCGTTGGACTTTTTGGTTTACTTACCTGTCATACTGTTCGTTTGGTGTAGAAATATAATGGATCAGTACTGAAGGTGTATATGTAGGTTTGTTTTCCAAGCAGATGTTACTTATGGCGAGCTCTTATGGAAGTGAAGAACACAACGACTTTATCAAAGCTACTAATCCAGCCACAGCGTACCCTTGTAAACTCTCTAGTTCATCGGTACAGGGATATCCGCGTTCCTCCCACAGCTCCACACAGTGGGGCTCTGGGGTGCGGACCCGATATGGACCCGACGTGGACCGCACCAGCCGAAATGCGCGACGTCGGACCAGGATGACGATAGACACTCACATGCCGCCTCTCCCGAAGGACTATGCGCGTCGCGCTGTCTGTCAGCACATCAAATACCTGGTAGCCGGGTCAAGAACTTGAGGTGCATTATCCAAGCCCAACAGAAACTCACTGCATCGCACCACCAGCACACATCATGCCCAACCAAATCCAAGACATAACCACAACCGAAGAAGGCTCCTTCGATTACATCTTCGAAAAAAATGTCACATTCAAGCCCAAGACAGTCGAGGGTCTCGTGAGATGCAATGTCTACAGACCCAAGAACGTTGAACGAGCACCTGTAATCATGACTTATGGACCATATGGCAAGGACACACATACCAGCGAGTAGGTACTCCTAAAAGTGAACATTGCATTCGTGGCAAGACATTAACTGACAGCGTCGTCAAGATTTCTGCCTCATGCCTGGCATGATATCAATCCTCAACAGCAGTCTGAACATTCCGCTTTCGAGGTACCAGATCCCAAATTCTGGACTGCACAGGGCTATGCGATTGTGCGAGCAGATGAGGTAGGCATTGGCCAGTCGCCGGGCTTCCTCGACACTATGTCAGCCTCCACTTCGGATGTGTTCGCCGAGCTCATCGAATGGGCGGCTGATCAGCCATGGTCCAATGGCAAGGTGGGGTTACTGGGTATCAGTTACTTTGCCGGGAGCCAATGGAGAGTAGCAGCCCGTCGTCCGCGTGGTCTTGCATGTATCATTCCGTACGAAGGCATGGCTGATTATTATCGCGACCGTTGCCGCCACGGCGGCATTCTGCTGCTACCTTTTCTGCAATTCTGGATGGGTAGGCAGGTCGGAGCAAACCAGTACGGACGTCCTGGTCGTTCAACAGATGGCCGGGGCCCCAATACCATCGAAGGTGACCTCAGTGAAGAAGAATTGAAGCAAAATAGAGCGGACCAGGATGAGGACAATCTCAAGGCCTTCTTCAGAGACGATGAGTACTACGCTTCCCGTGACTACAATCTCGAGGACATCGAGGCCCCGCTTCTCTCATTTGGTAACTGGAGCAATTTGGTCATCCATCTTCGAGGCAATATTGAGGGCTACATGCTGGCAGGTTCGCGCCACAAATTCCTCCGCCTAGGCAGTGGCCGCCACGACCTACCATTCTACTCGGAGGCTGAGGTCGAAGTGCAAAAAAGCTTTCTTGACGCATTCCTCAAGGATGACGACTATGCCGGTTGGACAACGGGTAAACAGCCCAAGGTCACCTATCAAGCACGCAAAGGGCCATTCGATTACAAGAGTATCGAGTCCGCCTCAGGCGCCATCTACTCTTGGAAACATGCTCCAGAGTGGCCTCTGCCCAACACCCAGTATACGAAATACTACTTGACGCCCGATCTCAAGTGGACTACTGAAAAATTCAAGACTGATGTGCATACTAGGCTGTCATATCCAGCCTTGACCACATTGGCTAACCCGTTTTACCATCGCTTCACGACAGCGCCATTCGAGAAAGAGACGGAGATCACCGGGCACATAGTTGCCCATGTCAATCTCTCCGTGACGCGCCTTCCTGGCGGAAAAACGCCAAAAGACATTGATGTATTCTTCCTCGTAAGGCAATGGGATGCAAATGGTGTTGAACGAACCTTCACTGGCACAATCGGCGACGCTGCAGCCGTAACAAGAGGGTGCCAGCGAGTCAGCCTGCGTAAGGTGAACAAGGAACATCCTCATCACCGCGAGTACCGGCCCCACCGTGACTACTTCTCCACGGACGTTTTGCCCGTGATTCCTGGAGAAATCTACCCCGTTGACGTTGAGATTTGGCCTACCAATGTGGTGCTCTTGCCGGGAGAGACGCTCTCGATTGAGATCAGCGGAGGCGATACACCTGGCATTGGGCCATTTGTACACGAGGGCGGCGAACGGTGAGTATTTCTTACGCTGCTCTTATCCCAGGTCATCTTGCTGATAATTTGAACAGGAATGAGGAACGCTTGGCTGGCACAAACCATCTGCATTGGGGTCCCGCTTACAGCAATTACATAACGCTTCCTATTATTCCTAATTAGGGCAAGGCAAGGCGCTTTGCAAAGGGCGATCCTTTTGAAGCGCCTGAGATGCGCAGGGGTACAAAGGTCGGGATTTGCAATGCATGACGTCGGAAAAGCTTGATTGTAGTTGGTTGCAACATGGATGAATGATTTCTGTTGGTTTTCGCTAAGTACTCAAGTGCGTGTGACGCTTGTTAAGACCAACAAGCGAGAATTTCGAAAATCAGGACTGCTGTCAAGTGTGGTTTATCAGAGCTATTGCCTGGAACTGGTACGTAGGGGAGTTTTCATGACCAATCAGTGTTCACAGAATACCAGTATCATGATGCTACCAACGATGACTAATGTGCTTGATTGACAAGCGTTCTATTTCAAATAAATATTTTGCTCCAAGTACTCATCTATCTACTGATCCACAACAAAACCATCGTAGTGAGGTCTCATATGCATATTTTGCTTGTATGGCGGCCGGATCTCCTTTGCATTGTCGAGAACATTGATACCGATTCCCGGGCGTGTTGGAATGTCGACAAAGCCCTTCTCGACCTTTGGAACAAAGTCCACCACATTGCTTCCTAGATGCTCCAGAGACGATGTGAATACGCCGCTCTCGAAACCAGTGGCATATTCCTGAATCGCAAAGTTGGGTATGCAGGCGGCGATTTGGAGGCAGGCGGCTAGGCCGATGGGTGAAAGTGGGTTGTGCGGTACGACTTGGACGTTGTGGGCCTCGGCCATGGCAGCAACTTTCTTCGCCCCCGTAATGCCTCCACAAAGAGCCACATCAACACGAACGTACTCGAGCGCGTTGCGCGAAAGTAGAGCTTGGAACTCGTAGATGGTGCTGAATCTCTCTCCCGTGGCGATGGGCACAGCAATACGGTCTGCGACACGGGCCATGGCATCTGCGCTCTCCGGACGGATGGGATCCTCGACAAACATCGGGTTGTAGTCTTTGATCATGTTGGTGAAGGTGACGGCTTCAGCGGGAGTCAGCCGGCGGTGGAGTTCGACCAAAAGGTCGACTTGGTCACCAACAACCTCTCGCATTCTTCGCACGTTGTCGGCCGCGTCCTGCATCTTCTTGACATGGGGCTTGAAGTAGACTTGGTCGTGGCCTTCATCCAGGAATGGGTTGATGTGTCCAAATGCAGTATAACCCAGCTCCTTCTTCCTCTTGCACTCTTCGAGGACGGCTTCTATAGTCTTCTCGTAGATGTGTCCATACACCCTCGCCTTCTGCCGACATGCTCCTCCCAGGAGCTGCCAAACAGGGACGCCGAGAGCCTTGCCCTTGATATCCCACAAGGCGATGTCTATGCCTGAAATAGCGGCATTGATGGCCATTCCCTGGAAATAACTGAAACGGTGCATGACGTTCCAGTGGTGCTCAATGTCGAAAGCCGGCTTGTTTACCAGGTATTCGGCAAACCGACTAACTGCCGTCGCGCCAGCTTCAATGTGACCCCATACTCCCGATTCTCCCCAGCCAACAATGCCGTCTTCTGTTTCGATGCGTACAAATAAGAATTGGCCGACATGGAGCGGAGCCACAGATTTAATAATAGGTGCTGGCGCCATTGTTCCTGGATTGGTAGAAAGACACACGGGGATGAGGGTCGAGAGAAGATGGAAGAGTCCCTTGTAAATTATGTAGTCGACTAGGTCTCAATCATCGATTACTGTCACATAAAGTTCATTCCGCAATCGGCGTCATGTGTGAATGCGCGTCGCCAGTAAGCACCATGCAACCGAGCGGGCGTTTCGTGCTACCGACGCCCTCGCCTCAGCCGAAGGCGTCCCCACGTTCGGCCCAAGTGTGTTGCATCTCCCCAACTATGCCGATGCAATAACAGAAGGCTGCCTCAACCCTGCATCAATGGGTCAACGCAAGTAACTCGTATCTGTCTATACGCAAGTAAGCCTACTTAACGCGAACTATCTCCGAGACGGCCACTTTTCCTTGGCACAATCAATTCATGCTGCACCGCTTTTAATTGTGTGGCTATTGACAAATGGAGAATACTTAAGTATGTCTTGCTTGCAAATGGTTTAAAGGATGTTTCTATAACAATGATGCGCGTTCGCACATTGTCCCTAGTCATGTTACAGTTCCCTTAGCGATGTATGGCCGGTTGAGCTCATTCTTGATCATAAGTACCACAGGCTTTCCCTGACGACCAGGGTGTATCCTATAGTAAAGATGCCAGTATGGCACTGCCACAAAACCGCGCACTCAACCGATCACATGAGATTGCTCGGATCCCGGAACAACCGGCTTCTGAGTGCCGATGTCTTAGTGTGTAAGCCGTAGTCCTATGATTGTAAGTCAATCCATGACTATCTCCTGATTCGTTCCTGGGGTCTTCTTCCCAACCACAGGTACTTATTTCTACTTTGGGACAATCTCACATCGCCTGCGTGCTACCTGGGACTCGCCTTTTTTGCGTCGCTCTCACCACTGTAAACATAAAATCAAAGTGTTGTGTAAGACTTTAAAAAGGCCATCACTAGATTAGAGAAAACTACAAAATTTACTTCGTCTGTAATGTGATTAAGCCGTATACACAAAGTTATTTTGTAATTAGACTATTCCATTGACTGAATTTCTACTCTGCCATGTTTGCATACAATTATAGTTTTTGAATTGAAAGAAGTTGGGTTAGGGTTAGAGACCCTGGGAAATCTTTAGGACGGATAGCAGGATCTTTTGGAACCGACCTCCGCAGAAGTGGAACGTCTTATGCCCGGAATACTTGTAGTACTCGTCCGCACTGATCGTAGCCTGTTCGCTTTGGCTTTTTATCATTGGCAAGCTGTATTCAAGCAAATGTACACACCTAGCTGTGCTTTCACTCTACTTCTCAATAGGTAAGGTTGATGATCATCCATCATACGTCCAGTATACATCGCTTATAATGGAGGCTAGCACGGACTGTCATATCTCCCGTTCCTAGTAGCATCTCAGCCAATCACTAATCCCAGCATTGCTTTCTAGCATCAAATTTTATGTGAACATGGCATACGGTTCCTTTTCAATCCGTATGCAAAGGCAGGGTGAGGGCCCAAAAGGTATGCCTTTCTCTGGGGATGCAAGCCCAATCTTCCAATGAGTACCTTGCAAAAGATTCTAAGTAGTCATTGATCTCCTGTCTATTGCCCTCGTGAATATCATAGCTTGCGATGTTTGGAAATATATATAAGTGATTGCGATATCTCCTTCCAGCCCATTCAACCTAACCACCCATCTCCTCTTCACTCTCCCAGTAGCATATGTCGCTATAGTTTATGTTATCATGAATCTCAAGACTGTGTTACAGCTTTTGCTACCTGTGACAGTTATGACGGCTGCGACGGCTCCGTTCTATCGCACATCCACATCGACCACACCACTCAAGCAGGAACCCTTCAGTGCAGGTGTTCACAAACCTATGTAGATACTCTAGTAGAATTGACTTGTTCAGAACTTTGGTCCTGTTTACAACCTTACGACTGCAATGAAGATAGGCTATGGCACGCCTGACATGGGATTCTGGTATTCCAATTATCTGGCTGGAGACGATGGACACAATTACTTTCTTATCAGTCGCATAAGTGGACCAAGATCATCCGGAGCATTCGATGTCTATTTGTCCCTTTGGGCATGACGACTGGATACTATTATGATGCCAACAACCAGCGTCAGGGAACATACTCGAACACTACATACGACATCGACGTCGGTACTTTGAGGCACTGGTCATCTTCTGCCGATCTATTCTCTGTAAAGCACGCACAGGGTCAGTTGCCTAATGCAAGCTGGAATCTGACGTACAAGCCAGTAGGTCCGAATCTGTTCCATGGCGGCTTCGGTATCTGGTTCTGGGCTACCGACCTCACGGTAGAAATCGGATCTCCTCAAATGTGGGTCACGGGCACACTCACAGTTAATGGCACTGAGGTTGGAGTTATCCCAGAGAAGTCGCTTGCGTAGTTTGATCGACAGTGGGGAACAGGTGCCAGTCCAGGGTGGTTTTGGTTCAATTTTTACCTTGATAACGGCTGGGTCATTGCTTCTTGGATAACTCGCTCCCCTGATCCTAAGACATCGGTTCAAGCCTTCGCCACACTCGTGCGCCCCGATGGACACCAAGAAGTACATGTGGTGGATGACCCTGTTCCATCAACGACGAACACGTGGATATCACCAGTTACGAACATCACATACCATAACGAATTTCGCCTGGGCATTTCTTCTTTAGACCTAAAACTCGATATCAAGCGTCCGATTAGGGGAGCTGGAGAGATGTCGTTCTTTGCAAAGCCTTCGACTACCACTACTCTCTTCGAGGTGCCCATCGAATTTACAGGGACATTGAATGGAAAATCTGTCTCTGGATTTGGACTATCTGAGCAGTGGAATCCAGGCGTTCAAGCTGGATGAGGAAGAAAATAATTAGCAGGAGATCTTAGTGTTATGCACTATGATGTTACTTACGAAATCAATTGCGTCAGCACGTCAAAATCGTCCATAAAACAAATAAAACAATGAAATGACAGAAACAAAAGGGGTGCTTGAAAGGACTAGCTTACCCTACACCACTACGCTATAGTATCACAGCCCTGTCTTACTATATTACCCGAACCTTACCCATCTATTAATTCAGGTATACGTTTGCTGTTCTGTAACATCGCTTCGCAACTTTATTTTACGGCATATATTGAAAGACTAGGGGCTGCGCACACACACAACCAATTGCTGCACAAAGACCTGGAAGGTTAGAGTTTTGTTTTGCCTAATGTTGAGCTGTATCACGCTGCCGAGCCTCCGTGAAACAGCAGAATCTCCGCCTTGCTCAACGGCCCGACCAGGACGGCATAGAGACATGAACGACACAATTTGTGCGTACATGCTGCATGCGGACCGAATGCAAAGCTTATACAAATTGCATTCTAGCTGCAATAGGCTTAACCCGTTTCAATTACTTCAACATAGGTTCAAAGGGGTATGACTATATAGTAAGCATAGACATTGCCGAGTAGAAAATCCACCAATCCTTCGTTTCTTCACTCGTGCGGGTCGCTTCTTGTGCATCTGCACGCCTATCCGTTGTCTACAAAAACACCGGCCATCTATAATTGTTATTCTCTGGGCAATGCTCACTGTAAGAATGAGACAATTTCACCAGTTGCTCGCCGCTGGAGCGAGCTTTCTTTCAATCGCTCATGCTGTCGACACTCTTGTCGATGTTGGCTACGCAAAGTACCAGGGAGCTATCGTTGATTCGAAGCTGGGAGTGTCTGCATGGAAGGGTATCCAGTATGCGGCGCCCCCTGTTGGCCCTCTACGTTTTGCAGCGCCGCGGGATCCCATCGTTTCTGGACTGATTAACGCGACAACAAACGGTGCAACTTGCCCGCCCAACCGCCCTGACGATTGGACCGTGGCTCAGCCCAACAAACGCTTCCACATCGCCGAAGACTGTCTCTATCTGAGCGTGTATGCGCCTTCCGGAGCCAAGGTCGACTCCAAACTACCAGTGGTGGTTTTCTTCCAGGGAGGCGGCTTCACATCGCAGTCTAGTGCCAACTGGGACCCTACCGAAATTGTGGCCGATGGTCAGGTCGTATTTGTTCAGTTCAGCTACCGTGTGGGCCTGTATGGATTCCTTAACAGCAAAGAAGTCAAAGCAGGAGGTGGCGACGTCAACGCGGGCATACGCGACCAAATCAAGGTGTTGGAATGGGTCCAAAAGCACATCACCCGATTTGGTGGCAATCCAGATCACGTTGTCCTTGATGGCGTCAGTGCTGGTGGAACTTCTGTTGCACTCATGCTGGCAGCAAACACCGGCAAGAAGCTGTTCGTAGGTGGCATCATGGAGTCGGGCGGCTGGGTCACAATGCGCACTCCCGATTTGGGTGAGGAGCAGTACCAATGTCTGCTCAAAGACAAGGGCTGCGCCAACGCCACCGATGGCCTCTCTTGCCTACGCGCGCTGAACGAGTCAGCCATCCGCACTACCAACTGCTGGTTCAACCCTAACATCGACGGCGATCTGTTCACCGACTCGCTCGTGAACCTCTTTGACCAAGGCAAGTTCGCCAAGGTACCGACAATCATGGGCGCCTGCGCACAAGAAGGTACCAAGAACGCGCCAGACACTCTCAACACTACAGCCGACTCGCTCAAATGGCTATCCAACCAGGACCCGAGTGTGGACAATTCGTCCCTTTCTATTCTTGACGATCTCTACATCAAGGTGAAGAAGCCCATATTCCCAGGCAAAGGACGCTACTGGCGCAACACTGCCGACGCCATCGCAGATATCGGAACCATCTGCCCAACACGCAATATCCAAAACGCCATAGCCGCCAAAAAGGTACCCACATACAGCTACAACTATGATGTCCTGGACCCGACTGATGAGGCAAATGGTCTCGGCGCCTGGCACACCGTCAATGCGTACTCTTTCTGGGGCGTGAAGCGCACCGACGGCCAGGACCCACCCAGCTACTTTAACACAAATGCACCCATCATCCCCCAGGTACGCAGCTACTGGACCAGCTTTATTCGCAACTTGGACCCCAATACGGACCGCGTCAAGGGCGCTGCTGAGTGGAAGCCGTACACTGGTTTGGACGCACGTGAGAGGCTCCTGATCCAGACCAACAACACCAAAATGGAGCGCATGAGTCCTGCACAGTCTCTGCGCTGCGATGTCGTCAGACCCATGAGCAATGACCTCGGAAAGCCAGTTGGAAAGGGTGTCATCACCAAATTCGATAGCGCATTAGCAAAGAAGGCTAGTGAGGCAAGTGACAGTACTGCTCCGGTAGTGAGCAAGAGGCATCTGCGAAACCGGGTTTACTAGTGCTAGGCAATTGGAGATCTGAGTAATGAATTCTTGCACTTGCAAAGTACTCTCTACCTTTTTACTGACATGGCCAAATTACTTGATCTCTACCTCTATCTACAGTGTATCCATCCGTTTTCCTGACTTCTTCTTCATTCTACGTACTCTTTATCTGCCGATTAGCATACGTAGCAAAGTACCTCTCCTATCCACTTGGAGTTTGAGGATGCCAGGGTCCCCATCCCCAAGCGCGGAGCTATGGATTTGCGTACTTTATTTTATTTCAACTGTGTGTGAACCTGATAGCTAGTAGGAGCTGAATAGATACGTCGATATATTAGTAATCAGTTATACCTAACTTGGTGATAAAAAATAGAACCATGCCTTTCTTATCATGAACTGCTCCCCGCAAAATACTGTCCTTCCAAATGACGCGGGATCGTCGGAAGCGGAGATGGCTGAAACCTATCGGTCCTAAACCTAGTCTAGCAAGTCGGATCCAAGCACGGCAATCCCGACGGGGAGTTAACCATAGGTTTGAACTCTATTAAAGCATCGTGCTGCATCGAGATCAAAAGGTTCATTTTATCAACGCAAGCTCTCCACAATGGACCCTCAAGAACGCCAAAGAGTGCCTGTAGGCAAGAGGACCAAAGCTCACTATAAATTAGAGTTCACCAATGGGCTGCCTCCAGGCACAGACAGTGTGGAACAACTTGACAAGAATCCACGGTTGCCACGACCACCGGCATCACCAAAAAGGCCTTTGCCAGACTTACCCCCAGTCTCTGAGCGCAAAGGGCACTGGTTAGGCAAGTATCTCGACCAAGTAAGTACCCAAGCACATACGTAGGCCCAGGACTAACACACTGCGTACCCAGCTTGACCCAGAGACCGAATATGACCACATTATACGCGTACAGTCGTTCCATCGCAACTCTGTATTCATGACCGCATTAGGATATGCATGTGTATTCGTGTGGCTTACCACCACCCCTGCGGGCTCGGCCGCGATCCATGGAGGCAAAGTGATTCGACGGGGCCACCAGCGCTTCTATGAAACGCAACTATTCAACTTCCACTGGGTCTATCACGGCAGTGGATCTGAGAAAACCAAGGAGTATGTGGAGAAGATCAACCAAATGCACGCCATTGTATGGAAAAGAACTCCAGGGGCCTTTACCCAGGCTTGGGATGCACAGTCGGCCATTATCCTACTCTCTTCCTACGAGTCGCTATTAAGAAAGATGTTTGGTACAAAGAACGATATCCATCCGCAGCTGAAGAAGGCGTGGCCCGAATGGGGAGAGCGGCTGACCGCCTGGTTCAAAGCGGAGCCTGTGGATGGGGTTCCCCAGACCTTTGGCATCAATTATCCGAGAAACTGGGATGAGATTGTGCAGTTTGGGCAATGGCTCATCGACTTTGACATGGACAAGCAGCGGTCAGAGGAAGATAGGATCAAAGGACATGAAACTGCTGAGGCTTTTATCCACCAGTTCAGTGATCTCTGGTTTCCAAGGTTAGTCAAAGCCATAGTCCTGGCGTTCTACAGTAGCAGCTTCTTCTTCTCAATTTTCTGCCTGTTCAAAAAAAAGCGAAGCTTACAGAAATATAGGTGCCTCCAATTCCTAGGCCGAGCCGTGGTGCTTACCTGTCTGCCCAAGAAGATCCGCGTCAAGCAGCAGCTCGGCGATCCGAACCCCATTCTGGAATTCTGCATCAGACATGCGTTTCGACTAGGCATGAACTACGGAGACTCTCTCCCCGATCCCGTGATGGCTGAATTCGAGGACTTTTACCACGAACTGGAGCAGCAGGATATGAGCCAAATCGATGCGATCAACGCTGCATCACGCGATGCGCAGGATCTGTTTATCAAGCGGACCGTGTTGTTTGGCGTGTTTTTCGTTGTGAGTGTTGTTCTAGCTTTGCGATATGGCGCATCCAAATAGATGGGTTGATCGACTGGATAAACCCTGTAGTGGGCAGTCATGACCAGTACAGGTACCTACAGGAATTTATTTTATTACGAACACATATAAGAGAGGCTTGACAAGCTGAAATGACATTTTGGAAGAAGAAAGCGTGGTTCTTGCATTTACACGACTGAACACCAAAAAAACAGCGAGATGTGTATCTAGAAGCGGGACTGACACAGGATACATGCATAATTATCACATGTACGTCACGCAATTCTGCGTCCTACGCGTGCAGACACGGCGGCCGCCAAGAGAGCACCTTCTAGGCCATGAGATCACGCGTTGGTGTAGTTGTTCCTTCCTCACTGGAATGCTTGGCGTAAATACTCTCCGCTTTTCACTTCGACCATCCTCACTCAGCTGTCTCTTCCCACTCCTCTTCACTCCTCTCTTCACTCCGCTGACCCTCCACTGTCTTTACAAAATCCATCAATCCCATCTCCTCTTACTACCACCACCACCACCACCAAGAGTACTTCACCAACTTGCATCATGGGTGCCTGGGGCTACTGTAAGTGAAAGAGCTGCTTGATTATGCATGCTCATAAGCTGACACTCACAGGTCTTTTCGAGTCGGACCACGACTTTGACATGATCGGTGACATGAGCCACGAAGCCGGCCTTATTAAACTCGAGGAAGATGCGAAAGCACGCGCAAAAGCCGAGGGCAAGAGCGACAAGGAAGTGGATGCTATCTTCTATTCCCTGTACAACTGCTCCGACCCAGAGCTGGTCCGCAGCTATCTCGATTCAGGTGTCCTCGTGGACATGATCGCTAAAAAGCAGGCGAAGATGCTGTCTCCGCTCACTGGATCCCAGGATGAGCGCCTCGAGTACTGGATGTCGGACCCTTGCTACACCTACGTCCTGCTCGCTGCCTGCGCCATGACGCTCGGCTGCCGGCTCCCAGATACTTATATTGCCATGCTCAAAAAGGTCTACACGGAAGGTGGACTCATGCCACAGGCACAACAGCAGATGAAGAAGGCCCTCTTTGGCCCCGATGGCTACATCAATGGTGTGCCCTACGACTTCGAGTCCAAGACGATCTTAGACGTAGCCAACTCATCTGCGCACGAAGACGAGAAAGACAATGGACTGGACTTCGTTTGCTTGAATGTGCCCAGCCCGGGAGGTTTGTTCAGCACAGGCATGACGACGTCCACAACGTCTGCTGTGCTCAAAGAACTTCGCGCCCAGCTGAACAAGCCCGATGCATGTGGTGGCTGTGGTGCAAAAGAGGGAGCTGGCAAGAAGGTCTTGCTCCTCTGCTCCAAGTGTAGAAACCGAAAGTACTGCTCGACCGAATGCCAGAAGAAGTCATGGAAGATCCACAAGGTGTGCGATCCTGCCATGATTTGAACGGACGTCTCGACTGTACTGCGTCACTGAGCAAACAGCCTCCCCGCTGGACCTCTGGACTATGGAAAATACCACCACCAGAGGATGGTCGTTGGAAGGACGATGCATGAGTATACACTGTTTCTTTACTAGCGGCGGCCCACATGTCATGGTGGATATTTTCTCCATGTGTATCGAGTTGCAGCCATGTCTCGCACTGTCAGATGGAGTCAAGGGATGGAGCAACAGATGCCTGTTCAACATCAGTCAAGATTACTTCATGTAGATTTCATATCCAAGTAGCACTAATGTACACACATATATATACACACCAACAATTCACACACGTCATGAATACTGTTGCTCCTTGGTGATTCTGTTACAGACGCATGTGTGAGTGCTATAGTCTCTGATTATCGGCCATGTCCTTGGAAGGAAACCCTATCTACAGCATGGTTGGTTGCCTGGCCATGGACAATTCAGGCAGTTACAATGTTCCGCCTGCTCGAGTGTAGCCATATGCATCTTACTCTGACTCTGCCTCTGACTAGGCCTATCACCAGCTCCATGCCCGCATATCAAATGGATTATTACCCGAGACCAAAACAGAGCACTCCTTCAATATCCTTCATGTCGAGCTTTTACACACATCCAATAAAGCATTGCAGCGATACATTGACGTTTGAATGTAGTAAAAACCAACGCCGGTATCTGCAATGCAATGCAGAGATGGGGTCGCTCTGTTTTTTTTTCAACCAGTACGCCTAATGAACCCCCACGATAAACTGTTATACATGACCCATAGCAAACATTACACATCCACACAAACACATACATACATATATGATAGTAGTCAAGCGAGCAAAAGTGCCGCTATGCAACGTCGTCCGGCTCGCCGTGTGAAAAAGGGGCCAAGACAGACGGGAACGTGTCGGCATCGAAGCGAGAAAACACTAGCACTACTGCAAGCCGGCCTTGTTTGTCTTGACCGTGTGGGGAATGGGCTTCAAGATGCCCTTGTTGTCGGTGGCGCCGAGCGCGGTGCCCGTGGACCAGCCCATCTTCATCATCAGCGCGTGGCCTTTGTTCTCTGGACCCAGTTCGGGGGCATTTGCGCCGACTGTCTCGCCGTCTTTGTAGCCTAGTTGGGGCCGGCTGCGCACGCCGCCTTGCTTATGCTTGACGGTGGAGAATTTGCCTGGACGTCCGCCACCGCCCTGAGAGTAGAGAGGACCGCGCAGGCGTTGCTGGAAGCCTTTCTTTTGGATGGCAATGCCAAACTCGTCGTCGGTGTAGGTGCGAGTGCGGTTGGTCTTGGAAAGGACGGTGAACCTGTTCATGCCATCGCCACGGGAGCGAGAGCTTAGGTCGAAGAAAGCAGCAACTTGATGAACAGTGGCGCGGCGATAAGCCTCCATGGGAGGAAGCGAGAGTGTGTGCATGTCTCCCACCATAAACTCGCGCAATTCTTCGACAATGTCTTCCATGTCAATGCCACCCTGGTACTTGACCTTGAGGCTGGGGCTCTTGCCCTTCCTGCCCAGTAAGCCTTGCTGACGTAGCTCCTCACGCTCAGCCTTCTTGAGGCGCTTCTTTGCCCTATCAGCCGCCCAAGCGTTTTGAAGCTGCTCATTCAAATCAGAATCATCCAGCTCCGGCGGTGGTTGGCCACGTCGGCCCTTCTTCTTGGGCTTCAGAGAAGGTCGTTCGGTATCCATAATATCGAAGGCGCCATACGGATCCATTTCGAGTGCTGCAACCATTGCAGATGCCGAGGGGAAAGATGGCTCCCTGTTGCTGCGTACCCGATTCTGTCGCTTCTTGTTTGACCTGCCGTAACCGCCAAAGGATGCGTCCTTGCTGCGGCTCGGTGCACCGAAGAAATCATCACCACCATAGAGAAGCAGTTCATCGGCGCCTAATCCGAGCTCTTCTTGTTTCTGCAGGACCCTGGCAATAGTCTCATCGTCCAATTCATCAGCATACGCGTCTTCGTCGTCGTCTTCGTCATCGTCATCGTCATCGTCTTCCTCGTCCACATCTTCGTACTCGTCGGCAGAATCGCTGCTAGTAAGCATTTGCTGTTCGCGCTCAAAAGCCTCGTCCTCAAAGACTTGAATCATCCGCTTCTCAGCGGGTTTCTTTAGAAACGTAGCTGGCAACCACCGGGCGTCATCCGCCACGGAACCCTCGTAGACACAAAGATAATGTAGGCCGGATTTACGAGTCCGCTTTGACAGGATTTGTACAATAGTGTCAACGACGTCTGAAGAAGTACTCAGGTCGTCGAAATCGTGCAGCAAATCCGAATCCCAGCCTGCACTGTCTTTACCATTTTGCCCCGCACCTTCAATGGCAGATGCTGGCTCCCAGTCGTTGTGGTTGCCGGCATCTAGATCCATTTCGCGATGGGCAAACGCAGACGCTGCCAGCAGATCTTCGGTAAAGCCAAAGTCCTCGACATTCTGCATGGAGTCGTCTAGCGCTGCATCGCGAGAGTCGGCATGCGTATTCGGGCGCTCTGCAGCAGGCAGCCATCCGATATTCGGCTTGCTCCTATGTTCCCACTCGGGAGTGGTGCCCTCCCACGCAGGCCTGCCCCGTCTCCGCTTGGCGAACTGACGTTGGTCTACTTGGTCGGCATCCGATCCTGGCTCAGCTGGTGCTTGAGCTTCTGCCGTCTCTGTTGGCAGTGTAGGCTGTTCAGTAGTAGAGGCCGTCGCGGGGTGTGAAGATGGAACCAAGGGCGCAGGAGTAGGGTTGTGCGGGGTATTGGTAGAGGGTGCAGCCGCAGGCTGAGCAGCACGGCCTCTGAAAAGGACCTCGTCGGCGCTCGAAGACGAGGCCTCCGAGGGCACAGGCGACGGGCTGCGAATGGCCATGTGCGCCATGGCTTCTGCATTGTCAGGCATGGAAGCGGGCGACTCAGGCGTGGCAGGCTCGGCCTGGGACGGCTCCTTCAGCGTGCCTTGGAGGTGGCCAGCGCTGACGAACTGGATGGGCATGTTGCGTAACTTGTTGCCGGCTTCAAAGGCAGTGGTGCGGTGGCTGGACATCCAGCGGGCTTCGTCTTTGAGGGAGAACTTGGGCGCGATTGCTGCAGCGGCGGTCAAGATTACGCTCTTGAGTGTGCCGTTGGGGGGAAGCAAACAAACGTACCCTCGTCGCGGAGTGAGTGGCGTTTGGCAGGCGCGCGATGGGGCGTGCTCTTGGCCGAGCCGCCTTTGGCATTGCTCTTGCTCTTGCCCTTTTTCTTTCCTCGCGACATGGCGGCGGCGGCGACGAGTGCGATGTTGGGGTTGAGGTTGAGGTTGAGGTTGCGGTGTGGACAGGAAAGAGGAGACGCGCCTGGCCGTCGATGTCGCGGGCGATAGTCGTGGTGGCGGCGGCGGCGGCGTGGGGCTGGCTAACGTACGTAGTATAGTATTGCTATCACTATCGCCAGCCAGGACCCCCGACTAGCCTATCGGAGCTCACTGACTGCATGACGCTGCAAGACACGGAGAATACATACAACAACCTCTTGCACAACGAGTCGCGCATCTTCACATCGTCCCTCATCGGCCTGTGCTGGCAGGGGCACGTGACATCTCACTCTCGCGGCCTTCCAGAAGCGTGGCGGGAGCTCGGTGACATAGCCAGGTGATAGCCACCCCTCCCCCGCCACAACCACAACCTGGGTAGAGCCGCATATGACCTGGGGCTCGCCGCAGCTCCTCCACCGCACCCTGGGCCGACTCTCCTCGCGCCGAGCTTCCATCTTGCTGCTTTTTCCGTCGTCTCTTCACTTGCTCCTGGCTGCCGCAACACTGCCGCTGCGCCGTGGGCAACACATGTAGCCACCAGCTCCAGGCATCCTCATCCCGCTCCCCGGCACCCCGTCCCCGCCCAAACACGCACCGCGCCAACCACCATGCACGACTTGGAGCGTGTCAGTCGCAACATTGTCCGCACCTTCTACGACCCGCCCCCCACAAACGACTCCAACGAGCCCATATGGCTGCTGGGCCAGCGCTACGACCCCAGGCCGCCGCCACCCAAGCTGACGCCCAGCGAGACGTCGCCTGCCGAAGCACCTGCCCCCCCGTCCGACCGCACCGACGACGAGAGCTGGATACGGACGAGCGTCGAAGAAACAGAACGCAAGGAGGCGCCAAACGGCGAGGATCCCGCCCAGTACGGCAACTGGCCCTCTGCCTTTCTCGATGACTTCGAGTCGCGCATATGGATGACGTACCGCTCCGGCTTCGCTCCCATACAAAAGAGCCAGGACCCCAAGGCAACAAGCGCCATGAGCTTTCGCGTTCGCATGCAGAACCTGGCCTCGCCAGGCTTCACCTCGGACACGGGCTTTGGCTGCATGATCAGGAGCGGACAGTGCATCTTGGCCAACGCGCTGCAAATACTGCGTCTGGGCCGCGACTGGCGATACCAGGACAAGCCGACTGCCAAAGAGCATTCGGAAATACTCGCCCTCTTTGCAGATGACCCGAGGGCGCCCTTCTCCATCCACCGCTTTGTGGAGCATGGCGCGGCCGTCTGTGGAAAGTACCCTGGCGAGTGGTTCGGTCCCTCGGCAGCAGCGCGCTGTATACAGGACCTGGCCAACAAGCACCGAGAGGCCGGCCTACGAGTATACGTGTCCGGCGACGGCGCCGACGTCTACGAAGACAAGTTGAAGGAGGTAGCCCTGGACGACGAGGGAGAGTGGCAGCCTACACTGATTCTGGTCGGCACCAGACTGGGCATCGACAAAATCACGCCTGTGTACTGGGAGGCGCTCAAGGCAAGCCTGCAAATGAAGCAGAGCATGGGAATCGCAGGGTAAGCCGCCAGCTAGCATCTCCGTGGTATTATCATTTTTGTTGGTTGGACTCTGGTGTGCTGACTCGACGCAGTGGCCGTCCGTCGGCTTCGCATTACTTTGTAGCCACGCAGGCAAACACATTCTTCTATCTCGACCCGCACAGCACTCGCCCGTTGCTGCCATACCGCACCGGGTCCCTGTCTACCCCGAGCCCGCCAACCGCGCCATCAAGTAGTCTCGACGCCTCTGCTACATCCACCTCGTCATCGGCAACCCTCATGCCCTCGGCCACGCCCACAGACGGCACCAGCTCCACGCTCTCTACGTACTCGGCCGAAGAACTCGCCACATGCCACACACGCCGCATCCGCCGCCTCCAAATCCGCGAAATGGATCCCTCCATGCTCATTGCCTTTCTCATCAGATCCCCAGAGGACTTCCAGGACTGGAAAGAAGGCGTCCGCAGCGTCCAGGGAAAAAGCGTCGTCCATGTCCAGGACAAGGAACCCCTGCCCAGAGGCCAGGAAAGAGAGGGCGCCGTCGATGAGGTCGAAAGCTGGGACGAGGATGGTCTGCAGTAAAGTAGGCCAAATGTGCACACGCAAAGCGGCGACTGCGTTGAGTTGGCTTGGGATTGGCGTTTAGAAGGGCTGCAATGATATCATCCGGTTACTTTTTGCATTTTCCGAGGTGGAACGCGGCGTTTGGCCTAGCATTTTCTTTGACATTCTCATGTCGGTAAATAACAGTATACCTTCGACAATCCATATCTTGGACAATGGCCGCTCGCAATGTATCGATATCAACCAACGCTGTTTGTTAATCGTGTTTGAAATCAGGGCTGCGTCTGAGCGCAGCTGGATGATTCCGCCCAGTATAGATGTCAGTACCGGATCTAGATATCAGTCTTGGAAGAAAACGAGTGAGAAATAACGCCAGAATTGAGTGGCCGAGGCAAATAGTGATTACGTGAAGTTTGAAATAATTGATTCGTTCCCGTCTGCTGTGGTATAATGTACAGACCCAGATGGACCTCATAGTCAAAGATGACTAAATGATTCGATGACAGACAAACCGACCCATGATCACATTAGCAAAGGACCCGTGAACACCGCACCCCGTAACCACTTGTCAAACTGACAAGAAAGACCCAAAGAAAACATCCAGCGAAGAAAAGCCACTCTCTATTTGGTGGATGAAGAGTACTTGGTGACGGCCTTGGTGCCCTCGGAAACGGCGTGCTTGGCAAGCTCACCAGGTAGGATCAGGCGGACTCTGTGATTGCTGTCAGTAGATGCGACGTGGAAAGAAACAAGTGGAGGATAGTGGAAACGTACGATGTCTGGATCTCACGCGATGAGATGGTCGACTTCTTGTTGTAGGCAGCGAGCTTGCTAGCCTCGGTGGCGACGCGCTCAAAGATGTCGTTGACGAAAGAGTTGAGAATGCTCATGGCGCGGTTGGAGATACCGGTGTCGGGGTGGACCTGCTTGAGGACTGGGAGACGCGTCAGCAAACCTTGCTTGGAGGCGGATGGCGCGGGCGCGCTGTGCGCACACGGCGGAGGTGCAGGTCGCGCTCAGAACGCGCAGATAGGGCCAGACTTACCCTTGTAAATGTAAGAAGAGTAGGTCTCCTTCCTGGTCTTGGTGCGCTTCTTCTTGTCGCCAGAGGGCGCGGCCGTCTTCTTGCCAGCCTCCTTCTTCTCAGCGGGAGCCTTGCCGGCGGGGGCCTTGCCGCCGGTGGTGGGAGTCTTCTGGGCTTTGGGAGGCATTTTGGGAGATTTGGGCGGAGCTAATGGAGAGAGGTGGAATTGGGCTTCTGAAAAGCAGGAGATTCGGGAGCGAGATGCAGGTGGTCGAGTGTCGTGGGTGGGTGGTCGAGATGGATGGAGGGAAAGGTCGTCGACGGCGGGGGGACGCGCTACTTATGGGGAGCGCGCTCGCATGTTGTGATCCAGCAGCGGCTGCGGGGCCCGTGCGCGGCGACGCTGCCCGCCATGCCCGTTTGGTCGCCAAGCGAGGGCGGCGAGTGATCTTGCGCTGGCGGGCGGCAGGCGCTAGGCGGCGTCGCTGCCCTTTTGGCGCGCTAGCGTGCGCGGTTGATCTCGCGCACTCGCAACACGCCAGCGCCGTCCTTATAAGACGGCCCCGCCCCCCAACACCACCAAGCAATCCATCGTCTCGACTCTCCACGCCGCTCCCACGCCCGCCACTGCTCTTCTCGCGTCTTTTTTGACTCCACCTCGCCCAACTCCCAAAACCACCCCCAAACCCCAAACTCTTTCAAAATGACTGGCGGCAAGTCCGGAGGCAAGGCCAGCGGCTCCAAGTCCAGCGCCCAATCGTGAGTGCCCGCCCTCTTCGCATCCGCTGCATCGCGCCCCTTTTTGCTCGCATCGTATTGGTGTTTGCTTCAGGCTCGACTTTGCGATGCGCAAAAGACGCGTCAATCAAGTGGAAGACGCGTCAAAAAATGCATGGACGGCAAGCTAACAGCGCTTTAGTCGTTCGTCCAAGGCCGGTCTCGCTTTCCCCGTCGGTCGTGTCCACCGTCTCCTCCGCAAGGGCAACTACGCCCAGCGTGTCGGTGCCGGTGCCCCCGTCTACCTCGCTGCCGTCCTCGAGTACCTCGCTGCTGAGATTCTCGAGTTGGCCGGTAACGCTGCCCGCGACAACAAGAAGACCCGTATCATCCCCCGTCATCTTCAGCTCGCCATCAGGAACGACGAGGAGCTGAACAAGCTTCTCGGACACGTCACCATCGCCCAGGGTGGTGTCCTTCCCAACATTCACCAGAGTACGTTTCGATCCAGTCGCTTCGCTTCGCTTCCATTGCTAACGCATCTCCAGACCTTCTGCCCAAGAAGACAGCCAAGCCTGGCAAGGGTCCTTCGCAGGAGCTCTAAGCGCTTTTTGCTTTCGAGTTTCTTCTTCACGGCGTGGTTACTTCATGGGTCTTTTTCATCTGCAATGATAATGGGAGTCGGTCTGGGTTTGGGTTCTCGGCTTTTTACGGGATTTATACCAGAGCTGTATATTAGCTGGTCGCTTTGATGACCGCAGGCTCATGAGCTGAATCGAGAATATTACTTCAACCGTCCTGTCTATTTGTGTTGCATTTTGGCTTTGCTTATTGTTACAGGTCCTTTTGGCGTCTTTGGTTGGACTTGGTCTGGACAGGACATGTGGTCACTGCGGCGTTTGGTGCGGGGAGGATCGGATACCGCCAGGGTCTGTCAGTCAGCCTTTTCGTTGGATGTGGAGCAACTCATCGAACCGACATTTCAGGTCCTGGTTATTACGTTTGCGCAACAGTCGGCAAGGCGGGCGCGAAAAGAGAACTCAACTTTGGCGATGACGACGATGAAAGCGATGACGAAAGAGATGGGGAATTTTGGCGCTCCACAAGCAAAGAGGCGTAAATAGGCGAGCGTGCGCCAGGCGACCCGGCAACCAACGTAGGAGGCGTAGTACTGGTGGTGGTGCTACGTAAGTACGCCTTAATCCACGAATCAAAAAACCCGCATACAAGCACCTTTTTTTCCACGTTCCTGAATACAAGCATAGGGCTGTGATTTTGCTTTTTTTTTCCTCATGGAGGGGAAGATTTAGCCACTAAAGTAACTAATTAGTACATACGTCATTTTTTCGATTTTCCCCTCATTGTGTTGCATCTGTGTGTAAATTGCTGTAATTATAATAATTACCAGTGGATTCAATGCACTCTGAATATGACTTACGGCTTTTCTACTTGGATGGATTTAATTTTCCTGAATTAATTCGTGTACTTTTGACGTGTTGTGGATGTGTGTGTTGAATTATACTTTGTACTTACTTAGTAGGTAGTTTAGTCTTGCTGTGTAGTGTAGTGTAGTGTAGTGTACGGAGGTGCCTCACAAAAGTTTTGTCCCACGCTAATCTCGGCGCTTCGGCATAACTCTTCTTGGCGCAACTCCCACCTTTGAGCTGAGTAGCTGTACGATTTGTCTGTATCTATCGTTACAATGTCTCCTAATACTGATCCTTACACCCGCACCTTAATTGTGGCGTTAAAGTCACCTTCTGTTGGCAAGTCTATATCACAGATCTCTGAACTTACTGGTGTTCATCCTCGTACGGTCAATCGTATCTATAGTAGAGCTATTGAGGCTGGTTTCGAGCCAAACGTTCTCCCTCTTAAGATCCTCCCAGAGCACGTACAAGACGCCCCTCGCTCTGGCCGACCTTCAAAGCAGACGGATAAGGTAAAGGAGCAGATAATCCAACAAGTACGACGTGATAGATACGGACGAGAGAAGAGCTGCGCTGACGTTGCTGGTGCTCTCAGTCTTCAAGGAGTCAATATATCACGCACTACAGTCTGGAGAGTATTAAGAGAAGCAGGATACAGAAAGACCAAGCCGACGAGGAAGCCTGGACTGACACAGGAGATGAGGAGTGCTCGTCTAAGTGGCGCTTGATCATAAGGACTGGACATTAGAAGACTGGAAGAAATGTACATCTGGACAGACGA